CGTGTAATTTGAGTGAGTGAGTGAGTGAGTGAGTGAGTTAGAGATAAGGAAAGCCTTAAGTGATTGAGATGTTGGACGTTTACCACTTTGGTGACGCCCAGGATCATGGGTATCAGGGCGAATCTAAGACTCCCACGATCACAGTATTCTGTCACGCCTAAGGGACGCAATTCTGTATTCCGACCTCTCAACGACCCTTCCTGGGTAATTGGAAACAACGACAAACAATGTATCAGGGCCACGTCATATCCATGTGCACTTTTTGGGATACGTGAAATTGATTTAGTTGAAATGGGCCATCACACCATCATTGCCGCTCACTACTTTTTCTAGCATGCTTTTCAAAGACAAATTCTAGGAATGATTCTTTAAGTACTACATATAAGGGATTTAAATGTCAATACTGTCACTGGAAAAGTGAGAGTTGGGATATGCATCCTTGTCTTTCCTTGCATATTTCCTAACAAAATAAGTTAGGAATCCTGATTATCTTAATGGACTTTTTGTAGTGAAGACGGAGCACAAAATTTCATGAAAATATCCTCCAAAATATTCATGATCCGTAACTTTGTGTGTTCAGTATATACTAAGACCTTGTGGATGAGGCGCTCGCCTCTTACATTTACGATCCGGGTTCGATTTCCAATATGGGTATATTATATGAAAACCTTCGTTAATGTTGCTGGAATAATTGATTCAAGCGGCGTTAAACCATACTCACGCAATCCGTATCATACGCAGCCAAGGCTAAACAAGTAGCGGATTAAAGGTTTCTATGACAGACATATACGTACGTCGCAACGACAACAAAATTCGTTTGTAACGTATACTTTCGACAGCCAGGTGTTAATTCTCACGGACCAGCATTACATATGGTATTTATAGTACGTGTAGCATTAATCATGTGTTATTGAAGATGCGTCAGACAGACGTATTGTGTAGGCCAGGTGATTTAAATTGGGTTTTGAAAATGCATTAAATAAATTAAAGAAATTTGGATTGTATATTTCTATTTTTGTCGTAAGGTGAGTGAGTTTGGTTTTACGCCCCTTTTAGCAATATTCCAGCAATAACAGCAATATCTAAGGAACACCAGAAATGGGCTTCACACATTGTATCCATGTTGGGAATTGAACCCGGATCTTCGGCATGACAAGCGAACGCTTTAAAAACTTGGCTACCCCACTGACCCCTTAAAGTGAGTGAGTGAGTGGATTTCACGACGTCCTAGTGCAAGTGTTTCAGTTACCACGGCGGGTCAGCTTGGTGTGGGTAGAAAGCCCAAAGTGGCACATGCCTCAGAGTGAGTGAGTGGGTTTGGTTGGTTGTTGGTTGGTTTGTTGCCGCACTCAGCAACATTCCAGCTATATGACGGCGGTCTGTAAATAATCGAGTCTGGACCAGACAATCCAGTGATTGATATCACGAGCATCGATCCACGCAATTGGGATCGATGACATGCATCAACCAAGTCAGCGAGCCTGACCACCCGATCCCGTTAGTCGCCTTTTACGACAAGCATGGTCACCTTTTACGGCAAGCATGGGTTGCTGGAGGCCAATTCTACCCCGGAATCTTCACGGGTCAAGAGTGGGTTTGGTATAACGACGCTTTGAACAGTATTTCAGTTATAACACGGCGTGTCAGCTTAACGTGAGAGAAAGGTCGTGACGCAGGTCGTACACATTCACCACTCAGGGATAGACCAACGATCACAATCGGGTCGAATCCAAGATTCGAATCCATTGTCACGGATCGCGTCTTCTAGGGGACGCAACTCTGTACAACAGTGAGTGAGTATGGATTTACGCCGCATTTAGCAATATCCCAGCAATATCACGGCGGGGGACACCAGAAATGGGCTCCACACATTGTACCCATGTCGGGAATCGAACCCGGGTCTTCGGCGTGACGAGCGAACGCTTTAACCACTGGGCTACCCGACCGCCCCTGTACAACAAGCCGTGCGCGTTGGTAAACTTACCCAACCATAAATAAGTCTTTATACAACATTTGAATATTACACATGTACAATAGTCTGAAACATAAATAATTCAATACTAGATTTCAGAAACCCATTATGAGTTGTGTTGAGTATCCATTCTCACCGAGTGTTCATGCCTGACGTCCCTGACCTCAGTCCCCCGTCCATACAATACAATTGCTGTCTCACTATGGGAAGGAATTTGAGACGAGGGGATTTCGCAACTCTGGTTCTCTCCATTGTGTTTGTTGTGTCACGTGAAACCGCGGGGATGCCAATGTCACGAGCTTCGGGGGATGCGACCGACACGGCATTCGTGACCAACTCGTGTTATTCCGGGACAAGCCGAATAGCGAAGGTTACGGAAAGGGGCGAGTGGTGACGAATGACCGACACGGTTGTTATTTAGTTTATATGTGACCTAAATACACGCATGTAATTAAATGGAAGATGTATACAAGTTTAACTTCTTTGATAGGCATTTAGAAGTTAGAGTACTGAATAAGGATAAGAATTTATGGTTGAACAACTTCTTTATTAAGAGCGACGTTTCGGTGTAGGTTCTAACACCGTTATCAAGCAAGTTATTTACAGAGTGACTGACTGATATAGGAGATTTAACGTGCGCTTTCCGACTGTAGCGTATTTCGCACACTGGCCTGGCCGGGCCATTTAATGTATTCCGAAAAGGGTGAAAGTGATGTGTGCAATCCAAGAGGGGGCTTTTAGGGGTTGCTTATATTGAATTTTTGGAAATTTAAATTTGGAATAAATGCCGAGGTATTTACAGAGTTTGGTTGGCAAGTATATATACAGGTAGGAGGCAATCTTTATACAGTAGAGTAGATATTGCTATACTGGAGTAGAGAAGCCTGTTATGTACACACAAGGGTAGTGATGACAATCATCTGTGAAGTCAGTGAAATAAACAAAGGGTGAAGCCAGTAATATAAACAATAGGATTATGGCTGATGTTCATTTATTCGGGTTTTGAGGGGCCTAGATGCTTCCATCCAGCCACAAGCTAGAACCATCAGGAGCAGTTTACCACATCTCATGCAATTGTGGACAAGCTTACATAGGAGAAATGCTCCCTCAAAGCACCAGGGCCCACTTGCACAAAGCGGCCTTAGCGCTATGATGATCGTAACTCCCATACTCTAACATAGGCTTACAATAGTCGTCGCACTAAGATCGCTTTGTGCAAGTGGGCCCAGGACCGTGCAACCTCTGATCACAATGGTCCAATGTATAAGATCACGCTGTTTCTTTAAAAATGTATATATTTTTAATATTTAATTTGCGATGAATCGTTTTCGTTTTTTTAAAGTGAAATCTATATGTCCATAATTCCGAATGTATTCTTGTTGTTTTTTCTCTATTGTGTGGTTATTCAGTGAAACAGGATGTCTGTCCTGGTTTTCCGATCTCGAGTGTTTCCATGGCTGTGACCACGCCTCGCACCTTCTGTAGTTTATGTTAACACTGCCTCGTGATTACAATGTAACGTAAGAACCACAGACTAACGTGTAATGGACCCGTGAAGATGAGTGAGTGAGTTTATATATATATTTTATCATTTCGGATGAAAATTAAAGCACATCGGAACATGCGGCATTATAAACCATGATTGAACACATATATCCGTATCTTAGGTATATTTTTAGACAACACATGTGTAAAATCAAAAATTATTCCTGAGGGATTCTTTGACCGAAGAACTTGAAGTCATACGCGCATTTTGATTGGTTTGTCGTATTTTCGCGCATAACATTCATCGATAGGGGAACGATTCTTCTGGCAGGTTACGGAAAGGGGCGAGTTGTGACGAATGACTTGAGTGAGTGAGTGAGTGGGCGAGCGAGTGGGCTTCTCGCAAAATGACGCCGAGATATCGCGGGCTGAGATGGAATCGAGGTTGAGCCGGTGTCGAAGACGACTTGTTGTTTAACGCCGCACTCGGCAATATTCCAGCTATATGACGACGGTCTGTAAATACACGAGTCTTGAGCAGAAAATCCAGTGATTCACATCATGAGCATCGATCCACGCAATTGGGACACGATGGCATGCATCAACCAGCAAGCCTGACCACTTGATCGATTAGTCGCCTCTTACGAAAAGCATAGTGGCCTGTTACGATATATATGAGTTGCTGACCCGTGAAGATCCGGGGTAGGATAGGTCTTCAGCAACCCATGCTTGCCGTAAAAGGCGACTATGTTTGTCGTAAAAGGCGACTAACGGGATCGGGTGGTCAGGCTCGCTGACTTGGTTGATGCATGTCATCGTATCCCAATTGTGTGGATTGATGCTCATAACGTCAATCACTGGATTGTCTGGTCCAGACTCGATCATTTACAGACCACCGTCATATAGCTGGAATATTGCTGAGTGCGGCGTTAAACAACAAACAAACAAAATATATGGGTTGCTGAAGACCTATTCTAGATCTATCCCGGATTTTCACGGGTCAGCGTGTTTCTATCCCGTATACGTACACAAATGTAGTTTGTGGGTATCGGCGCTGTTTTGCTTTTGTGTTAACAATCATTAATCTAATATTTCTTTGCTGTCGAATTGCTTGGGTTGTTTGTCTTGTGTCTTCTGTAATAAGAATCAGTTTGTAGCTCACATTATTCTTTCATTTTCATCTCAACTAAGATTAGATCCTTGGTTTATATTTCTCACACATTAGGCTAGAGTCGCACCAATGCCCGTCTCCTTTTCACCACGCCTCGTCCGACTCGATAGTCGCGACGGAGTAAACAGGCCTGTTTCGCGCGCGGGAAGCGCTGTCCCAAACAACACGGGTGAGTGGGTACTAGCACGTGCTGTACGTGCAAGTCAATTTCAGCGCATGCGTATAGCGACGTGTTCCGTCTGTCGTCTGCATGAATGTTCATTTGGAGAAGGCCAACAGGCACTTTGGGAGGTTTAACTATACAGTAATTTAATGGTCAAGTCTATAGCATGGTTGTTGTAAATATTGTTTTTGTGTCTGTTTGTGCCTCAGAAACAAGACAACTGGAAGAAAGTCGATCTCATACGAAGCCCTTATTCGGAAGGGTACTACATATACCCATTGAGCGGAAGTAAACGATCGAGCAGAAGGTCCCAAAGCCGACGACAGGCGAGGAGTTCCGGTCGGGGAGTAAGGATGTCCGACAAGAAATACTACACCAGGGAGGACGACGAGTTCTATACCCCGACACGGGTGCAGCTTGCTGGGTACGGACGCCATATGTACGACAACCCGAATTTCGTGTACGACACAAGCCAGAAGCAGCGTCCATATCATGTGGCTTCCAGTTCCGGTAAGGTGTTGTCTGTGGCGTTACTACTATTTCGTTTCTAGTTCCGGTCAGGTGTTGTCTGTGGCATTACTGTTATTTCGTTTCTAGTTCAGGTAAGGTGTTGTCTGTGGCATTACTGTTATTTCGTTTCTAGTTCAGGTAAGGTGTTGTCTGTGGCATTACTGTTATATGGATTATGGTTTGATCCCAATGTGAGCATTCACGATCATGAAGTGGAAACACGTAAGCTGCATGCATCATTGGAGTTAATAACGTGTGCTAGGTTTAGGGATTGTTTAGATGTCATTAATTTATTATTATATATCTTTAAATTAATAAAGTTTGATAATGGGGGGGGTGTCTTCATGGGTGGCCCAGTCTCTAAGGAGCCACAATTCACTGTGCAGAGTTGAATCCTTGGCAAGCCACAAACCTATGATCTTGGGTTGATTGTTTAATGCTTGGTCATCCCCTTTACCAGGGGCAAAACTACCATTGTAGCAGAAAAGCAATTGTTTACACCTAAGAAAAAAAGCACAATTTGTTTACACCTTAAAAAGAAGCACATTTTTTTTATAAGTAAAACTCAATTTACCATCTATGCAGTAAATTATTAATTCAAAATTGGTCGAACATGACATTGATTGTCCAACTTGAAAATCGGACTCTTTACACACTTTAGGATTTTAGTGTCAGATGGTTTGTGACATAAGCCAACCTCGCTCTCACAGGTTTTTTTCAAAATAATGATAGGTCGGCTCGAGTTAAAATATGAAAATATAAATAACCATCACATACTACTAATGAACTTGTGAAAACACAAAAAGAAATATTACCGATTCATTTTAATGTTCAAATATCATTTGTCACCATGGATGTTTCTTGAATGAAAGTCGTAAATGTGTTGATGAAACACCTATATATACTACTAATGTAAATTATGAAGATAAATAAATTGCTAATATTTGTTACAAATAAAATCTGACATAAACAGTTCCAAAATGCAGGAAATAGCTTTTAAGAGCATCTATAACTTTTTTTAAATTTCTGGTGGGCATGCCCTCAAAATTGGCTGCTTCGTGCCCTCGTGACATGCTGACACTTATAGTTACCCTATTTGCGCCCCTGCTACCTGTGCTCCTGGGTTTCACTACTGAGGCCAACGTCACTTCGGCCTCCCCTCCCACATCAAGCTGACACCTCATGATATAACTGGAATACTGTACCAAGCGGCATTCAGTCCAAACACCCCGATCCTCAATTTTTTCCTTAGACCAAACCCTGAACAGATTATGCGTTCTCCTATACGTCATGCTTCTGGGAGGAACTGTATCAGTTGTAGGATCCAGGCCTGTTCCCCATGCCGAGAATGTACCATTACTGCCCATCTTGTTATAACATGTCTTATACACCAAAACCATACCTTCCGCATGAAGATCTGACATGGGCTCAAACGATGGAAAAAACAAAAGGCAGAGTTACTTCCCTTATTCAACTCTTCTTAGGACAGGATACAGCAAGGGTTTTTTGTTTAAGTAAGAGAAAATTCAGTACATAGTTTCCAGGTTGGTATGATATATACTTCTAACAATAATTGGGGCGGTCGGGTAGCCCAGTGGTTAAAGCGTTCGCTCGTCACGCAGAAAACCCGGGTTCGATTCCTGACATGGGTACAATGTGTGAAGCCCATTTCTGGTGTCCCCACCGTGATATTGCTGGAATATTGCTAAAAGTGGCATAAAACCATACTCTCACTCACTCACTCTAACAATAAGTTAAAAGGACATCAAACTTTTTCATATGACTGTATGTCTGTCATGGCTGGTGGGTATTGCAACATACAGTCTTCAAGTTGTGGGTGTTCTTAACTTGTTTTGAGTCATATGTGGTTGAGAAGTCAAATGCAGCATGTAAGAACAGTTTTCATTTTGTTTGATCGGGACAGTAGTTCATGACCGGGTGGAAATGAGACACACTCAGTAAGACAGATGGCCACTGACTCACTATGATAAGAATGCCTAAAAGTTCAACTGAACTCAAACTACAATGAAATCCAGGTGTGAATCAGATGTATCATATCGCCATGGCAAACTAAGGGTGTGACAGATGGTTCCATCACTCGCCTGCCACAATTCATGACTGTCGTAAGAGTCAAGTCAGGGGTTAGATTGTGTATTTGTTGTGGTACTGTGACTTTACACAGTGGTCATCTGGCGGAGTGTTCCACAGTGCACGAATAGATTTATGTTGGAAACTTGATATGATTCGAACAAACAGGGTGATTTAATTTCTTTCCCCATAACTGGAAATTTGTGAAACTGTATACTTACTTACACCAGACATGTTTTGTTTCATGTTATACAGATATCTTTTCTCAATATGGTAAAATACAGGATAAAAATGATAAAAAAAGCCACTGTAATTGAAAGTAACTTTTTAAATAAAATTATTTCCTTTAAAGGGATGTTCACGGCAAACATATTTTCAGTCTATCACAATGAGCCCCCTATATATTTTTGGTTAATTATTTTTGGAATTTCATTTTGGCTTATCCTTTAATCAAATTGGTCTGGTCTAATGTACAAATATTGAGTGATTTACTTTAACATCCAAATCTCATTGAAATTATCTCATACTCTGATGCCATACCTCTCTGGATGAAGGTCTAAAACCCTTCTACCTCCATAGAGAGTAGATTCAGGTGAATCCTGAGGCCAGATTTTGGGGTGGGGTTACAGAAGTTGGGCCCAATAAATAACATTCCAATTTCAAATATATTTTCTTATTTGAGGAAATCAGTGTCAACTTATTAAAACCATTCATCTTTGTTTCTTTACTTCCTCCATTGGATCTTGGCAAAAGAAAGCCCAAAGCATATGCCCTCAACAGTACACCTTAATATACCATCAATAGTACACCCTTTTGGGTGTAGAAGGCATGGTTCTCAGAACACCCTCTTGCATGTGGAAGGCATGGTTCCTAGAACACCCCCTGCATGTGGAAGGCATGGTTCCTAGAACACCCCCTGCATGTGGAAGGCATGGTTCCTAGAACACCCCCTGCATGTGGAAGGCATGGTTCCTAGAACACCCCCTGCATGTGGAAGGCATGGTTCCTAGAACACCCCCTGCATGTGGAAGGCATGGTTCCTAGAACACCCCCTGCATGTGGAAGGCATGGTTCTCAGAAAGAACAGGCTTTATTTCTTTTCATGTGCAACTACCTAATTACATTTGTTTTCAAGGTACTTGTCTGAGAATTTTGAAGCCTTGATGTTGTTTTGCTAACTGGAAAGTTTTCCTGACACAATCCTCTATTGAGTTTTCCTCAGATCTTTATGCACAGATATTGGATGGTTTCAAAAATTTGATTTCATTGCGATTGTTGAACATCCATTGATATCTCTCATTGTGAGCTTGAGAAATTTAAACATTTTTATTTTCAGACTCCAGCAATGGAACTAGCCGATTATCAAAACGCCAAAAGAGCCACTACTTCCTCGCTGGAGTCATATTGTTTGTTGTTTTATTGGTTGTGGCAGCCATCGGAGTGGGCGTATATTTTTCAAGTATGTATATTTCTTTAGTCTTTCTTGTATTTTTGCTATTAAGAGTAAGTTATGTACAGTAGGAAGCATGTTAGTCCGAGAGACCATACACACTACCCCGGTGAGAGCAGGGCAGCCATTAGCAAAAGACCCGTGAAGATTCCGGGGTAGAATTGGTCTTCAGCAACTCATGCCTGCTGTAAAAGGTGACTATGCTTGTCGTAAAAGGCGACTAACGGGATCGGGTGGTCAGGCTCGCTGACTTGGTTGATGCATGTCATTGATCCCAATTGCGTGGATCGATGCTCATGACATTAATCACTGGATTGTCTGGTCCAGACTTGATTATTTACAGACTGCCGTCATCTAGCTGTAATATTGCTGAGTGCGGCGTTAAGCAACAAACCAACCAATAGCAAAACTGCATCTGAGTTTTACAGAATGGAAGTTCCTATGTAACATACAACAATTTTGTGTGGTTAATATGTTAAGTTGCATTCAGGAAAATAAAATAAAATAGCTATATTTTCTATCACGTTTCATATGATTTTGATGGAGTTCAGTCATTAAAATGCTTGCAATGTTGCTGTACAGAATTCTCAGATTTCAGTTTTGGCCCATTTTTATTGTTAAAAAAGTTAGTAATTATAAGGAATAGCTATCAATATTCATGATAGAATCATGAATGGTGTTGGCAATCCCCCCATGCTTTTTGCTAGAGGCGACTAAAGGGATCGGGTGGTCAGGCTTGCAGACTTGGTTGATGCGTGTCAATGTATCCCAATTGCTTATGATGTCAATCACTGGATTGTCTGGTCCAGACTTGATTATTTACAGACCGTTGTGATATAGCTGGAATATTGCTGAGTGCGGCATTAATCAAACAATCACTTGTTAGAATAACCCGTGCATCTAAAAAATTGGTATCAAGCCAGTTCTTGAATTCCAAACTCACGACAATGTTTGTGTGATTGCTTCATGGGACAAAAATCTTATTGATGCTGTTGTTGAATTACAGTGAACCAATCTACGCAAGGCAATCTCGATACAAGTCCGTCCAGACTAGAGACCCATTCAGGCAATCAACGTGAGTTGTTCAACTATGTACAAACTTATGATGATATCATAGGAAATCACCAGCTGTAATAAGTCTGAATGACGAGGGATGACTATTGGGGCTAATTATGTCTCCCCCAGAATGGAGGGAGACATATTGTTTTTGGCACGGTTCCCGTCGGCGTCGGCGTGGGCGTCGGCGTTCCCACCGTTTCCGGACCATAACTCAGAAACCGTTTAATATTTTTTCGCGAAACTTTGTATACACATTAACCCAGCACTGAAGTGGTGCCTTTTGCTATTTAGAGATTTTTGACATTTTTATTTTTTCCTGTTTCCATGGAGATAACTTGAACATAGACTCTGAATGGGGGTAAGCTTGGTTTCCGGACCATAACTCGGAAACCGTTTAATATTTTTTCGCGAAACTTTGTATACACATTAACCCAGCACTGAAGTGGTGCCCATTAGTTGTTTGAAATTTCTAGGAGTTCTATTTTTGTCTCTGTTATTTAGTAATGGAGGGTGGGAATGAAGAGATGGGGTTTAACGTGAAGTAAACGAATGAATGGGGGTTAGGGGAGTGGGGGGAGACATATGTTTTTACGAGTAAAAACACTTTCTAGTTTCACTATTGCAATTGCACTTCAATAGTAGCCCAAACTATTGCAATAGTATTGCGATGGTAGTAAACCAACTTTAAGGCTTTATGATTATATTAGTCAATGTAATAGAAATAAATAAAGTCTGACAATCTCAAATACGGCCATTTTCCTACCTATCACTACTCAAACCAAAGGGAAGTAACTCTAATCTTGAGTTGTTAATATCCTTGCTTACCTACCACACAGACAGGCTTGAAATGGGCATAATATAATGTATTATTAACAACTAATTGCAACCACTGAAACTGTCGATTGTTATGCATACTTTTGGCATTTTTAAACCATTGTGATAATTCAACAGTTCAATATATCTTTACACTCTTATAAAGGACCACTGTTTTATGAAGTCTTACGGGTAAGGTTAGATTATTGAAACTTATTTTATGAAATGTTTCTAGGTAAATAGTCTTTGCTCATTAACATGATGTACTAATCATGCATTTCAAAGTTGTCTCTTTGGTTTTGACTTCCTGTCAACACTGCCACAAATACAGACCAGAATAATCAACCAAGACTGACTATTGTGTAGACAGGCAGTCGCCATGATCATTCTCATAAGAGCGTTTTGGTATGCTGGCAATAAAACTAGACATTTTGCAATCCTAGCACCGGATGCAAAGCTGACCGTTCGAGCCGGAGATAAAACCTGGGAAAATGAGATGGCAGACACCCAAAGCATCCGGTTCAAGGAGGTAGCCAAGGAGTTTGAAAAGGAGGTATGGACATCTTCTTTGAGTGGCATTTAGAAGTTGGAATGGTAACTAAGACAAGATTGTTATGGATGAGCAACTTCTTTATTACAATTGGGCGACGTTTCGGTGTAGATTCTAACGCCGCCTTGATCGCCCAATTGTAATAAAGATGTTGCTCATCCATAACAATTTTGTCTTAGGTATAGACATGTTTATAATATTCTGCACAGACTTCGTGATGACACTTGGCCATCATACACAGCCTAGATAATCATTATTGTAAGGGATCAGTGTCTCCAATTGCTAAGGATTGATTTGTATGTTACTATGGCCACACTTTTTAAATTTATTGCTCACAGATGTTTGATTGCCTCTGCCCAAAATATAGTAAATTTTCGTGTTGCTTGATACTTTTATTTGATTTGGCAAGAAGTTGTGTGGGTTTATTAGTTTGGTGAGAATACGTAGCTGCTGATACTATTGAAAGTGCAGGAAGGTTAGTAGTTTACAGTAACATGTATTATGTTTGTGCTCTTGAGAAGGCTTTCTTCGCTTTATACTGATAATTGTCAATGCAAGAAAATAACAAGTCTAGATTATTCACCGAAACAGATTCCATTTGGCGTAAAGGGCAAAATAGCTGTGAAAATAATATGAATGGATAATTGAAAATCAGTGATGACACCACATACAGTGCATTTGATCAATTGTGATTATTTATAGGGTTACAGCTGGTTAATCATGTGAATAGCCAATTTAGTTTGGTATGATTTTGAAATTATATATTTTCATTTTTTCTAATCCACCAAAGAATGGCTGTGGGGCATAAAGAATAAATTGTAACTATTTTGTATTTCATTTTATAATTGTGGCTTTTGGCTCCGGTCAATCATGTCCATAACCCCCAAAATAAGAAAATCTAAAAGATGCTTGTGATGACAAAATCTCAGTTCACAAGAATGGAAGCAGTTTTAGTTGTCCAAACAGTGAGTGAGTAAGTGAGAGTGAGTGTGTGAGTGAGTGCAGTTATCCAAACAATGTGTGAGTGAGTGCAGTTATCCAAACAATGTGTGAGTGAGTGAAGTTGTCCAAACAATGTGTGAGTGAGTGAGTGAGTGAGTGAGTGAGTGTGTGTGTGCGTGCGTGCGTGTGTGCGTGCGTGCGTGCGTGTGTGTGTGAGGGAGGGAGGGTGCGTGCGTGCAGGAGGGAGGGAGGGAGGGAGGGAGGCGTGCATGCGTGTGTGCGTACGTGCAGTTGTCCAAACAGTGTGTGAGTGAGTGAGTGAGTGAGTTGCTGTGAAGCCTGCTTACCACCCTGGGCCTCCTTGTAGGAAAATAGTCTTTATTGTCCCTTCTTTCAACTTCAGCTTGATTCTGTCTTCCTTGCCAGTCCTGTGAAAGATGTGTACAACTTCAGCATGGTGTCAGGTCTCAGGTAAGTGAACACTTCATGCATGATGTGATACAAGAAAACTGGATTAACTGGAGCTGTCTTATCAAAGACGTTGACAAGGAAATCGACCAAAACACATCTTTTGTTAGTTAAAACAAAACTTGGCAATATTCCAGCAGACAGCCGTCAGTAAATAATAAAACCTGGACCAAACAAACTAGTGATTAATATCATGAGCAGCATGCCATGCCATTCTAAGTGTTGACACGTTGACAAGGGTTGTGTATTGCCTGAAAATGTTCTTGTTTGCAATATATTGTGATTCTTAGGTCTATTGTGATATGATTTGAAATATTTTGCCCTCAACTCACTGCTGTGATGTTTCTTCCACTTTCGACCATGTTATGTTCATGTTATCAGCCCAACATAGCGCCATACATGTTAGTTGGCTCTTTTGTTTGGAACGATTTCATGATCAAGACGCTCGGCCACCATATTTAGCTGTAGTACCATCATATCAAGGGGGGTAGCGGTGACAAATAGCACAGCATGCTAGAAATATATTCCCCTGAGGGGGCGGTCGGGTGGTGGTTAAAGCGTTGGCTCGTCACGCCGAAGACCCGGGTTCGATTCCCGACATGAGTTCAATGTGTGAAGCCCATTTCTGGTGTCCCCTGCCGTGATATTGCTGGAATATTGCTAAAAGCGGCGTAAAACCATACTCACTCACTCACTCACTCACTCACTCACTCACTATTCCCCTGAGATTAGTTGTACCAGGAATGTTATATTATTGATAACACCCAAAGAAATACAGTCAAGTCTCGTTTATCCGACACTCGTTAATCCGACAATCGGCTTTATCCGACACAAATGATGGGAACCGATTAAATCAGTGCTGTTTAGACCCATTAATCTGACAGTCTCGCACTCCGACTCCGACACACCTAATTTGCAACGATTTGCTGAAATCACTCATTAATCAGTCTCGTTAATCCGACACAGGATCAGCGTACTCCATGGTCATCTGCCCGCGAGTACATAGCCCTGTGTTTTGATGCATATTTAAACGGCTGCAGAGATAAACTTTGTGTTTTGTGATAAACTTTAGAGTTTGCATGATTAGAAAACATATTCCGCGAACAATGTAACACAACAATATGAATATTTCCTTTTTCCTTTTTTTAATACAACATGTTTGAATCGTTATCTATCGTGTAGTTGTCCAATTTTCGATCCGACATACTCATTAATCCGACATAATCATATGCAACCAACAATGTCGGATTAACGGGACTTGACTGTACTTATTCTAGTATTTTCTCAATATGAAGACTGATTCAGATGGTACCTCAATGTGTATTGTTAAAGATTTGCATCAGGGTTTCCTGGTATAACAGGCAATCAACAATGTGTATTGTGGAAGGTTACTGGCATAATGTGCAAGCGTGATGATACACTATCAACCAAGTCACTGACCCTTACCTCCTGATCCATTTGGGCGGTCGGGTAGCCTAGTGGTTTAAGCGTTCGCTCGTCACGCCGAAGACCCGGGTTCGATTCCCGACATGGGTACAATGTGTGAAGCCCATTTCTGGTGTCCCCCGCCGTGATATTGCTGGAATATTGCTAAAAGCGGCGTAAAACCATACTCACTCACTCCTGATCCATTTTGTCTCCTTTTACGATAAGCAGGGCTCCAGATAATTTATCAGTATCAGGAGTAAGTACTCCTCATTATTTCAAAATAGGACTACTGGCAAAACTAAAGAGTACACTTTGAGTACTGAATGGAATTTAATGGATTCATCTTGTATTTCATCTCAGATATGCACGACAGCATTTCTACTCACATGTAAGCAGGTCAATAAACAACAAATAATACTTTTTTCATTGTACATGTATGTCGGTTGTATAATGCGTACTTTCAGATAAAACATCACTAGACATGTCTATTGTATATTGTGCACTTTCAGATAAAACATCACTAGACATGTCTATTGTATATTGTGCACTTTCAGATAAAACATCACTAGACATGTCTATTGTATATTGTGCACTTTCAGATAAAACATCACTAGACATGTCTATTGTATATTGTGCACTTTCAGATAAAACATCACTAGACATGATAATTTACTGTTTAAATTGTATTTACAGTTCTACTAGGCATTGTTTTATTGGCTGCGATTAAGATGACCGTGTGTATTTTCTCGTAAACTAAGCCGGAAACAGCAAGTGCAAGTATTTGTTGATAGTAGTGGGACAAACCACATATGTCCTACCTTTTAGACATTTTAAATCTTGCCCTTTATTGGACCTTTACACTAGACCATGCAGCTAAATTATCTCGAAATGTAATTCCTGCACTGTTAACATCATCCCCTCAGAAACCACTGGACCAATGAAGTTGAAACTTCTGTATTTGCTCCCACCAATGATGACACCCCAATGTGTTTCGAAAAGATCCACCACAGAACCCATAATGAAAAATATGTTTATTGCTCTTACTCAGATATTTTTTTCAGAATGTAATGAAATTTGGTATGTGTTTAGTAGTTCAAGTCTTGTTCAACTTTTTAAATTTTTTTACATTTTGTCCTTAGTTTGAACTTGCACTTGTGTATGGACAAACCTCTTAATTCAATCAAAATGTGCTTTAGGCTCTGAGCATCATCTCCTGAGAAAGCACTGGACAACTAAAATCTGAACCTCCAGATACTTGTTTCACCCAGTGATGGCATCTGAATATGTTCACCAGCGATATTGAAAACTTATTTACCATATTTTAACTGGTGTTATATTGCAATAAACTAATACGATAAACTTGGTATCACGATCCGATAAATATGCAAATGAGGGCACCTAGCAGGAACTACTTTCAAGCTCCTTACATCGATGCAATAAACCATTGACTGACAATCCCACTTTTATTATTTGTTGTAGTATTTGTTGAGACACTTGTCGATTTGAAAAATTTGAATAGCTTTAGTTGCAGTGATGACATTTTGAACTGTTGACTGCATATCCAGGTGAGCTACAACGACGTGGCACTATATAATTTTCATGTATTTCAATCTCAGATTCTGTGTTAGGTTATCTTCAATCATTACGTGGTAAAAAAGACATTGTTATCTTCAATTGTTTCATGGCTAAAAAAACATTTTTTTATTTCTTATATATTTTATATTTATATCTCCAAATGTTACAGTTCTGGTAGTGTGATAGCCCAGGTTGAAGTTTTCTTCATTACGGAGACTGTGGAAACGACTGTGTCACAGAAACAGCAGGTAGCCAACTATAAGGCCAACCCACAGACATTCCAGGTGGTGGTGAAAGAGGCCTTTGCAGAGAGGGCCAAAGAGAGAGCCAGAAATAATATCAATACAGGTCCAACATTTGACAGCTCAAATGTAGAAACAGTTGTTGTGACCACAACTACAACCACCACAACGACCACCACACCAACAACAACCCCACAAGCAATGACAACTCAAGCAGCAACAACTCAAGCAGCAACAACTCAAGCAGCAACAACACAAGCAGCAACAACTCAAGCAGCAACAACTCAAGCAGCAACAACTCAAGCGGCAACTACACAAGCAGCAACTACACAAGCAGCAACTACACAAGCAGCAACAACTCAAGCAGCAACAACTCAAGCAGCAACAACACAAGCAGCAACAACTCAAGCAGCAACAACTCAAGCAGCAACTACACAAGCAGCAACTACACAAACAGCAACAACTCAAGCAGCAACAACTCAAGCAGCAACAACTCAAGCAGCAACAACTCAAGCAGCAACTACACAAGCAGCAACAACTCAAGCAGCAACAACACAAGCAGCAACAACTCAAGCAGCAACAACTCAAGCAGCAACTACACAAGCAGCAACAACTCAAGCAGCAACAACTCAAGCAGCAACAACTCAAGCAGCAACAACTCAAGCAGCAACTACACAAGCAGCAACTACACAAGCAGCAACAGAAGCAGCTACAACTCAAGCAGCAACAACTCAAGCAGCAACTACACAAGCAGCAACACAAGCAGCTACTACACAAGCAACAACACAAGCAGCTACTACACAAGCAGCAACACAAGCAGCAACAACTCAAGCAGCAACAACTCAAGCAGCAACAACTCAAGCAGCTACTACACAAGCAGCTACTACACAAGCAGCAACACAAGCAGCTACTACACAAGCAGCTACTACACAAGCAGCAACACAAGCAGCAACAGAAGCAGCTACTACACAAGCAGCTACTACACAAGCAGCTACTACACAAGCAGCAACACAAGCAGCAACACAAGCAGCTACTACACAAGCAGCAACACAAGCAGCTACTACACAAGCAGCAACAGAAGCAGCTACTACACAAGCAGCAACACAAGCAGCTACTACACAAGCAGCAACAGAAGCAGCTACTACACAAGCCACCACAACAGTCCAGACAGCATCAACAACCAGCAACCAGCCAGATGTAGTAACAACAACTACAATAGCAGCTCCAACCACAACTCCACCTCCAGAGCCGGAAGTTGGTGAGTAATGTTTTGTAGATAATACAATGGAGTCAGCAGGGGTCACAGATAGGGCCGGTCTGTTTGTAGCCATCAACCACTTTCCAGTTTCATTGTTGAACAAAAAAAAAATCTGCTGGAGACATTACATTCATTGACTCGACCGTCAAGACATCATTACATTCATTGACTCGACCGTCAAGACATCATTACATTCATTGACTCGACCGTCAAGACATCATTACATTCATTGACTACACCGTCAAGACATCATTACATTCATTGACTCGACCGTCAAGACATCCAATTGGACCCTTTGCTATTTTACGTGTTGAGTTGCTCTTGCTATTAATGTGGAAAAAAAACCAAAATTCACAGATAGGCAGAATATCTATAAAACTATATGAAACAGCCTTTGCTGTTTTGACTGCTCATCTTCATATCTATATCGACCGCCCCTGTGGTCTAGTGGTACAGCGTCCGCCTGGAGAGCGGAAAGTTCAGGGTTCGATCCCCGGCCGCGTCATACTTGTTGTTACCATCGGCATTAAGGGCCTAAAACAAGGACTGTTCGGCTCAGAGTCATATACTGTGTCTGAGAAATGTATTCATGTTAAACTGCGGCATGGTATCTCAGTGAGCTAGCACTATAAATCAGCATCAGTCCATACTAGTAAAAGCAGTCACACACACACATGCATGCACATTTGATCTTATCTTGGACGCGACGTTAAACCCAATTTCATCACACCTAACCTCATATCTATATGATCTGAGACAAGGGGACATGATTCTGATTTAATGCTTCTACTTGACAATGGGCAATAGGAGGGGTTTGGGAACTCCAGGATTAGATCTTGTCATTTTTGTAGTTTTGAAATCGATGGTCCATTCCAGTTTGGTGGGTCGGTGCTTGGTTGTGCCCTGTTCTGACACAGGGTCTGATTTTGGCTGTTGTATGATTTGGTATTGTAGGCCTCTGGTGGAGTGCCCAGTTGAGGTGAAATGGTTGGTGACAAGTTTGTCTCCCTGGTTGGTAAAGTGTTCGTTAAGTCGAATGTAGAAATGATGTTTTGATTTTCCTACATATTGTTCAGGACATTTTGATCAGAGTAAGTAGGTGAGGTTTCTACTCTTGCAGGTAAAGTGTGTGGAGTACTTGTATTTCTTGCCTGTTGTGTTTGGACATTCATGCAGATTTGGCAGGCTGGTTTTGGGCAATTGTCATCCAGTTTAGTGACAGTTTGACCGCTAGTTCAGTGTTCCCGTTTACCGGTAATTACCCGTTTTTAACCGGTAAAATTAGGCTTGGACCGGTAATTCATGTGACTGCCAGTCCCTGTGGACCGGCAAATTAAGTACCTTATAAATCTTTGTTGTTGAACAAAACATCTGTGATATTCATATAAGTACATTTTTTCAAACAAAGTCTGCATGTCTGTTACCATCAGGGTCTCTCCTTGTCTATTTCTAGGATAAATATCCATTTATAGCAACTTCGTCTCGAATATTAAAAAAAAAGAAGAGAAAATTGTGACTGAAGTTTGTGTGGATGGCGTATAGATCAAACTAAGTTACTTCAGAGATGACATCTTTGCACTGAGCATGATGTTGAAAGAATTGAAACCAAATAATTTTCATGTGTTTTTTTATTTGTTGAAAGTTTGGACTGGCAAAAATTAGGAGGGACTGGTAATTTTAAGAGTTGCCAGTCCACAAGGACTGGCAGTTTCAAAGCCAGCGGGAATACTGTAGTTGTGGGTTTGGTGGTGGGTATGTCATGGCTGCTTTCCCGGTGATGTCTCTTTGTGTGTGGTTCTTTCTGTATTGTTGTGATGTGAGGGACTTGGACATTTTTTATGTGAGCAAGCATCTGGCCCTGCTAGAAGGTGCAAGTTCATGAGATCCGGCTTGGTATAGGCCTTCAGCAACCCATTGCTTGCCATAAAAGGCAGCAATGCTTGTTGTAAGAGGCGACTAACAGGATCGGGTGGTCAAGCTTGCTGACTTGGTTGATGCATGTCATCGTATCCCAATTGTGTGGATCGATGCTATTGATGTCAATCAATGGGTTTTCTGGTCCAGACTCAATAATTTACAGACCGCTGTCAAATAGCTGGAATATTGCGGAGTGCTGTGTTAAACAACAAACAAGCAAGCCAGTTCTTGATTGTGGAGCTGAAGAGTGCAGTAATCTATGATGAAGATAACTGGTTTAGTGTCTTCAGAAAGTTTTGTTTTTTTTTTGTTAAGAGGAGTGTTCTTATCCATTAAGATTTTCATAGGATAGCCTCTCCTCAGGTATACATGACCAAGTTATTGCTGTGGAACTCTTATTACGACTGCAAGGTGCATATCATTTTGAGTCATAGTAATTGGCTATGAGGTACTTTGACCTTGAGGTCTCAGATGTGGATGGCAAGAAGTGTATGGCAGATAGAAGAGCGTATCTGTTGTCTTGCAGTATAGGTCAAATTCTGGTTTGTGTGTGTTCTGTTTAAAAATGACCCATGTATCTAAGAAAGCCACCTTATCCCTTGAAAATTCATCCATTCATATTGAGGAAAATAGTGTATGCACCCCATGTGAAGAACTGACAATGTTATATATCTGGAATATGGTATCGCTTAATAAGTCCTACATGCTACTTACCTAATCTTTTTCCAAAGAGCAGGTTAGGATGATGATAAAATGGTCAACAATGGCTGCCAGGATGAATAGTTACTCTACTGGTGACCAATAGGAAAATATTTTTGTTCAGCTCGAGGCTTGGCATATTTGCTTTCATTGCTTACACTGTTATTGTTGGTTTGTTGTTTAATGCTGCACTCAGCAGTATTCCGGCTACATGATGGCAGTCTGTAAATAATCAAGTCTGGACCAGACAATCCAGTGACTGATATCATGAGCATCGATCCACGCAATTGGGATACGATGACATGCATTAACCAAGTCAGCGAGCCTGACCACCAGATCCTGTTAGTTGCCTCTTACGACAGGCATTGTTGCCTTTGACATCAAACATAGGTTGCTGAAGACCTATTCTACCCCGGACCTTCATGGGTAACACTGATATTGATGTGTATTGGCAGGGCAATCGTATCACTGCATCCACAGAACAATATTTCTCAAATTACAGATTGTGACACTTAGACATCACTTTACTTTAATATGAACAGTGCTTGTTCATAGGAACTACAGGCAAACATTTTACTATGATCATGTAAAACCAAAGGTAAAGATGAATAAATGAAATGTGTGGTAACTGGTTTGAGACTTGTTGCAGTGCCTGACTACAACGCCTCCTTGACCGTGGCCAACCAGCAGTGGAACAACGCACTCAACGACACCACCAGCGAGGAGTTCAAGAACATGTCTGCTAAAGTTGTTGCCCAGGTCAGTCGTATGGCTGGAATATTGCTATCAGTGTTGTCCGCTGTTGTCACATGGCTGGAATATTGCTGTCAGTGTTGTCCGCTGTTGTCACATGGCAGGAATATTGCTATCAGTGTTGTCCGCTGTTGTCACATGGCTGGAATATTGCTATCAGTGTTGTCCGCTGTTGTCACATGGCTGGAATATTGCTATCACTGTTGTCCGCTGTTGTCACATGGCAGGAATATTGCTATCAGTGTTGCCCCTGTTGTCACATGGCTGGAATATTGCTATCAGTGTTGTCCGCTGTTGTCACATGGCTGGAATATTGCTATCAGTGTTGTCCGCTGTTGTCACATGGCTGGAATATTGCTATCAGTGTTGTCCGCTGTTGTCACATGACTGGAATATTGCTATCACTGTTGCCCCTGTTGTCACATGGCAGGAATATTGCTATCACTGTTGCTCCTGTTATCACATGGCTGGAATATTGCTATCAGTGTTGCCCCTGTTGTCACATGGCAGGAATATTGCTATCAGTGTTGTCCCTGTTGTCACATGGCAGGAATATTGCTATCAGTGTTGCCCCTGTTGTCACATGGCTGGAATATTGCTATCAGTGTTGTCCGCTGTTATCACATTGCTGGAATATTGCTATCAGTGTTGCCCCTGTTGTCAGATGGCTGGAATATTGCTATCACTGTTGTCCCCTGTTATCACATGGCTTGAATATTGCTATCAGTGTTGTCCCCTGTTGTCACATGGCAGGAATATTGCTATCAGTGTTGCCCCTGTTGTCACATGGCTGGAATATTGCTATCACTGTTGTCCGCTGTTATCACATTGCTGGAATATTGCTATCAGTGTTGCCCCTGTTGTCAGATGGCTGGAATATTGCTATCACTGTTGTCCCCTGTTATCACATGGCTTGAATATTGCTATCAGTGATGTCCCCTGTTGTCACATGGCAGGAATATTGCTATCAGTGTTGCCCCTGTTGTCACATGGCTGGAATATTGCTATCACTGTTGTTCCCTGTTATCACATGGCTGGAATATTGCTATCACTGTTGTCCCCTGTTATCACATGGCTGGAATATTGCTATCAGTGTTGCCCCTATTGTCACATGGCTGGAATATTGCTATCACTGTTGTCCCCTGTTATCACATGGCTGGAATATTGCTATCAGTGTTGCCCCTGTTGTCACATGGCAGGAATATTGCTATCAGTGTTGCCCCTGTTGTCACATGGCAGGAATATTGCTATCACTGTTGTCTGAAGATTTATAAGTCCATTCTTTATTGTGATATCACTTTGCTGCAATGGAGATGACCAATGATCACCGACTGCAACTTCAGTAGTGACATGTATATTTCAGGTTGATGAAGTCATGAAGAACAGTAACATGAGTGAATTGTACAACCGCACCGAGGTTTCATCCATGAGGTAAGATGACTGTTCTCTGCCTCAATCCATCATCTGTACCAGCTTCATGTTTTATGTCATCTTTCCTGTTTGTTTATTGGTTTCAGATATTTTAGGTGAAAAAAGCATCAAGCATTGTAACACTAAAATAACTTTACCATATATGTTTATTTTGTTCAAAGATTTATTTTCAAAATGTCTTATTTTGAATGAAAAAAGGCAAACTAGCATGTTGTTTTCACAGCCAAAAGATATAAAAGTAAAAGCCAAATCTTTTTGGTATGTTTAGAAGATTCTTTCACCTGGAGTATCATTAATAAAATATTTGTGTCAGCAGTGTGTTTAGTTGCAGTAACTTTTATGTGACGTGTTTTGAACATGGTTATTTGCCAGCTGTAATGTTACGAGTGAGAGAACGTCTTGGTGAGTATTTCTTCAGGATGGAAGTACCTATAGGGGCTCGATGCTAGTTTATACATATTAGTGTTTGCGTATCCTAGATTTTCCTACACTGTTGTTAGAAGTCCAAACCTTATGTTTACAGTAGAGACTACTCTAAGGTCTGAATTAGAACTAGATTAGTGTGTTTCTTAAAGTCATCTAGTTCTAGACAAACAGATCATGCTTTCTGAATTGTCTTAGTCTCAGGGTTTATTTTACTATTGTAAAATAAGTCTTGCTTTGTGTTTCTATAGATAGCACATTGTGCTTTTACAGGAATACCATCTATTTACAGTTGTAACTCATGAAGTAAGACTGGTTTTGTGTTTCTACCATGTCTTTATAAACATCGATAACACAGTGCTCTTTGAGAGTAACTGGTGATACAGTGGTGACTTATAGTTTACTGTCCAGCATTGCACCCCTGAGAGAGGGTGTCAACAACAGAGGCTTCTTCTTCAGTCAAGGAGCAGTGGTATCAGAATTTATGCCGATTCAGCATTTGATCTTAACTTGGTGTTGGAATATACAATGATCAAGTATTTGCAAAAAAAGGGCTTAACGCCATAAGCCATCAATGAAAATATGAGTACATAGGGAATGTGGGTAGCAAAGTTTAAGCATGGCAGATGAGCCTTGAAGACTGCCCCATTCCTTGAAGACCTGTCACATCAGCAACAACAGAAATGGTCCAGAGAATCCACAATATTGTGATGACCGACTGGCGATTGACTGAGCGTCATATTGCTATAGTTCAGTAGGCGATTTCCCTGGAGATAGTACCTTCCATTATCACAGATACTTTGGCAATGAAGCTTCTGACATCTGATAACTCACTAGGCACATCTCCAGTGAAAATATAGCTCTATTTGAAGCTGATTGAGAAAGCTAGGTTCTTGCAATAAGTTGTGATTGTAGGCAATTGCAGTCCAAACAACAATCAAGCATTTGGAAGCATTTGCCATCACCATCAACATCACCATCACCATCACCATCAGCTGGAAAGGTTATGGCTTCCGTGTTCTGGGACACCAATGGTGGACAATCCTAAATGGAGCATATCATGCTGCATATTTGTGGCAATTACAGGATGAAATTAGGGCTGCAGGATGTGGGAAGCTGAGAAAAACTGTGCTCTTCCATCACGTCAATGTGCCAGTGCACAAATCAGTCATTGCCATTACTACAATCCAAGAGTAAGGCTTTGAACCCCTTCATCGCCCGTCTTATTCTCCTGACTTCCATCTGTTCCCAAACATTCAGAAAGCTCTAGCTGGAACCCATTTCAACTCGAACAATGACATCATTGCAGGTGGGGATAACTTTTTGGACAGCCAAGAGAAGGGCTGTTGCAAAACTGGGATAAGATCCTTCCAACATCTATCGCAAACAGTATGACGGTGGAGGGGTTTGGTTTTGGTTTGTTGTTTTACGCCGCACTCATCAATATTCCAGCTATATGACGGCGGTTTGTAAGTAATCGGGTCTGAACCAGACAATCCATTGATTTACATCCTGAACATCAATCCACGCAATTTGGATCGATGACATGCATCGGATCCGGTGGTCAGGTTTGCTGACTGGTTGGTGCATGTCATCGTATATTAATTGCATGGATCGATGCTCAAGATGTCAATCACTGGATTGTCTGGTCCAGACTTGATTATTTACACACCGACGTCATATAGCTGGAATATTGCTGAGTGTGACATTAAATAACAAATAAGATAAAAAAATCTAAATACCCAAGGGACCACAGAAGCTGAAACTTTACATGCTTGTTCCGACCATTGAAAAGATCTCAACAGGTCAGATCAGATCTGTTCCACAATATGCCATCATGTCTGTCAATTTGAGAAACACCTTATGACCTTTATGGTAATTTTAAGATGTTCTTATTTAACCATATATATCTAAGCCTTTTGTAGGTTTTTTAGAACTATAACTTTTCTGTCAATCATTTTCTGTAGATTTTAGTGTTTTTATGTGAACTGATATTTCATTGCATTTCTATACAAAACAAACCTTTAATTGGCTCTGGATGGTGTCAGAACTGTTTAACCAAAAAAACAACATTTTTCATTCTTGTGTTTTTCATTTCAAACAAATCCTGATCTGAGACCTGTAAATAGTTCTAAAACATAAACCCTTTTTACTTACAACTGTATTTGTGTGTTTGTTTGTTTGTTTGTTGTTTAGCGCCACACTCAGCAATATTTCAGCTTTATGACAGCGGTCTGTAAATAATCAAGTCTGGACTAGACAATCCAGTGATTGACATCATGATTATTTACAGACTGACGTTTTATAGCTGGAATATTGCTGAGTGTGGCATTAAACAACAAACAAACAAAACAAAACAATACCAGTATTTTTCCTCAACAGCCAAGGAAGTGTCATCGTTATCTTCATCATCATCTTCAACCCTGTGCCCCAAGCTGAGGTAAAACCAGATGTCTTGGTCATCATTAAACAGCCAACAAAAATGAAAGAGGTTTTCAAAGAGGGGATACAACGGATGAAGGAAGAGCTTAAGAATAACCCTGACAAAAAACCCGTATCTGATATAGAATTGGATGAAGAAAGCTTAGATTTTGAACCAGTTTACAAGCCTTCACCATGTGAATCGGCCGTTATGGACGTAGCTTCCCACTGTAAGGCTGCATATGAAAAGTTTGTGGACATGGCAACTAAAGAGGGAGACTATTGCAAGTAAGTTATATGTTCTTTAAGACTGAAACCTGAAGATCCGGGGTAGAATAGGTCTTCAGCCCCCCATGCTTGCCGTAAAAGGCGACTATGCTTGTCATAAGAGCCGACTAACGGAATTGGGTGGTCAGGCTGGCTGACTTTGTTGATGCATGTCAACGATTCCAATTGCATGGATCAATGCTCATGATATCAATCACTGGAATGTCTGGTCCAGACTCGATTATTTACAGACTGCCGTCAAAAAGCTGGAATATTGCTGAATGTGGTGTTAAACAACAAACCAACCAACCTTTTAGACAGAAAAAAGAAAGCTGATTACAAGTCATTTGTGAGAATTTGTCCTTACTTTCGTCTCCTATTTGGATAGTTGTGTTGTGTATTTAGAGTAAATCTTACTGTCTAATGTTGGTCATGTGTGTAGATACACCAGCTCGCATAGTAAACAAAAGATGCCAAGTTTTGTGTTAATGCCATAGCCACAAGCTAAGGAATTGCTATGATTTTCGACACTGGATCATTATTGCTTCAACATTGATTGATGAAATATGCTAATAATATCGAGAGAAACACGTAAACAATTTATATGTTAGCATTGGCAAAACAATAATAAATTTGAATGCATTCTTTGTATTCCTCAGTCGCTCCAAGTTTCTGTAACTCTGTAAGTTGAATTGCAGCGCCTGTATGTTGATTAGTCTGCATTTGACTCATATCTTCTTTGAGGGGTGGTCAGGTAGCCGAGAAGTTAAAGCGTTCGCTCGTGACCCCGAAGATCCGGGTTCATTTCCCGACATGGGTACAATGTCTGAAGCCCATTTCTGGTGTCCCCTGCCGCGATATTGCTGAAATATTGCTAAAAGTGGCATAAAACCATACTAATGAATATCCTCCTGATTATTAAAACCTTTCTAACTGTAGAACAATTTACAATGGAACTGTTTGAGAAATAAGTTAGTTATATAAATATTTAAGCCAATATTATTTGACCATTGGTGTGCCTGGACTTCGCATGATTATTCTCAGGCTGCTGTGTCCTCTGGCTTTGATACTGCTGATTACAATGGAGAACAAGCGAAAAAAACATTTCTCAATGAATAAACTTACATAAGGCATAAATCTTCTAAGTAGGGCTAATCTGCATTATGTTACATCTAATATGAAAGCATACAGGTGAGTCACAGAACCTGTCTATCCTTTCTGTTAATTTGACTATATTCATAAACTATGTAGTAAAGCAGTCCAAACACTATATTCACATGCATGTGTACTCCTGTATTCTCGTTACAGCCCCTATGAGTTCTATGTGAGCTGTCTGAAGTTCATGGTGAACTTCTTCAGAAAGGACTGCCATGTGTACCATGTGTCCAGTGCTGCCAACTACTATGTCTCCCAGAAGGATCCCAGCATGGCACCACTTACATCCAAGTGTGCAGGTATGTTCTTGCTGTGCTTGCCTTGGTCAAACAGTTGGTGATTGTGCTCATAAGAGCCATATTCTCTGGTGATATTGCTTGAACTGAAGCTGTAAATCCTGGGGGAGCCATGTTTGGAAAATAAAGTGCCTTACCTTCCATGGCATGAAGTTCTGGCAGTGACCTGATTGCTTTCATTGGTTAATCATTTGACTTCTTCCAATTTTTAGCACACCTGACTGTAAGTCGTGTGAGCATATGTCATGTCCGAGGTTTTGTCGTGAATTGTGCTTCGTCCGTGTCAAACATCATCTCCTCAGAAACCTCTGCACCAATGAAGCTGAGAACTTGAATCTGATTTTCAATATGGCTGCCACAGGAGCCATATTGTAATCAAATTGTGTTTTATGTGTAGCTAGTAGTGAAGTTCAAAATGTATATCTGTTCCAAGTTATTGGGATACTTTAAATTTTAACCTTGATTTGACCATTGCAGATGATTTTACTGAAAGCTGAAACTTCTTTGACAATGACGAAACCATTTTCTTTCAAAATGTCTTGAAATTAGGTACTTGTATAGTTAGTAGTGGAACCTAACACTCATGTTCTGTTTTCACGATATTATTAATTGTTACCTTTATTTTACCTTTAACACGTCCCATTTTAATTCTGGAAACCCAAAAGTCCAGAAACTCTACGCTCTTTGCCCAGTCTCGGTTAAAGGTATTTACAAAATTAAACATGCCGTTTTCATGGGAACATACCAAGGAAGAAAATATGAAAAAAAAATTGTTTAAAAACTCAATATGTAGACTATGTCGCCCATCGGCCTGCCCATGGGCGAAGTGTGGCCCATGGGCCTGCCCATGGGCGAAGTCTGGCCCATGGGTAGGCCCATGGGCAGGCCCATGGGCAAGAATATGTTCCTTTACTTAAAACTCATGTTTTTGTTTCGCAAATACATTTAATGTATTCATTCAAGTATCATGACACAAAATTTAACTCATTTTAACTTAATTCAACGATTTTATAGCGATATTGAAATATTTCGCCCATGGGCGAGAAAAAGGTTTGGCCCATGGGCGAGAATATGTTCCTGTACTTAAAACTCATGATTTTGTTTCGCAAATGCATTAAATGTATTGAAAGAAGTATCATGACACAAAATTTAACTCATTTTAACTTAATTCAACGATTTTATAGTGATATTGAAATATTTCGCCCCTGGGTGAGAAAAAGGTTTGGCCCATGGGCGAAAATATGTTCCTTTACTTAAAACTCATGATTTTGTTTCGCAAATACATTAAATGTATTCATTGAAGTATCATGACACAAAACTTAATGAAAAAATGAAGAAGAAAAAATGTTCAAAAACTCAATATTTAGACTATGTCGCCCATGGGCCTGCCCATGGGCGAGAATATGTTCCTTTACTCAACTCATGTTTTTGTTTCGCAAATACATTAAATGTATTTATTTAAGTATCATGACACAAAATTTAACTCATTTTAACTTAATTCAACGATTTTATAGTGATGTTGAAATATTTCGCCCATTGGCGACAAAAGGGTTTGGCCCATGGGCGAGAATATTTTCCTTTACTTAAAACTTATGTTTTTGTTTCGCAAATACATGCAGGTGTTCTTACTATTTTCATGGCACATAATGTAACTCAATTTTACTCAATTCAGCTATTTTACAGATTTATTGAAATATTTCGCCCATGGGCGAGAAAAGATTTTGCCTTCGAAATCCTTGATTATTATATCATGCCAGAGTTCTGAAATTCAGTGACAATGTTGCTGAACAGTAGAATCTGATGGACGTATTGTGCAGAACCTGTTTGACACTATGGGTTCCAGGACCACTAACACTCTGAGCTGAAAAAGTTTGGTCCTAACCGCACCCAACATCTTTAATGAACCCGGCCTTATCTCTCAAAACGTTTTGGCAGTTTATCATACGAATTCATGTGCGTGTACAACATGAAATTTTAGTTAGTTTCTATTTCATTTCCCATTTTATGACCCGTTGATACATCCCACTGTGCAATTACGTGACAGGTACGCGTGCGCGTATTTTAATGGAAAGAAACTATTCGTCTTTTATTGCATAACGTTTGGCTGAATATCTTACATTCTAACGAAATCTCGAAATAATTATTTAATTACAAGCAGTGTCGAACTGACCAGTAGGAATTATGTTTCAATGCGATTGAGGAAAACGTGAGTGAATATTGTGACACTAAAGCAACTTTTAACTGCATTGTCACTTTTGGTATGAAAATGGTAATAGTTAAGAAAAACGTAACAGCCTTCTTATGATAATTCTCATATTCTCATTAGTACGTTGTGTCTAATTACAGTGTCGGCCTTATTTACAGGTGATTCTACAATACTTGTTGTCGGTCAATTACAATCTGCCACACCACGTGTGAATAAACAGTTATGCAGGTGTTGCTGTGGGCAAATACCTAGCCTGTACATGTATATTTTTGTGGATACATGTATTACATATTTTCGTTGATATGTGGATATATTAAGCACCAAGACACAAAATGTTTATGAAAGATGAATTTGTGCCTTGATATATATATTCAACGCGAACGAAGCTTGTATTTTCTCCGCGATCCTGATGTGTATCATCGTTTAATAGGTCATTCATTAAAAGGATGTTGTGAGGCGATATCAAAGGAGCCGCTCAATATACACTGTGTCGTCCGTTTCGCGTGAACTACCACCCTACCCTGTCAAGTAAGAGTTATGTAATCGGCACACAAATATATTTGGTGCGATGTCAGTGTGGAAGGAGTTTGAATTACGTCAGCCAGTGGCCACAGAAAGCGTAGTACCAATCAACAAGGCCAATGCCGTACTAATAACCTAGTGACTCGCGTAACAACGGCTGTCAATATGTCTGCTACATCTACCATACCATCATCCCTGTCACAACTGGCGTATTAACGGTTTATTCAAAAAATTATTGTAGAAATGTCGTTACCAGACTAACGTACGTCGTATTCAGTCCTCAACTGGATGTCACATTCCTTATATCAGTTAACAGCCCTGTTTGTGAAAATATTTACTAGACATAAGATTTAAAGACTAATAAAATCAATTGTAAGACCGCATAGACCATAAAACCGAATAAAATATGTCTTGGTATCATCTCTTGTGTATTAGATGATGGCAATGACCGGAAATGTTATAACGTTAGATTAAGAAGGAGAAACATTAAAGTGTTTTACAATACTTGGAAACATGAGCAATAAGATGTAGCAACATAAACATGCATGGAATAGGGAAAAAGGATGAAAACAAATTGAAAAGGATTTTAATACAAAATTATCGAACTAAATAACTTGCCTGAACAGAAGGGGTACCCAAACTTGTTTGACAGTTATTCGTGTGTTGTAGACTGTCGAATGGGACTCATGTGTGTACGTAGGGTACGCATATCTATTGCAAGTTTTAGTACTCATACACTTTCTCTTTTTGTGTTTTGTTTGTTTGTTAGTTGTATAACGCCACACTTAGCAATATTTCAGCTGTATGACGGCTTTCTGTAAATAATCGAGTCTGGACCAGACAATCCAGTGATTGACATCATGTGCATCGATCCACGCAATTGGGATACGATGACATGCATCAACCAAGTCAGCGAGCCTGACCACCCGATCCCGGTAGTCGCTTCTTACGACAAGCGCTGTCGCCCTTTTATGCCAAGAATGGTTTGTTGAAGATCTTCACGGGTCTATTGAATGCAGGGATTTGTGTAAAGTCATCAGACAGCATACAATGCCAACTAAAAAATTTTACTCAGTGTCTCCGCAAAGTAATATAGTACGGTACTTAGAGTACATGTGAGATTATACTCAGATTAGGGAGATGTTTAATCCATATAACGTGTTATTATTCTACCTAACAATGTATTTAATGAAATGAATGCAAAACAAACTCAACGGCTAAAAGGTTTCATTGAAAAAACTACCCCTAGTCTTGACTAATAAAACAACTGCAACCCGACACAGATTAAACGCAACTTACAAACACAATCATAATCTGGTTAGTCTGTATCACTCAACGAGGCCGCTTACTCTGCCCACAGTATGACAGTATTGGGCAGTTCAGTAATTAGGAGCCAAAACCAGGCAGGTACGCTGGTCACACTTGACTGGTCTGACTGATGATTAGGTCATCTGCCAATTGGGAGTGAACCATAGCAAGAAGTATCTGCGAAACTATTTGCTCCTTTTATGGGACCGATTAGTTTTATGACCATGGGCCTCGGCACAAGCGTGGTGTTGGAAGACAAGTTATACATGTACATCCGATATGGTGACTGTTTTTCGCTATTCATATTCTAAATACATTCATAATACCACAACATTTTAGTACTCCTTGAAACTTTACAATCACTTCAATATGTACAATAGATTGAACGAGAACACTTGATATATTGCAGATTATTAAATCATTGTCTCTATTATCAGCCGCTACGTTTGTATCGTTTGCATTGTACAAAGAAATATTTTGTCTGTCCTTTTACAGATTTAGCCTCAGAATGTGCTCATTCGAATTAGGAACGAAAATAATTGCTTATCATGAGTATATATGATACAGTTAAAAGTTACTTGTACACTGTAGACGTATTCACTTTAAAGTCGCATACGACCTTCGCGAGCGAGTTGAATAATCCAGGTATATTGGAACGAAGTCTAGAAAGGGTTATAAAGTTTTGTATTTGGTAATGTGTAGGTTTGTTAAATATAAATTTTTAAATTCCTTTTATTTCAATATGTAAAAACATAACTATGCGCTTAAAAACAGAGCTGACTTGATGGGAGATAGCCACCTCAGATTGTCTGTTGGACACGGTTTAACCTTACTGTGTCCTCACCCTGGTTGTTGTTACCGTTGTTATAAGGGATTAAGAGCTACGGCTCATTGCATTTTTGGTTACAGTCTGTATCACTAAAGTGGACATGTGCAGGTGAACTCTGTTCAATTAGTATATGAAATGCCCCAAAATGTGAACTCCAGACAATAATAACCTGAGGGTAAATCCACGTGCGTCTGCCTTTCCCCTCGTTCACCTTCGAAATCCTTGATTATTATATCATGCCAGAGTTCTGAAATTCAGTGACAATGTTGCTGAACAGTAGAATCTGATGGACGTTTTGTGCAGAACCTGTTTGACACTATGGGTTCCAGGACCACTAACACTCTGAGCTGAAAAAGTTTGGTCCTAACCGCACCCAACATCTACAAGTTTGTAAGCTTGTAGACATCATTAAGAAGTAATTAACAGTCCCATGCTGAGACCTTTCTCAAAATTCAGACCGGTGGCAGGCTGCCAACAAAGAGAAGAAAATATCGCAACCTCGACACGAGTGTGCTCAGTCAAACAATGAACTTACGACCGGCAGAAAACAACTCCAGTTGAGTATGCCGATGCTGTATCTCAGCCGTGTTGGCCTGAAAATTTAAACATGCTAATTAAATCCAAAATCGTATAATTATTTTTAATAGAAACCGTATCTTAATTTGTTCTTGCACTGCATCATATCGTGTATTTCATCTGTATATGTGTAATGTGTATATGTATCAATGACTACACTTATACCGCATATTCTGCAACAGACTATAATTAATCACCTTATTATTGTCTCTCCATTTACCATGGCTGACTGCACTAATACCCTTTTAACAGTGGACACCGATATCAGTATACATGTAGGCTTTTTGTTCAAAAAGGAATATGCAGGAAATTATATGTAACAATTAACTGTGTACTAATTACATGTTTGAATGTTATCAGTTTTACGTTCTGAGATACAGTGATGTAAGCATCTTCTAAAATCTTCTAAAAATATAATAAAATACAAAACTCTCTGCCGTAATTTTTTGTGGAAATCATTCGATCAAGTAAAAATGACTGCGTGACAAGACGAATCAACTATTTATACCCGATAAAAGAAACTGCCGTATTTTAGGAACAGTGCTATAACAAGACATTTGAAATTTCTAACAAGCAGATACATTAAAGACAGTGAATAGACTACAGGTACGTAATCCGTATCAATCAAAGGTGTAAAAAAACTGAAAATCATATCTGTCGGAGACCTACCAAATTACCAAGTTTTATCATTACTATATTTATTACAATGCAAATACTTTAGTGATACATTTTTTAGAGGAGAGGGCATACACACAAGTATATTGCTTCCGTGTGTGAATGCAGGTTGTACTTGGTATCTCAGTTCTCAGTTTCATACTGGTTGTATAACTGAATTTGTATATGGAACCATGCGTACAGCATGACAATTACTTGCTATTCGTCAGTTTACAACACACATAACACGGTCAAACAGTTTTAGGCATCGCTTTTGCGAGTTATTTAGTACAATAATGTTTTATTAAAATCTATTTCAATTTGTTTTCACAATTTTCCCTATTGACAGTCGTTGTTACGTGCGTCACTAGGTAATTAGTACGGATTGACCTTGTTTATTGTTTCTATACTTTGAGGATTTCTGTGGCAAGTGGCGGACGTAATTCAAACTCTTCCGCACTGACACCGCATCAAATATATTTGTGTACCGATTACATAACTCTAATGGACAGGGTGGGGTGGTAGTTCACCGGACGACACTGTGTATATTGGGCGGCTCCTTTGATATCTCCTCCAAACATACGTTTATTGAATGACCCCATTAAACGATGATACACATCTCGATGAATATATCAAGGCACTAATTCAACTTTCATAAACATTTTTTTGTCTTTGTGCTTAATATATCCACATATCAACGAACATTTGTAAAACATGTCTCCTAAAAAAAATTAAACATTTTCAGGCTAGGTATTTGCCCACAGCAACACCTGCATAACTGTTTATTCACACGTGGTGTGGTAGATCGTAATTGACCGAGAGCAGGTATTGTAGAATCACCTGTAAATAAGGCCGACACTGTAATTAGATACAACGTACTAATGAGAATTATCATAAGAAGGCTGTTGTTTTTTCTGAACTGTTACCATTTTCATACCAAAAGTGACAATGCAGTTAAAAGTTGCTTTAGTGTCACAATATTCACTCACGTTTTCCTCAATCGCACTGAAACATAATTCCCACTGGTCAGTTCGAAACCGCATGTAATTAAATAATTATTTCGAGATTTCGTTAGAATGTAAGATATTCAGCCAAACGTTATGCAATAAAAGACGAATAGTTTTTTTCATTAAAATACGCGCACGCGTACCTGTATATTGCATACCTAGTGTCACGTAATTGCCCAGTGTGATGTATCAACGGGACATAAAATGGGAAATGAAATAGAAACTAACTAAAATTTAATGTTGTGAATTGGAGTACACGCACATGAATTCGTATGATAAACTGTCAAAACGTTTTGAGAGGTAAGGCCGGGTTCATTAAAGATCGCTACAATATGTAAAACAGGTGAAATTTGTAGAACTAAAGGAAACATCCAACCAAATGCCCTTTTTAAATAGTAATGTAATGATATAATATAAAGTATATTTCACATGATACAATATACTTTGCAAACAGTTAGTTGATGCTTGAAAGGGACTGACGAAAACATGGGCGAAATATTTTAATAACGCCGTAAAATAGTTGAATTAAGTAAAAATTAGTTAAATTTTGTGTCATGATACTTGAATATATACATTTAATGTATTTGCGAAACAAAATCATGAGTTTTAAGTAAAGGAACATATACTCGCCCATGGGCCAAACCTTTTTCTCGCCCATGGGCGAAATATTTCAATATCGCTATAAAATCGTTGAATTAAGTTAAAATGATTTTAATTTTGTGTCATGATACTTCAATAAATACATTTAATGTATTTGCGAAACAAAATCATGAGTTTTAAGTAAAGGAACATGTTTTCGCCCATGGGCCTGCCCATGGCCAAACGTTTTTCTCGCCCATGGGCGAAATATTTCAATATCGCTATGAAATAGTTGAATTAAGTTAAAATGATTTTAATTTTGTGTCATGATACTTCAATAAATACATTTAATGTATTTGCGAAACAAAATCATGAGTTTTAAGTAAAGGAACATGTTTTCGCCCATGGGCCTGCCCATGGCCAAACGTTTTTCTCGCCCATGGGCGAAATATTTCAATATCGCTATGAAATAGTTGAATTAAGTTAAAATGATTTTAATTTTGTGTCATGATACTTCAATAAATACATTTAATGTATTTGCGAAACAAAATCATGAGTTTTAAGTAAAGGAACATATTCTTGCCAATGGGCCAAACCTTTTTCTCGCCCATGGGCGAAATAGTTCAATATCGCTATAAAATCGTTGAATTAATTTCAAATGAGTTAAATTTTGTGTCATGATACTTGAATGAATACATTAAATGTATTTGCGAAACAAAAACATGAGTTTTAAGTAAAGGAACATATTCTCGCCCATGGGCCTACCCAAGGGCCAGACTTCGCCCATGGGCAGGCCCATGGGCGACATAGTCTAAATATTGAGTTTTTAAACAATTTTTTTTTCATTTTTTCTTCCTTGGTATGTTCCCATGAAAACGGCATGTTTAATTTTGTAAATACCTTTAACCGAGACTGGGCAAAGAGCGTAGAGTTTCTGGACTTTTGGGTTTCCAGAATTAAAATGGGACGTGTTCTTTGCATTTTGGCCATGCACCTACCTCATGTTATAATACTTTCCCTTCGTACTGTAAACAATGTCTTCTCAAAAACAACTTGATCAATGAAGCTTGTTCCCACCAATGATAACTCCTGAATATGTTCAAGAGGTTCGAATCCAAATTTCAATATTGACAAATTTTAATGAAATTTGATATTAATTTACTTAATTATGTGATTCAACACAAAATTTGTTTGTTTTTGCATTATTTAAATTTATTTTAATTAAACTTGTTTTGACTATGCTCTTACTTCTCTCATAATGCATACTTGCCTCTGTAAACCTCTCGCCAGAAGTTGGCATTATTGGACATTAGTGACTTTGGAATGTGTGTTTCTCTTTATGATGACATCATAATTTGTTCAATTCTTTGGATTTTGTGTTTTAAGTATTTATGCAGATTATATTTGAATATATCGCTGCTAAAAGCAAGTTTTGTTTAGTGTCTGTCTTTTGTTTTCAAACTTTTGACATTTTCACCTGATGATTACATATCCAGGTGAGCTACAGTGTCGTTGCCCTATTATTTTTAAAGATTTTGAGTCCTTTTGCCAAATCTCGAAATTTCAAAATAGTTACTTGTAGTTTCAATTAGTTTCTCATTATTAAAAAACTTCTTTCAACAATGTTTAAAAATCAAAATTACAAGTTTTTTCTCATTACTTTGATTGATTATTTTCTCAAACATTTAATTATTTTCTCAAAATTACAAGTTTTTAAAATAAACTTGAAATAATGAGAAATAATTGAAATTATGAAAATGTAATCAAGGTAATGAGAAAAAACTTGTGATTTCGAGGATACCAAACAAATGATTGAAATAACGAATAATTTTTATGTATGCTACCAAAGTGGCACCATTAGGCTTTCGTAGTGAAGAAATAAGAGTACACTCAAAATCTTTCTTTGCCTGTAGATACTTGAGGGTCAACAAAATGGCTTAAGGTGGGATGTTTGGTAGTGAGGAAGAAAGTTTTTCTGGCCTAAGTGATCTGACATTATTTATGATTTATTTGTGTTTTGTGCAGATGGCAATGGTCAGGTGAAGAATATCAACTTTGCACCTACCAGAGCAGATAAAATGTGCTTGGATGGCAATGCTGTCAACTACATGGCTCACTTCCACTGTCCAGATTATCTGGACCAAATACGTTCAAATGAGACCAAAGGAGACTGCAAGTAAGTTGTCATTGTTTTCAGGAAACATGGGGTTTCAGGATAGAGCCTTCTCAAAGCCTTTGCTTGTTGTTTGATCCTTAAAAAAATCCAGAGAAATGGTTTCTACGACCCTTTGCTGAATGAAGGTGTGTCTGGTTCAAGTGATCTTAGGGGTCGGCCATTATATGCTCTTTAGAAGCTTGCGAACATTGCCATGTTGAGGCCCGGAATGTAGGAAATAATGATGTTGCTCCTAGGAGGGAGGTAACTGTAAACTAACCACGATCTTAGTTAATCTGAAGGATTAATTAATTTGCATTTTATAAATTATGGGAAAATTTCAAAAGTATTTGCCAAGTTTATTATAACTGAACACACTATCAAAGTTTATATTTGAAATTATGATACACTGACCAGTGAAAAATGATTTCAGAATACATGTCCTTGAAAGAAACAAATATGATTAACTTTGTAATGTTCCTAAGTTTTCGAACTTATCCAATCTCAAACTATGCATTTTTCATTCTTTCGATTTGGGTGTGGAAACTCCCTAGAACAAAGCCTCATGCCAAAAAGAACAATGCATGAACTTATCCCAACATCACCATGGTCACAACCTAAACAAATGGGTAACTCATTGTAATCCCATGCATAGTGACCCTACACAAGCTGACTTCACCTGACTTCACCTGACTTCGCCTGACATATCATTCTCTTTCTCATTGCCACAGTGTGGAGATATGTTCGAACATAGAAAAAACATTTTGAGTATTTTTGTGAGCTTCCTCCTCCTGCTACATCATCATTTGGCGTTTGTCTTTACAGGGCGTTTGTCCTTAACTGTTCCTACGTCATCCCTAACCCGGCCCCCCAAGCCATTCATGTCCGATCTCGCCTCAAACCTTGAAAAGGCCTTTGTTTCATTCAGACATCAGAAGTAGAGTGTCTTGGGATACGATGACATGCATCAACAAAGTCAGTGAGCCTGACCACTGGATCCCATTTGTCGCCTCTTAAGACAAGCATGGTCGCCTTTTATGGCAAGCATGGGTTGCTGAATACCTATTCTACCGAGGAGCTGACACGTACCGGCATGGATGGAGTGTCTACCTCCTCCACAGCGCCAGAACTGTGCGACATCACCACATTCAATCCAAAGTGATCTTCTCATAGTTCCATTATTGAATATTGAGATAGATACAACAATTTGATGCATTTGTCTGCTCACATCCAGTGTTATATGCCAAGTCAGAAGAAGAAGCTACATCAGAGGTGCCATGATGCTTCAACATAAGTTCCAAGGCATTGTGGACTTTACTGTCCCATCACATGGGCACCATGACTGCAATCCGTCGCCATGTGCTCCTTCAAGCTATCCTTGGTCTACGCCTTACCTGTGTGCCAACAGGTCTCCAGGACGTCTCTCAGGATGTCAGCAAAGAAACACACTTCCAGGTGTCAGTAGATCTTCTTAAACTGCAATGTTCGCAACTGGGAGACCCCAAAAGGGAAGTATTGATACCGTCCCCAGTGGAACCCATCAAAACGGGAGTTACATGAGGTCCTCGCTCAGAAGCCTAGTTCTTTTCATGGCAGAGGATGTGGCCAAGGACAATAGGGATGCAAGTCATCAAATCCCCGGACAGTCTCCTTCACTCCCAGCAGGCACACTGGAGAGTTCACCAAGCCAGTCCCGAAGAAAGAGGAGGATAAGCTCTGGATGATGAAGACTTTCAACACGCAGTATCTCGAAGATCCGCCCAATTTTTGCATGATTTCCATCATGCTTCTATGTACAATCACCATGACACTATGGCCATCTTGTGGGAGAATTTCAATGCCTATGCCTTTCCACTCTACCAGCCTTCTACCTTGGGTTTTCAAAAGGCAGCAATCAACAAACAGCTTCAACTGCTTTGGGTCGCACCTTATTGGCCAGCACCTCATTGGCCAGCACGAAGTTGATTCAAAGTTCTGGTAAACATCACAGAAAAAAATTACCATCATCTATCAATGCAAAGAGATTCTCTCCTCTGACCTCATTGCACCTGTGGCCGGACACTCTCCATCTGTGTTTGGCTCTGCCAAGGGTTTTTCTATGAGAGTAGCCAAGACCATCAGTGCCGCTCATCACACCCCTCCCAAGGCCTTGTACAACCATAAGTGAAAAGCCTTTGAAGGGTACTGTCAACCAGACGAACTGTTGACCATCCCTTCCTAAACCTGCATTTTGAACCCAGATGACCATGAAGACATCTCATTATGCCTGGTTAGAACTTTGCATATTTACCCCAAAGCTTCTACGATGTTATGATGCCCTTTTATGCCCGGCCGCCAACATGGAAGTCTCCTGTACCACAATTTCCTTTTGGCTACGCTCGACAATTCTTTGGGCCTATCACCTTTGCTGGATTCCCTCTCCCTGTGACATCTAATCCACACAAGACAAGAGCAGCTTCATCCTCGATGGTGCTGCACATCAACTGCAGCAGACGTAGGATGCCCCTGGAAGTCCACCACAGTCTTCGCTTCCCACTATCTACAAGACAACCTGTGAAGATCCCAGGTAGAGAATAGGTCCTCAGCAACCCATGCTTTTAAAAAAAGGCGACTATGCTTGTCATAAGAGGTGACTAACATGATCGGGTGTTCAGGCTTGCTGACTTGGTTGATGCATGTCATCGTTTCCCAATTGAGTGGATTGATGCTCATGATGTCAATCACTGGATTGTCTGGTCCAGACTCGATTATTTACAGACCGCCGTCATATAACTAGAATATTGCTCAGTGTGGACAAACAAACAAACAAAAAAATGAGACATCTCAGTCACCGATGTTCAAGGCCTTAGCCAGTTTGGTCTGTTGGTCTTGGCACAACAGTTGACGGCAGTCCATCAGTGCAGATGATGATACAGTGTACGCTCTGCAGCGGACTCGTACACCGTCTCCTATACAAACTGAATAAATATTGTAATGTCATCCTCTGGTTATTGTCATTAGAGCTCATAGGAGGGTGAAGCAGCTCTCCTGTAGAGACTCAGGTCTTCAACATAGAAGTCGCCACAAGGTACAGCTGTTTCGACAATGTCCCAAGAACTCTTATCTGCTCACCTCTGCCTTGAGCTTGTGATGTCTCAGTATTTGTTTGAAGATCCTCTTATGGATATTGTCAATTGTTCTACTCGTCTTAGCATGCTTCATTGTATTTGATATTTTTGACGAAGTGTTAAAGAAGATGCCAAGCAGGTTAACCTTACATCCTTGAGCATATGTAGAGGGCTATCTTGAAGAACATATTGACTGGAGATCCCTTCCAAATTGGTTATAAAGTGATGGTTGAATAGGTTCCCTACTTCAAAACTACTGTCGTTTCTCCGTGACATCCTCGATATCATGCTGTTATGGTCTAGTTACGTAAAGAGGTTTTCTCACCTTTTACAGTGTTTTTAACCTGCTCACATAGTCATGTCTTTTTGTTGCTAAATTGTGTAACTATCTTGAGGAAGAAGCATTGTTTTAAGCCATCTTCCTTGTGTATGGCTCAAGGTTGTAGTCTAATACAGGCTAGGTTTAACTGTGCCTCTCTGTCCAACCGTGGGATAAATGCATAGTGTGAGATAGGATAAGTCAAAGTGTATATTGATATACTTATCCTATCTCACACGCTACATGCTCACCTGACTATCCCAGTATCACAGTTACCTTGGGCCGCACGGGTGGCCCAGTCGTCTAAGGTGCCGCGATTCGTTGTGAAGAGTTGCGTCCCTTGATTGTGGGTTCAAATCCCGATTCGCCCCGATTATGTTTCTAGGTTTGTCAGCACCATACCCGTGCTTGTGGGTTTCACTGAAGTGGTAAAAGTCTGAGACCTGCATCACTTTCCTCCCACATTAAGCTGATACGCCGCGATATAACTGGAATACTGTTAAAAGCGGCGTTAAACCCAACTCGCTCACTCACTCACAGTTACCTTTGCCTGTCTGCCCAAAGAAAGAGAATGATATATCTGGTAAAATCAGGTGGTCAGCTTGTGTGGGGCACTGTGCGTGGGATTAGACCCATTTGTTTAGGTGGTGACCATGGTGATGTCGGGATATGTTTGGCTGTAATGTTTTTTTTGAGGATTTGTTCTAGAACTTTTCCACACTAAAACTGAAAGGAAAAATGCATAGTGTGAGATAGGATAAGTATGTGAATATACAAGTTAATATAACATTTTCAATTATTCCGGAAATCTACTGAAAATGATACAGAGACAAGTGGACTAAATTCCTTTCCCACTTTCAGCATACTGGACGGCCTCAGTTCTTGTGTGTATGAAGCTATGAAAGGGCTCGCCGTGTCTAACGGCAAGACATTTGAGTGTTCCATGAAGGATGTGAAGAACAAAGTAGTACATTACAAAGGCAACATTCTCAAGCAGACAAAACTCCCAGAAATATGCTTCAAAACAGGTAGGTCAACATAGTCATGACCATCCTCGAGTATCCAGTGTGTTACATCTTGTAAGAATGGACTACTATGTTATCTAGTACTGGATGTGAATGTTATTCGCTTTTTAAAGTAAGCCAGGAACAGAGAAATATTTCGACCTTGAGTACATTTGCCAACAGTTTGCTCGTGCTCGAGTTAGATGTATACGGTTTAATTTTGATATCAGGAGACAACACAAACTTTCAAAATCTTTCAACATAAACTTACAATAAATGCTTCAATTAAGTTAAAATACCTCAGAATTTGGGAAAATAACTTTAAAAAAATCATAATTTTTAACAAAATAAGTAATATTTTTCTCAATTTGCCCACCAAGGGCACTTCGTGTAGAATCCTAGATAAAACTCTGCAGTGTTAACAAATATGCACATCATATTCATTAAAGAGTATTGATGATTGTCCCTTATCATTTTGGGGACATTTCCTTCTGTATTTGACCAAGTTTATCAGCACAACCTATGCCGACCCTCCACCATTTCCATCGTTGTTTCACAGGTGAAGGGAAACAAGCTTGTCCTCCATTCATGGAGTTAGTTGGCTTTGTTGCGGAGAGTTGTCCAGAAGCAATCGAAAAAATCTCAACAGAAACTGATGTTGAGTCAAGATGCAAGTAAGTACAAATCAGAAGGACAGTAACTTCAGACAGACATTGATGTGGCCCTTACCCTGGGTTATTTTCCAATTCAGACAATGTTTGATGTGTTCGTCCATTTCTCTTATTTGAGCAATCACATCTTGATGTGCTTGCATTTGCAACTAATAAACCCCAGGCAAACTTTGGCTCTCTTAACCTATTTTCATCAATACAAGAATTTCTAAGCCTCAAATTGGATATATATTTCAAAATTCCCCTCTTCAGGTTATTAAATAAGGTGATAGATTTATGAAACTTGGTAATGTTATAGTTTTGCAATGGTCACTTGTTTTTCAAAAATATTAAGATTAGCATTATCATGATTCATGAAATGCTGAATGAAACACCCGATTTGAAGAAAATGAATAACTTCAAATAAGATGCCAATTTTGTGTCCACCTATGTGTAACCATCAGGCACTTAGTTGCAGACCCTTGTTTAATCCCTACTGTGTATCACTGGCGACATTACAGCAGAACACAGATATAACGAACATGGAGAGAGTGAACACACGGACACAACAAACTGTTACAAAATCCCAGACTATATCCCCTCTATATTATCACTTAAGATTTACGTACATGGTGAACTCTCTGACTGACTGACTGAGGTTGGGGATTTTACGAGCGCTTTCGGACTGCAATTAGCGGTGACAATTTAACTAGTTAAACTTGCTTTATGTTAAACTTACCTGTACATGTAATTGGACTAATCTTGTCTGTAAAACAAACATTAAACCTATGCAGTTTCACAAATGCAGTCAGCAAAACAAACCCACAGCAAATGACCAACTATACATCCTCCCCGTATGTTCTAAAAATGTTATGAATTGAATGTTCTTAAATGAATGTGATGAATTGTTATCAATTGAATACTATAAAGTGATCACTGCTAATACAAGTCAAGTACGTGTATTGTGTTTTGTTTTATCGAAGATGGTGGATGTTTCCGAGCGAAAACGTATAGGCCTATAACGAACTGATTTCTCCAGTCCCGTGTAGTTCATTAGATCCATTTTCTGCTGTACTTAAGCAGCCTGACATCACAGTAGCCTATAGGAATCACCTGTATCAACCATGTTTTATTTCATCTTGACATTGGGCAGTGGGTAGCCTATTCGTTAAAGCGTTCGCTTGTCACGCCGAAGACCCGGGTTTGATTCTCGACATGGGTACAATGTGTGAAGGCTATTTCTGGTGTCCCCTGCTGTGATATTGCTTGAATATTGCTAAAAGCGGCGGAAAACAATACTCACTCACTCACTAATCTTGACATTAACTCTGATCCTTACAGGCATTATGAGTACCTGTTGGGCTGTGGGGTCATGGTTCTCAACAGAATGAACTACAACTGTAAAAAGTCCCAGCTGAACACCATGGCTGTGGAAAACAAGGCGTTCTTCCAGGTCCAAATGAATGGATTTGATGTGATGCAGTGCACAGGTAGGCGGGATTGAAACCCTGACACTCTGCTTCATAAATGTTGTCTGTGAAAATGTTATCCTTAGAAACTAATTCTTAACATTCCTTGGTAATTAGAATATCCTGCCTAGGTGCTTGTTCCTGTTAGGGGTCACAGTATATTCATGGCAACCATTCCATAGAGCTTTTGAATAATGACCAGATAAAATCCATTAATAGTTAAGGCAAGTTTTACAAATACTTTGTCTTAGTTATTGTTGGCTCATTGGTCACCTTGGGACCCCTATATTCCTGCCTGGGACCCCTATATTCCTGCCTGGGACCCTTATATTCCTGCCTGGGACCCTTATATTCCTGCCTGGGACCCCTATATTGCTGCCTGGGACCCCTATATTCCTGCCTGGGACCCCTATATTTCATGCCTGGAACCCCTATATTACTGCCTGGGACCCTTATATTCCTGCCTGGGACCCCTATATTGCTGCCTGGGACCCTTATATTCCTGCCTGGGACCCCTATATTGCTGCCTGGGACCCTTATATTCCTGCCTGGGACCCTTATATTGCTGCCTGGGACCCCCATATTGCTGCCTGGGACCCCCATATTGCTGCCTGGGACCCTTATATTCCTGCCTGGGACCCTTATATTCCTGCCTGGGTCCCCTATATTGCTGCCTGGGACCCCTATATTCCTACTTGGGACCCCTATATTTCATGCCTGGAACCCCTATATTCCTGCCTGGGACCCCTATATTCCTGCCTGGGACCCCTATATTGCTGCCTGGGACCCCTATATTCCTGCCTGGGACCCCTATATTGCTGCCTGGGACCCCTATATTCCTGCCTGGGACCCTTATATTCCTGCCTGGGACCCCTATATTGCTGCCTGGGACCCTTATATTCCTGCCTGGGACCCCTATATTGCTGCCTGGGACCCTTATATTCCTGCCTGGGACCCTTATATTGCTGCCTGGGACCCCCATATTCCTGCCTGGGACCCTTATATTCCTGCCTGGGACCCCTATATTGCTGCCTGGGACCCCTATATTCCTGCTTGGGACCCCTATATTTCATGCCTGGAACCCCTATATTCCTGCCTGGGACCCCTATATTCCTGCCTGGGACCCCTATATTCCTGCCTGGGACCCCTATATTGCTGCCTGGGACCCTTATATTCCTGCCTGGGACCCTTATATTGCTGCCTGGGACCCCTATGTTCCTGCTTGGGACCCCTATATTGCTGCCTGGGACCCCTATATTCCTGCCTGGGACCCTTATATTCCTGCCTGGGACCCCTATATTCCTGCCTGGGACCCTAATATTCCTGCCTGGGACCTCTATATTGCTGCCTGGGACCCCTATATTCCTGCCTGGGACCCTTATATTCCTGCCTGGGACCCCTATATTGCTGCCTGGGACCCTTATATTCCTGCCTGGGACCCCTATATTCCTGCCTGGGACCCCTATATTCCTGCCTGGGACCCCTATATTGCTGCCTGGGACCCCTATATTCCTGCCTGGGACCCCCATATTCCTGCCTGAGACCCCCATATTCCTGCCTGGGACCCCTCACCCAGTGCTGTAGCTGTAGATGACGTCCCACTTGCAGTAGTTCTCTGATGTTTTCCGACAGTCCTCACCAGCTTGTGATTCATAGATGCCTTACGCTTAAGCGGCATTATGAGCGATGTATGGTGAAGGAGGAGGAGTCAAAAGTAGAGAATTGCTGTACAAAACCCAGTAGATAAAATTTTGACAGAACGCAATGAACGATGCTGATGAGAAAGAGAGTTTGATGAAGTCATTGGAAGTAGAATTACGACGAAATAATAATAATAGTTTAGGTAAGTTTCACAAATGCTATATGCCTTAGTTATTGTTGGGTCAGTGGTCACCTTGGGACCCCCATTTTTCATCCCTGGGTCGCCCATATCCATGCCCAGGACCCCCCAAGACAATCATATACGTGTCTGGGACCCCATCGTATAGCTAGAATATGAACGCCAAACATCAAAAAGAAAGGTGCAGGTAAATAAATCCCTGGTAATAGGCAAACTGCTTAATATTCATCAGTAAATTTGAGTTGGCAAAGAAAGAAAGTGAGTTTTGAAAACCAGCATTGACTTGAGCCTCCTTTCATGTCACATTCACTCAGTCACCGTCTCTAGTTTGGTTCAAACATTGTCAGATATGCTGTGTTGTGTTTATTTCGAATACTTACAGTAGTTTTGACCCGGTTGTGCATGTGTTTTCAGAAGGTGGAGAAGTTGAACTATCCACAGTGGCCCCTTTCACATATTACCCATCATGCCTCAATGTTAACGAGTATGACTATATCTGGAGGTACAGGTGCAAGGTCAAGGTCGAAAAGGTTGAAACAGTGAACGGAACTGCTTGCAGGTAAAATTATTAGTGTTGGCATTTGGAAGGCATATTTTTGAACACATAGACATATTTAAATCTTGAACTCTAAATAAAGTTTTACTGTTTTCTTTTAAATTTGGACTTGGTAAAAAATGATTTTGGGTTATATGGTTTTCATTTTAATGCATAATTCTGCAAAGTTGTAGGATTTGTATATTTATGTAATGAATTACTGTTATTTATGGCTTTCAGCAAACTGACAGCCACTATGGGATGCTTTATGGAGAGTATGGGATGTTCCTACCAGAACGTCTCGATGATCCTCCAGAAGTACGGCCGCCTCTTTATAGCAGAACTGAACTTCACTCTGTGCCATGGTGAGTGGTCGGGTTACCGTATATGACTGTCTATAAAGCGACCCCAATGTGTAAGGCAACCCCCCTGTACAAGCCTGCAAAGTCGATGCTAATTACTATATCCCGTCTATAATGCGATCGCGAATGAAGCACATCACTAGTGCATACACAATCCTAACATTTGCAATAAAAATGTGTTTGTCTTCTGCAGAAAAAAGGACATTGTATCGAATCAGCAAATTCAGGGAAATGAATAGATCATACAATTAAACTTGGTCATTACAAATTTTAAATTTGAGATTAAACATCACTAGACATGACAGTATTTAAAAAAACATCAGCTTATTATTGGAGGAAAGTCCTACCGGATGCAGGTCAGCCATGTTATTAGTTTGGCAAAACCCACAGGGTCACAAACATCTGGCGTAGAATAGATCTTCAGCAACCTATGCTTGCCATAAAAGGCAACTAAGCTTGTCATAAGAGGCGACTAACAGGATCGGGTGGTCAGGCTTGCTGAGTTGGTTGATGCATGTCATTGATCCCAATTGCGTAGATATCAATCACTGGATTGTCTGGTTCAGACTCAATTATTTACAGACTGCCGTCATATAGCTGGAATATTGCTGAGTGCGATGTTAAGCAACAAACAAACAAACACAGGGTCACAATGCGAACGCCTCTGGTTAGCAGAATGCAGAGAAAAAAACAACTAACTCAAAGTTATTCTCATATATGTTGATCAACATAAGTATATGATAAATTTGATATCCCTTTCACCAAACTGAATGTTTTGATATTGAGAAAAGTATGTATATGCTGTGAAAGGTCCAGAGGATTATGGGGACTTTTCAAGCAATCATCTGCTGCACACTGACAGTCATTCTACAAATATATGTTGTCTGTTGTAGAGTTCATGAAGCAGATTGATGGTCGAGCGTGCCTGAGCTCCACACAGCCCCAGCTGGAGGGACTCACCAGGTGTATGGTTGTTCTGTCTGGTCTGTCCGATGACATGTCCCACGACCTCTCCTGCAGGTAGGCCACAGGCACAAGTCCTGCTATCAGAAGTGTTCCCATCTCCCCTGTATGGTTGTACTGTCAGGTCTGTCCCACCACCTCTCCTGCAGGTAGGCCACAGGCACAAGTCCTGCTATCAGAAGTGTTCCCATCTCCTCTGTATGGTTGTTCTGTCTGGTGACATTTCCAACGACCTCTCCTGCAGGTAGGCCACAGGCACAAGTCCTGCTATCAGAAGTGTTCCCATCTCCTCTGTATGGTTGTTCTGTCTGGTCTGTCTGATGACATTTCCCACGACCTCTCCTGTAGGTAGGCCACAGGCACAAGTCCCGCTATCAGAAGTGTTCCCATCTCCTCCTCCTCTGCACAAGGTTGGAAATAAATTTAAAACCCAACATGACAGTGGACTAGGTGGCCCATAAGTGTTTTCTGCCCATCTTCAAAGTTACCTGCATGCATTCAGGCATTTTGAATATTGAAAAATTGCAAAAGATAAGAGACAAATCGTGTCTGATTCTGTTGAAACAATGCAAACAATTACTTGAGAATCTACAAGGAGTTGAGGAAAATTTCATGCAGCCCGACACAAAAGTTACCAGCCATGGGCAGGGCGGGTGGGCGGGGCGGATGAGCAGGGTGGGTGGGGGGATGGGCTGGCGGGCTGTTGGTCAGGCAGGCAAGCAGGTGGATGTTATCAATCACTTGTTGGTCTGGTGAAGACGTCATTATTCACGTTTTCACAGGCCGACAATGTAGATGGAATAGTGTTGAGTGAGATGTTAACATTAACTCGCTCACTTCAGGGAACCAAGTCTCATTGTCAGATGCACCATGACGTGATCATCATGTGTCCCTTACTACCTGAACCTTGTAATTCCTTTGAATACCTTACCTCTATTACATCTAGGCCATAAAGTCTTGTTTTGGCTGTAGTCACATCAAAAAATCTCAACTAAACCTCAATTCTGATACCAAGCTGAATACACATGACGACCATGTTCCTGTGAGAGAATGCTTGACTTAAAATTGCAACCATAAAATGGGCTCCCTTACATTGCTGTATATGAAGCATCAAAAAAATAAAATTTGATTCTTATTGTAGTTTTGTGTACATGCTCAACCATAGTCAACACCATTTCTTGGTTTGAGTTTCTGTGCCAATATGGAGGTGGCCGGAAATGGAAGAAAGTTGGTAATAACTGACCAATGTAGACCAATCACAAGGATAAAACTGAAATAACCTTCGTATGAAACCGCTGTTTATGTCTGTGTTGATTGGAAGCTCCATGTTTTAGTTTTTGTCTGAAGGGTCAGGCTGCTTACTTTATCGTGGACTTGACATTGAGTCTGTGATCCATTTGCAGACAACTTATTATAGGAGATGAAGAAATAAATTAGTTGCAGATATGGGACAACTTTCAAGGTTTCTGTTTTTTAAAAGAAGACCTATGCCCCACTCAGCATAAGCCTCCATGCTTATCGATAAGGGGTGACGAATAAGTGGATTTAGTAAGGATGAACAACTTCCTTATTACAATTAAGAGCTCTTAACTTCCTCCAACTTCTAAATGCCTATCAAAGAAAGTGGATTTAGTGGCCACAGTGGCTGCGAAAATGAATAAGATTTGATTTGTGACCTCCAGAAAAGTGTAAGATTTTGTACTCTATGGTTCGACAGGTCCAGATTCAGTCTTCAGTCAGCAAACGTTAAAAGATGGTACTTGTTGTTACCCTGTCTGGTGCTCGGCATTAAGGGGCTAAAACAAGGACTAGTCAGCTCGGAGTCAGTATACTGTGTCTGAGGGGGTATTCATGTTAAACTGCTGTATGGTATCTCAGTGGGCTAGCACTATCAATGGGTATCTGTCGGGACTAGTACAAGCAGCCACACACACACACACACATGCATGCACGTTGCTATATAAGTGCAATAATCTTGGACGCAATGTTAAACCCCATTTCACCTTCACAGCATTGAAAGAGCTGGGATGAGTCTAATATTCACACAGACTTGCAGAGGTTGTAAGGAGGCTTTTAATTTAGTGGCTAAAGTTGTTAATGAACCATGATTAATGACTTGTGTTGCGTAAATAAACATTCACCATATCCCTGTTCTAGGACGTACTATGAGGCTGTGCGCTGTATGGAGAATCTTCATGCTGATCCAACTTGCAACATGGAGGCTTTTGACAAAGTTCTTCCTGACTATGCCACAACTGCTTTGATACGAACACCAGATCTTTTAGCAACATTAAAAACGACATCTTTACCAGCAGCACCAAAATGCTCAGGTATGTACGAGTTGATAATCTGTTGGTTTATTCAAAGCTGCATTAATACCCAGCTTGTTGGGAAGGGTACACAGGGTACTCACTGACTGATAGTGATTTCTTGAATCTCTACTAACAATTCAATTACACCAACTAGTATTCATTTGATGTTATATTTGTGTTGGACCAGATTACATCAAGAATGCTGTTGACATCAAGGTTCCCTGTCTGGACAAGGAGTTTCTGGGGAAGGTCATTCTGGGAAGAGTCTGCAGAAAGTTTTTGGATAATGTTCTGGATAAAACACTTCCTAAGTTCAGTCGATGCCAGTAAGTCAAGTTTGATCTATCATTTCATTCACAGTAGTGCTGTGTTTATAGTAGCTACTGCTCACTATACAAGCCAACTGGGGACTGGGCGATCACACTGACAGTAGTGCCATGTTTATAGTAGCTACTGCTGTAGCCAACTGGGGACTGGGCGATCACACTGACAGTAGTGCCATGTTTATAGTAGCTACTGCTGTAGCCAACTGGGGACTGGGTGATCAAACTGACAGTAGTGCCATGTTTATAGTAGCTACTGCTGTAGCCAACTGGGGCCTGGGCGATCACACTGACAGTAGTGCCATGTTTATAGTAGCTACTGCTGTAGCCAACTAGGGACTGGGCAATCACACTGCCAGAAGTGCCATGTTTATAGTAGCTACTGCTGTAGCCAACTGGGGACTGGTTGATCACACTGACAGTAGTGCCATGTTTATAGTAGCTACTGCTGTAGCCAACTGGGGACTGGGCGATCACACTGACAGTAGTGCCATGTTTATAGTAGCTACTGCTGTAGCCAACTGGGGACTGGGTGATCAAACTGACAGTAGTGCCATGTTTATAGTAGCTACTGCTGTAGCCAACTGGGGCCTGGGCGATCACACTGACAGTCGTGCCATGTTTATAGTAGCTACTGCTGTAGCCAACTGGGGACTGGTTGATCACACTGACAGTCGTGCCATGTTTATAGTAGCTACTGCTGTAGCCAACTGGGGACTGGGTGATCACACTGACAGTCGTGCCATGTTTATAGTAGCTACTGCTGTAGCCAACTGGGGACTGGGTGATCACACTGACAGTAGTGCCATGTTTATAGTAGCTGCTGCTGTAGCCAACTGGGGCCTGGGTGATCACACTGACAGTAGTGCCATGTTTATAGTAGCTACTGCTGTAGCCAACTGGGGACTGGTTGATCACACTGACAGTAGTGCCATGTTTATAGTAGCTACTGCTGTAGCCAACTGGGGACTGGGTGATCACACTGACAGTAGTGCCATGTTTATAGTAGCTACTGCTGTAGCCAACTGGGGCCTGGGCGATCACACTGACAGTAGTGCCATGTTTATAGTAGCTACTGCTGTAGCCAACTGGGGACTGGGTGATCACACTGACAGTAGTGCCATGTTTATAGTAGCTACTGCTGTAGCCAACTGGGGACTCGATGATCACACTGACAGTAGTGCCATGTTTATAGTAGCTACTGCTGTAGCCAACTAGGGACTGGGCGATCACACTGCCAGAAGTGCCATGTTTATAGTAGCTACTGCTGTAGCCAACTAGGGACTGGGTGATCACACTGACAGTAGTGCCATGTTTATAGTAGCTACTGCTGTAGCCAACTAGGGACTGGGCGATCACACTGCCAGAAGTGCCATGTTTATAGTAGCTACTGCTGTAGCCAACTAGGGACTGGGCGATCACACTGACAGTAGTGCCATGTTTATAGTAGCTACTGCTGTAGCCAACTGGGGACTGGGTGATCACATTGACAGAAGTGCCATGTTTATAGTAGCTGCTATAACCCTTGATGATGGGAGAATATGCCTGAAGTTTCAGCCCAAAGTGTTGGCTGTTTAAAATGAACTCACCACTCTCAGTGGCACTACCGGTAATTGCATATTTTGAGTCTGATTCAAATCATGTCCAATTTTTTATAAATTTCAGAGCAATAGTACAATGCGTTCAGACGGCCATGTATGAAAGTGTCCGAGCCAGCTGCACTGTTGAGCAGGTCAGAGAGGCCATTAATTCAACTTTGGATGACCTTCAGACAGTCTTTCCTCTTGCAGCAAACAGCTGTTCAGGTACAGTCTGCCGTGTTACTCTGTTATTGTTGGAATCGGGTGATTGAGTTCTTCCTGTCCGAACTGGAAATTTCATTTGGAACCGGCAGCGTTCACATTATACAGATATCACATTACCATTGAATGGTATAAATGTCGTAATGGTATGCTGTGATACATTGGATAACGTATATGTGATAACTGAAGTCATCTGGTCAGCAGTAAGTGGAAAGAAAATGAAATCAAAGTTGTCTTCATTGTAATGATCAAACTTAATACCTATTGAATGTGGTGTCATTTTACAATGGTAGATCATCTCTCGTTTTTTCAGGTGAATACGCTGGACAATGTGAAGGGATTGTAGTAAAGAATGAGAGTAAGCCAGCCTCCTCAAAATGTTTTGCCTACATGTTCACCATGAACACCACCCTCTTAACTGTGGAGGAAAACTGCAAGTGAGTTTACAGTTTTGATGTCCTTTGTTCATTCGAATTGGACCGTCTCCGTGGTCTAGTGGTAGAGCGTCCGCCCGGAGAGCGGAAGGTCCGGGGTTCAATCCCCGGCCGCGTCATACCAAAAGACGTTAAAAGATGGTACTTGTTGTTACCCTGTCTGGCGCATTAAGGGGCTTAAACAAAGACTGGTCGGCTCGGAGTCAGTATACTGTGTGTGACTGGGGTATTCATGTTAAAATGCGGCATGGTATCTCAGTGAGCTAGCACTATAAATCGGCATCAGTCCGGACTAGTACAAGCTGCCATACAAACACACACACGTACATGCACGTCGCTATATAAGTTCAATAATCTTGGACGCGACATTAACCCCATTTCACCTCACCTCATTCGAATTGGTCGCCGTGAAAAGGTGCAAGATTGCTGATGGCTTTGACTGGTAATGATACTGACTGATACTATGTTGACTAAATTATTAGGTAACAAGGTATTTCTTCTTGTGACTATGTTGTGAATTGAGAAAAAGATTTGGGCAGTCGGGTAGCCTAGTGGTTAAAGCGTTAGCTTGTCACGCCAAAGACCCGCATTTGATTCCAGACATGGGTGCAATGTGTGAAGCTCATGCCTGGTGTCCTCTTCCGTGATATTGCTGGAATATTGATAAAAGCGGCATAAAGCCATACTCACTCACTCTACAGCAACCCATTCTTGTAATAAGAGGCGACTGTACTTGACGTAAGAGGCTACTAACAGGATTGGGTGGCCAGGCTCGCTGACTTGGTTGATGCATGTCTTCATATCCCAAATGCGAAGATCAATGCTCATGATGTCAATCACTTGATTGTCTGGTCCAGATTTGGTTATTAGCAGACAGCCTTCATATGCTGGAATATTGCTGAGTACAGCTTTGAACAACAAACAAAAAAACCAACAAAGAACAGAAGAAACATTACATGTTTTGAAGGAGTGACCAAAATGTCCCGTCTCAAACAATAATCCCCCTACCGCCTCCGAATATCAAATGGTGGGTCTTATATAAGAAGGTTGGTTTATCATTCAATGATAAAATGTCCAGATAAAATTTGAGTACTATCCTCTTTTCTTGTTCTGTCACAGCCTCTTCATCAGTGCACTAGCATGCTTGAGGAGAGAGTTCATGGAAGTCAACATTACTTGTACAATAAAGCAACTTGGCAGCCAGATCTTTGAACTTGTGCCGTACATGGCTTCACTGAGACTACCCTTCCTGGTGTATGATGTCATGCAGTGTAGAGGTAACTGTTGCTATGACGAGTCGTAGATTTCATTTCATGTCACTTCCTTTACAGGTAATTGTTGCAATAATGACTCCTAACTATTGCTTGGTGAGCCAATCAAATGCCATGAAATTACATGCAAATGTTACCCGTGAAGATCTGGGTTAGAATAGGTCTTCAGCAACCCATGCTTGGCATGAAAGGTGACTATGCTTGTTGAATGAGGTGACTTATGGGATCGGGTGGTCAGAGTTGCTGACTTGGTTGATGCATGTCATCATATCCAAGTTGTGTGGATCGATGCTCATGATATCAATCACTGGATTGTCTGTCCAGACTTGATTATTTACAGACCGCTGTCATATAACTGGAATATTGCTGAGTGCAAAGTTAACAACAAATACAAAATATATTCAATGAAGTACACATAGATTTGATGTGATCTGAGTGTAATATGTTCTGTCTGTGTGTGTGTGTTTGTGTGCAGCATGCATTGCATGCAATGTTCACCTGGTAAACATACATACATAGTGCGGTTTTTTTTTCACTATGGTAACATCTTTGATCAGCAATATGTATGTTAACTGACTCTTCATTACCTAATGTTGATTTAGCTTTTGTAATGAGTTAATAGACTCAACGATCGATGCTGCTGTGAAGATTCCAGGTCAGAATAGAGTGACATGACTGATTGCATGTCATCTTGAACCAACACCGTGAACTTTCATCATGTGATCATCTACCAGTGGTTTGCTTGGACCAGACGGGGTTATTTACTGACTTCTATGATAAACCTGGATATTGCTGACTTTTTGTGACAGTCACTTTGTGAAACAGTCTTATGGTATCCACCTTGTAATTTGGCTATTCTGCAATATTTAATATAGAACAGGCAGGTGAGCTACAGAGACTGTGGTTGTTTTTGCTCATTCCCATGATTTGATTGTTTTCAGCGCAAGTTGCTGAAGCAATTGATGTAGCTACCTCAGATCACTGTTCTAATTTTGCCACCATCCCTCTCTACACTTCTACCAGTGTGTGTGCCCAGCATGCATTAGGAAGTTGCACGTATGTATGTCTCAGTCATCTGTGTAGGTCGGACAAGGGCATGCTTCCGATAGTTAGGGGGCACGGGTGGCCCAGCTGTCTAAGGCACTGTGATTCGCTGTGCAGAGTTGCATCCCTTGGGCACACCAGAAACCTTAGATTGTGGGTTCGAATCCCGGTTCGCCCCGATTATGTTTCTAGGTTTGTCAGCACCATACCTGTGCTTGTGGGTTTCACCGAAGTGGTAAACATCTGAGACCTGCATCACTTTGTGCTTTCCTCCCACATTAAGCTGACATGCTGTGATATAACTTGAATACTGTTAAAAGCGGTGTTAAACCCAACTCACTCACTCACTTTGATAATGAACTTGAATTACAGAGTTATGTTACTGTATCAGTATCTGCATTCAATCACTGGTTTGTCTGTTCCGAGTTCAATTATTTTTAAACTGTCATGATGCAGCTGGAATATTGTTGATTGCAGCATTGAACAGTATTCACTCATTGTGTGAAGTTTTATATCTTGAAAATCACATTCGTAAAACTGGTTGAGTAAATTATACAGCTCATCTTTGGACTTTTGTATTTTATCTATCTATATATCTAAGTATATATATATATATAGCACTCACATATTCAGTTGTATTTGTTCCCTTGATTCATTCCCTTGGTATATTGATTTGTGAAGTTTTGATTCTTTTGGAGTGATTGCTGACAAGTGTTGTACCTTTCAATCCAGTGCCCTGCCAGGACTAGTTCAATGTGTGGGGCTCGTCCTGCAGTGTAATGATACCACCGCCATCTCCAAAACCCTTGTCTCTAATAGCGACATCCTCATTCGTCGGCTTGGCATTGACTACAGCAAATGTTCCCCAGGGGGAGGTAAGGAGGGAGTTGGTTACATGTATACAGATCATTCAATTCTTGGATTGTTCTTTGTAAGTTTTGGTAAATGCTGATTTGCAATAGGAATGATTTTTTTCTATTGGATCTTATGTTTTTTTGTACTGTGGAGAAATATATACTCATAATTGTAGATATTTTGTAAAGGACACACATTCAGAGGTGTTCAGTTTCTATGTGCACGCTGAATGTCCTAAACTCTTCACAGTGATATTTCCCAATATCTTGAAATAGTGAAACGGATAATATTTCCTTTTTGTTTGTTTTGAATGTGCAAAAGAAAGAGATTAAGTTTAACAACATTTAAGAACTCTTGTCACGTCTTTTGCATGCACATCAAATTTAGTTTTCTACCTAAACTGATGTATGATATGATGGTTTTAATTTTATATTCTGCAGTACTCCTCCGTTCTCTAATTAGACTATGTCTATTCTGTTTCAGGAGTGGACTCGTGTTCAAGTGCACTGATGAAGCCCGAGGGTACAGCAGCGGGGTCCAAGTGTTTCGCCTACATGTTTGTCCAGAACACCACCTTGCTGACTCTGGAGGAGAACTGCAAGTGAGATGACCCACCCCCAGTTCTGCCACTCACTTCATTGATGATGAAATAGGATTGTGCTTCATGGCATCAGCTGTACCCATGTTCACCTCAATAATTATCACACAGTTTATTATAAAATATTAAACCATGGCTCCTTTGTCTTTGACTGTGGCCTAACTAACAGAATTGTTAGTTAAACACCACTTGGCAATGACATATCTTTTATTTTTCCCCTGTCCTAGATTTGACAATAGAACAATTTCATGAAAAACGTTTGTTGCCAGCGGGATTCAAACGGGTGAAGTCCTCACAGAAGGCTACTGAATATGGTCTTCTGCCACAGTGACATGGTAGAAATTGTATGAAATTGACAACTAAATATCTAGGTGACTGATAAATGTGCAAAAAATGGTCCAAAATGAATGGTATACTTGCCTGGGACATGCATTTCATAACCCAAATCGGCAATTTACCATGTGCACGTACAAAAGGCATGGGAAATATATTTCACGTGCTTTGTGTAGGGCTGACTGACACAGTGTTCTCCCAGTTGAGCATAGAGTTCCTGAATATCTTTCCAAATATCTTGAACGAAACAATATTTTTTAATCATTTTAGGTGCTATAAATGTTGGACATGGTTTAAGACTGTTACACCACTTGGACCCCGGTGTCTGATCGTTGAAATGGTTTATTAACGAGGCGTTTGTGGTGTAATTAACCATTTCAATGATTAGACACTGTGTCCTTGTTGTCTACCCTATACATAAGACCTCATTTAGCAGCAGTGCATCATTAATAATACTTACTTGGTGTTCATCTTCAAACCTAGAAACGTTGATTCGCCACACGTGTTGAGGAGTTATGAAGTGTTATTTTGTGCTGAACTGTGTGACATCACATGCCTTCTTGTTTTGTCAGGTTCTTCCTCAGTGGCCTTGCATGCGTGCAAGGAGAGCTCATGAAAGTCGGTGTTTCCTGTTCAATACGAGGACTGGCCCAGGACTACTTCAACTATGTGCGCCTCCTTGCCTCCCAGAACACAACCATATTTCCCTTTGATTTTACACAGTGTGCAGGTAATTGTTCTCCACATGACTCTTACAGAGGTGCTAGATTCTTACAAAGATGTTTGTGTTTTTATGTCTTTCTTAGTACTAAATTTTAAAACTTCTCCTGTTGCACCCTATGCATTTCTCAAATGTGTCTGGGTGATGCTAGGGGTGTTCATGTGGATTGGGTTTTTTAAAACAGGAAACCTTTGTTTAGGCACATTTCCACTTAGGATCAAAAGAATAAGGAGAAATGCATAGTGTGAGATAGGATAAGTAAATAAATATACAATTTATTGTAAAGAATTTCCATTTATTGAAAGCGACTTGTGATGTCTTGATAAGTGAGTAGCTAATTTGTGCTGTTGTGCTGTGGACTTGTGTCATTGCTGTATGTTTCCCAAGAGAATATTGTGTCTGCCATGTTTTGTTTTGGCTATTTTCAGCTATAGTGGCCAAAGATGGTGATGGGAAAATTGAAGATCTATGCTCCAATGAAGACATCATCCCACTCTTTGTCTCCACCAGTTACTGTGCCATGCTTGCCTATTCCAATGATTGCGGGTATAAATTTGCTTTACCTTTTTCTAAGAACTATAGTCTGTTTTCTTGAGTATAGCATAACCAAACATAATGCCGCCCAATTCGAGTATAATGTGCAGTAGAAAATGTTTTATCCCTTCAGTGGAATGAACTAATAGGTGATAACAAAGTTGGTTATCCAGTGAAGATCCGGGGTAGAATAGGTCTTCAGCAACCCATTCTTTGCATATGAGGCGACTATGCTTGTCGTAAGAGGTGACTAAAGGGATTGGGTGGTCAGGCTGGCTAACTTGGTTGATGCATGTCATCATATCCAAATTTCGTAGATTTATGCTCATGATGTCAACCATTGAATTGTGTGGTTTAGACTTGGTTATTTAGTGACTGCCGTCATATAGCTGGAATATTGCTGAGTGCGGCATTAAACAACAAACAACAGGACCCATTCATTCCTGGTCTAACAGACATCGTCGTAACCTTCAAGGGATAAATCTTCACATCACATTTGGGACGGTGGGGAAGCCAAGTGGTAAAAGTGTTGGCTCATCAGGCCAAAGACCCAGGTTCGATTCCCCACATGGGTACAATATGTGACGCCCATCTCTGGTGTCCCATCTCCTTGATATGGCTTGAATATTGCTAAAAGCGGCGTAGAACCATAGTCACTCACTCACATCACATTTCTGTTCCAGAGTCTTCAGAGGGGTGGTCAACTGTGTTCAGACCAGCCTGAACTGTAGTGATAACAGCATCATCACCAACGCCCTCATCACCAACAGCGATGTCCTTGTCAGACGTATTGGAAGGAACTACAGTGGATGTCCCAAAGAAGTGGAAGGTAAGCACAATGTCTGTTCACAAATTTCTTCACCTCTGAAATGGAAATTTATGTTGATAATGGAATGAGTGGGAGGTGAGGAAGGCATTACCCTGGGAAACTGAACAATATTTTCGAACTTTAGGTGGTCCAAAATTCATGAGTGTTTCCATATATAATGGACACTGTATCAAATTTTAGAATAAATGCAACTTGTTTTGGCCATAACGATCCCTTGGATGCAGATCAAGAGTATTTGTTGCAGCCAGACATAATGATCTACACTCCCCAATGTTGGAGAACTCCCCTGTTCTCTAACTAGATCGTGCTAAATCTGTTTCAGGAGTGGACTCGTGTTCAAGTGCACTGATGAGGCCCGAGGGTTCAGCAGCGGGGTCCAAGTGTTTCGCCTACATGTTTGTCCAGAACACCACCTTGCTGACTCTGGAGGAGAACTGCAAGTGAGATGACCGACCCCCAGTTCTGCCACTCACTTCATTGATGATGAAATAGGATTGTGCTTCATGGCATCAGCTGTACCCATGTTCACCTCAATAATTATCACACAGTTTATTATAAAATATTAAACCATGGCTCCTTTGTCTTTGACTGTGGTCTAACTAACTGAATTGTTAATCACCACTTGGCAATGACATATCTTCCATTTTTCCCCTGTCCTTGATCTTTACGATAGAACAATTTCATGAAAAACGTTTGTCACCAGCTGGATTCAAACCGGCAAAGTCCGCACAGAAGGCTACTGTATATGGTCTTCTGCCACAGCTACGTTGGAGAAATTGTATGAAATTGACAACTAAATATCTAGGTGTCTGAAAAATGTGCAAAAAATGGTCCAAAATGAATGGTATACTTGCCTGGGACATGCATTTCATAACCCAAATCGGCAATTTGCCATGTGCACATACAAAAGGCACAGGAAACATATTTCACGTGCTTCGTGTAGGGCTGACTGACACAGTGTTCTCCCAGTTGAGCATAGAGTTCCTGAATATCTTTCCAAATACCTTAAACGAAACAATATTTTTTAATCATTTTAGGTGCTATAAATGTTGGACATGGTTTAAGACTGTTACACCACTTGGACCCCGGTGTCTGATCGTTGAAATGGTTAATTAAACAACAACTCGCTTGTGGTGTAATTAACCATTTCAACAATTAGACACTGTGTCCTTGTTGTCTACCCTATACATAAGACCTCATTTAGCAGCAGTGCATTATTAATAATAATTACTTGGTGTTCACCTTCAAACCTAGAAACATTGATTCAGCACACGTGTTGAGGAGTTATGAAGTGTTATTTTGTGCTGAACTGGTTGACATCACATGCCTCCTTTTTTTTTTATCAGGTTCTTCCTCAGTGGCCTTGCATGCGTGCAAGGAGAGCTCATGAAAGTCAGTGTTTCCTGTTCAATACGAGGACTGGCCCAGGACTACTTCAACTATGTGCGCCTCCTGGCCTCCCAGAACACAACCATATTTCCCTTTGATTTTAGGCAGTGTGCAGGTAATTGTTTTCCACATGACTCTTATAGAGGTGCTAGATTCTTACAGAGATGTTTGTGTTTTTATGTCTTTCTTAATACTAAATTTTAAAACTTATCCTGTCGCACCCTATGCATTTCTCAAATGTGTCTGGGTGATGCTAGGGGTGTTCATGTGGATTGGGTTTTTTAAAACAGGAAACCTTTGTTTGGGAACTCTTCCACTTAGGATCAAAAGAATAAGGAGAATTGCATAGTGTGAGATAGGATAAGTAAATAAATATACAATTTATTGTAAAATTTCCATTTATTGAAAGTGACTTGTGATGTCTTGATAAGTGAGTAGCTAATTTGTGCTGTTGTGCTGTGGACTTGTGTCATTGCTGTATGTTTCCCAAAAGAATCTTCTGTCTGCCATGTTTTGTTTTGGCTATTTTCAGCTATAGTGGCAAAAGATGGTGATGGGAAAATTGAAGATCTGTGCTCCAATGAAGACATCATCCCACTCTTTGTCTCCACCAGTTACTGTGCCATGCTTGCCTATTCCAATGATTGCGGGTATAATATTGCTTTACCTTTTCCTAAGAACTATAGTCTGTTTTCTTGAGTGTAACCAGACAAAACGCACACCCCATTCGAGTAAAATGCACAGTAGAAAATGGTTTATTCCTTCAGCGGAATGAACTTATAGGTGATAACAAAGTTAGTTATCCCATGAAGATCCGGGGTAGAATAGGTCTTCAGAAACCCATTCTTGACAAAAAAGGGACTATGCTTGTCGTAAGAGGCGACTAACAGGATCAGGTGGTCAGGTTCGCTGACTTGGTTGATGCATGTCATCATATCCCAATTGCGTGGATCGATGCTCATGTTGTCAATCACTGGATTGTCTGGCCCAGATTCTTTTTATTTACAGACCACCGACACATATAGTTTGAATATTGCTGAGTGCGGCGATAAACAACAAATAAACAAACATTTGTGTTCCCAGAATGCAGGGATCTGGGCCCTACACTCTACCATTTTAAGCCATTGAACTGAAATAACATTATATGTTAAATATTTTAAACAACAAACAAACAAAGTTGGTCTATAGAAATGTGAAATTTGAGATAAAACATCACTAGACATGATGATTAACCACTTAGATTGTATTTCTGGTTCTGCTAGGGATTGTTATTACAGGCAGAGATTAAGATCACTGTGTGTATGTTCTCATAAACTGAGCCAGAAGTAGAAATCAACTGCACATACATTATGTTTTTTACCTTCTCTCGCATTACTCCTGAATGCATTCACTGCTCGCCTATTGACAGAAGTGAAGCTGTGATTTGTCCTGCTGAAGAGATGTTATTGTCGTGTTATTTCATTTGTAGCTTTTGCCATACATATTTAAAAAGTATAATAACCACTCGCATATCAGTTTGGTACAACTGATAGCTATTGCCAGATATTTTTCACATATGGAACAATTTGACTAGTAACTGTTGAGGCTTCCCTTTGTCTTGCTATTTCGATCATGAACACATGTTGTTGACATATAAAGGTCGAATTACAACAAATATAACTTGTGTCACAGCACGGCCTTTATGATATATGTATCGATTCTCTATCAACAAACGTTCACTTCCAGGGGTCATTAAATAATGGAGATCACTTCATACATGATTTTGACGATGTTAATGAAAAGAATAGTGAGGCTGTCGGTCAGGACTAGGGATGGGTATTGGCGTATTTAATTTAAGTGTGTCAATATTTTACAATGCGCAAGCCATATTGCGATACATATCACGATATATTGCATAATTCTAAATTTTGATTTTAGAAGCTATTTGAAACAGCAGTTTATGAATTGAAGCTGTCAAACCCAACTCACTAACTTAATCATTGAATTAGGGATTTGGTCATAGTGGCTGAATTCTGGTGGTAAACCAAATGTCCTCTAATGTAAAATGTATGTGTTCAAAAGAGTATTCCTCAATGTGATATGTTTCAAGAGGGGGTATTTTGCATTTCAGTAAATGTTGAAATTTGTTTTATGAACTGACTCACCATCAGTTTCCACCATTCAATCCAGTGTCTTCAGAGGGGTCGTCAACTGTGTTCAGAGCAGCCTCAACTGTAGTGATGACAGCACCATCACCAACGCCCTCATCACCAACAGCGATGTCCTTGTCAGACGTATTGGAAGGAACTACAGTGGATGTCCCAAAGAAGTGGAAAGTAAGCTTAATGAATTTAGCGAAAAAAATAAATTGTCCCCAATAGTTCTTGAAAAGAATAATTATTCTTCAGACAGTTGAAACAAAAAGAAATTGCCTGGCTAAAAAATGACATTGTGGCAAGGTGTTTTCCTTTAAAAAGAAATCACTCATAGTTTTAAATAAAAAAATATCTGGTTTTGTAGATGTAGCTGAGAATATCTGATCTCGATACAAAATTCAAAGGCCACCCCAAGAACATCCAAAATTCGGTCCCCAAACATCAGACACCTGCATCCTTTTAGGCCTTCCTTCCTCATTAACCAATCTCATTTACTAATCACAAGGAGATATAACTGAAATAATGTTCAAAGTGGCATTTAGCTCAAACCAACTCACTCACTTGCAAGTGTTGCTTAAAGGGCAAGTTCACACGGAAATTAACCTATTTTTCTTGTACTTTTTCCACATTAAAAGTGTTAACCTAGAAGTGTCATAGACAAAAATATAAAAATATCACAATTAATTAACATATTTTTCGCATTAAAACGATTTATATTTTTCACATTTACCAAGTGTTCTATTTCCACAACAAAAACACCATGGCTTATGCCCCTTGCAATATGAGGTCATTGGTGCCAATTGATAAACATTATGACGTCATCATGCTTTGTTAGAGCCGCTTCACGTGGTGTAGGTCTAGGTGTGTGATTCTAGCGTCTCAGATGCCAGCCAGCATAGTGTTATGCTGAGTCACCACTGCGCCGGAGTGTGTCGTAGGCCATGTTGTTTTACCGCAAACTGGTACTTGATATCTTTTGCGTTGAGAATAGACAGGGACCCAGTTGAATTGGCACCAATTACGTCATAATCTAAGGGGGATAACTCAGGCCTGTTTAGCTCAAAAAACGAAGGCCTCATAACGGCATATCATTTTCACACAATTGTGAGCTTCCTACTTTCACTGTGAAAAAAATGAGTGTATATTTTCAAACACAGATACTAATTAATTCTAAAATTGCGTTTTGTTTAGAAAAAGAAAGAAAGTGATTTTTGCGTGTACACTTCCCCTTTAAAACGACATCCACTAACTGCCTCACTGTTATATTTCAGACAACAATCCGTGCCCATTGCAAGGAGATGAGAACTTCAGCCTTGCAATGGACGTTGTTGCAGAATGCGGGGCTATTCTTGGAAAATTCAATGCTTCTATCATCCCAGAGGAGCATGCATGCAGGTTTGTATTTGTTGTTATTACCCACGTGGTCAAGATACAGGTGGTAAGATACTGAATCCGTACGTCACACGTGTGTCGTACAAAGTTGACCTCATTTTATTCGTTTTGATTGGATAACCGTGAACACCTGAACTACTCTTTTCATTTATAAAAAAATTGCGAGACGTCATTCGCTTTATCAAATACAAAACAGAACTAAAGGAATCTCACGAAAGCGAGAGACATTTACACACACTCCATTAAACCAAACAAGATCGTCACATGCATTAAATTTGCTTTGCATTCTGTATTAGTTATGCATAGAGCTACTGCAGACATGATATAATCGAGCCATGCATATCCATATGCAATGTCTACCGATGGATCGAGGGTCCCATGAGCGTGACACACCCGACCACTTTCACAACTTTCAATTTGATTTAATGTAAAAGGTTAAGCGTGGTGAAATGAAGTCAATTTAGACTATCTGGACAGATATCTAGACCTACGTTCGATGCTCCGGTTGTGCCATCAGTGACTCCATTCAAAGCGTATTTTGTGACATTGCTTCCGGAGGTGTTTGTTCATGAATGAACATACACGACTGCACGACCAGATCACTAAAGGTGAACATTTCCGATACAAATAATTCGAAAACTCAATAGAAGTGTGCCTGACTTCTGATTATGTGATCCAAAACATCCCAAATGTGAACAATAACATTCCCTACCTCTAACGTAAACCGCTTTGAGTAGATCATGGTTGTCTTTTCTTATTCCGTTGGTGACCTTGCCCTTCGTTTGAAGCTGTCACTGACATTCAAACAGACTTGAGTTGTTTGATTTTCACGTCTTCAGTATAGGGTGGTACAGTTAATATGTCTTTGTCGAACGCTCTGATTTCCCTCTTCCAAAATGGTACGGACAGGATATAAATTCAGCTGATAGATCAAGAAAACCGAACCATTTTGCACATTCGGGACCAAGGCAGTGCAAGCGAGCGACCGTTGGTCCGATATACAAAGAGCGGCGCTAATGTGACTTTTAAAATTTTCTTATAGGTGTCCTGCATACTAACAACAATGCACTTGAATTACCATAAGTTAAAGAAATTCTTCCAAAAGGATCTTGAGCATCAGTGCTGTAATGTTTGCAAACAGCAAGAGCATGTTGTTGCATAGAGCATAGAAATGTCAACAATGGCCATATTTGGGCATACATCAATATTCATATGCAACCAGATTTTGCAACCGGTTTCAGTTAGGTCTGTCAACAAATGAAAGTTATAATGTAAATGCATATATTTAACGTGCGTAATAAATAAAATACCAAACACTTTCGCTCGGTCTGATACCATAGAAAGTCCACTCGTTTCGTAAAAATGGTATCTAACAATAAGGAGTGTAGTTTTCTCTTTTTATGCAGTAGCCATAACATTTCCTGTTTCTTCATTTGGAAAACCTTTCAGCAAGCTGACAAGTTAAGCTAGGTATTAACCTGTCACATGATTTGTTTGTTTAACGCCTCACTCAGCAATATCACAGCTTCACGTATTGTACCCATGTGGGGAATTGAACCTGGTTCTTCGGCGTGACGTGCTAACGCTTTACCTACTTAGCTACCCAAACGCCCCCTCTCGTATCAACCACTGGAATTCCAGGATAGAACACCCACTCAAGTGGGTATAGGCCCTATGGTATAACTGTAATTATGTACCTGTAGCGGACACGTCCCTGCTGGTTTCATCTTGGCTTGGACACTCGCCCCGTGCAGACGTGTCCTTCCTAGCTCGCAACCCACGCTCTACCATGAGAGATATCGCTCTATCGCTACCTAGGAAGCTAGTTGCCATCCTGGAGCCCTTGCTGGCTTACAGGGTTGGGGACTACTCCCTCCGGACTTCCTACAAGTCCAACTCCTCCACCCTCTCCATCTCCTTTGACCTAGGCCAAAGGAAAAGGCCTCTGGTCAAGGCTCCGGCCAAGACCAAGCCTAAGGAGAAGAAGACCCCGGCCCCTACCCCTGCTGCACCACGCCCGGTACAGAAGGCCAGGCCGCCTACAGTGAAGAAGGCTCCACCAATCGCCCCCATGGAGATCAAGGAGAGCCTTCCCACCACCGCTCCGCCCCCAAAAGCTGCACTGGAACTCGCTCCTCTCGAATCCAGAGGGGAGGAGCCCTTTCGCACGCCGGTAGGGACTGGCCACGGGAGGAAAAAGAGAAAGAGGAAAAGTATCTTCTCCCCTGACTCTCCCCCCCTCCCATCACCTCCAACCTGCAAGACCACGGAGACGCAGACCGCCACAACACCAGGCCCCTCCCTAAAACACCAGCCAAGTCCAGACCGACCCAGTCCCGGAACAAGATGTTGAGGTAGGCGTCCGTGCCCACCTTGCACAGCAGGCAGATGTCATTCTGGAGCAGCACCCTAACACCTGCTACCAGAATGAGAGCGGCAAGATCTATCCCAGCAACCGCCCACGCCCACCCTTGGTGCTGGTGCAGTACTGGGGTGAAGAAAGATTTGAGCATGAGATTCACAGCTACCAGGATCTCTCGGAATTCCTGGTTGACTGTGATCTCCCAGTCAGTCCAATCTTCATCACAAACGCCGCCACCCGCCTCACCACCGCACTGTTCCGAGCTCTTCCTCTCGGAGAGCTCGACCTAGCCAGGAGGCTCCTGGCTGGGAAGAAGCAGTAACTCGCCACACCAGCTCGCCAGCCGACGCCGTGCCTTCCCACGCTTGACCCCCCCCCCCCCCCCCGCCCTCCAAGCCCAAACTTTTCCACATTATTATTATTCTTTTACTACCCTCACCTCACCCAGCCATACCCACCCCCTAGATGAAATTTTTAGGTTTACTTCATTTACATTTTTTTTGGTCGCACTTCTTATCTATTCATAACGCTTTTTTTTCCCATGTGCGAGTTACGCTAAATGTAATTTATTACATGCGGAAAGCGCATGTTAAATCCCCGAACAAACGAACCAAATGTAGCGGACAATGTAGGAAAAATCTTTCTTTATCAAAACTTGGGAAATTTAAGAAGTTATTTTTTCCAGGATTGTTTATGTATTTTAACATTGCTTTCAATATGGTGTAAAGCTGAGCATTCAAGCCTTTGTAACTATATGTTCCTGTTGTAGGTAAGATTCAAGTCACTTTTGTGAGGCAGTAATTTTGAGTCCCATTTACAACATGGTTTTGTAAAGGATGAGGTTGGAAGTGACAAATATTTAAGCTATTGAAGGCTTTTGCATTTTGGTGTGAAAATTATCCGACATGTTGAAATAGCTGATTACAAGCCTTTTTTCTTCCGTACACATACAAAAGTACCGCTAAAATGAGTGAAGAAGGTTGGTTTGAATGTTTCTATATTTCTGAGAAGATAATTTTCTTCACACATTTAAAAAATGCTTCTTGAAAACCTCTTAAATCACATTTTGAGCTTCTTGTTCATCTAGTATTGTTATCAGACCAAAACATGTGTGTTTACTGATGCATTTGTAACTTTCATTATAATGCAAAAACACTTTCCTCAATTGTAAGTGGCAAGTAAATTGAGAAAAGTGATTGCGAATATCAATTTTCCTAGTTACACAGTCAATTTTTTAGAGAAAAATTCAAAATAATCGTAGAAAGGATTTAAATGTCCAAGTGAAAGTGCTGAAATCACACACTCTGTAATCAGCTTCCAAACCAAACCTATTTGGGGCGTGGTCTTTAAGCTACTCGCGCAGCGGTGACAACCATTTTCATTTGCTGATATGTTTGCTACATTTATCAATCTTGTGATTCTTAACCGTTTTACTGTTTCTGCAATTTCTGTGAGTCCTACAAAAATAACGACATTGCATGCATTGTTGAAAGTGTGAAACAAGCCATGATCTTGACATTGTAAATAATTTAAATAACAATTGACAATCAGGGACTAGCGATTTATTACTAACACCCTGTTTGGGTAAGAAAACACCCGCTGCCCTCGGCCGTATTCCACACCATAAATGCCTATCAGGGATTGAATAATCCCCTGACTAAACATCTGAAGGGATCATCAGTGCTGTTAAGGTGACAGAAGTTGTGGACACTGAAATCAATTGGAAGAGCAGACCGAAGAAAGATGATGTAACACAAAATCTGAGGCAGAAGTAGGCAGACTGGGCGTCGGCCTGTTTATCATGATCATTGAACTTGCGCAGCGCATCAAACACCCAGTGAGGGGAATCCCCTCAGTGGTGGACTTTTCCATTTGGGGACGATGTCACCTGTCATTTTTTTGTCATGCATTTTACGCTATTTCCATTTTTCAAACTTAATTTTGGTCAGACATTTGTGATTAAGTATGCCCTACAGTATAAATAATATTCAAAGTTCTTGTGTTGACTTGACTTGCCCTTTAAGTTATTCATATCCTGTGGGCCTAAAAGGCCCTTGGGCGGTCGGGTAGCCTAGTGGTTAAAGCGTTCACTCGTCACGCCGAAGACCTTGGTTCGATTCCTGACATGGGTACATTGTCTGAAGCCCATTTCTGGTGTCCCCTGCCGTGATATTGCTGGAATATTGCTAAAAGTAGCGTAGAACCATAGTCACTCACTCACTCACCGAAAGGCCCTCACTCTTACTCCAAGTTGGGAATACAGACAGTTGCTTCAGACTTGATGTTATGTGTTGGCGTCTAAGGATGCCCAGATTAATATCATTGACTCACTGACTCTTTGCAGGATTTACTGGGGCGTGGTCAACTGTACTATGGAGGAGATGTCAAAGAAAGGATATACCAAGTGTGCCGGGCAGATCGTCACCTACCTGGAGGACTACCTCGACACCAAGAATAAGGAATTAAAGGATGTGGTGCCCTACAACTTCAACAACTGTCAATGTACGTTTTCTCTCACAGGTGTCAATACATAAGAAATAGCCAGTGAACTCCTTCATGCTCATGTGAGCCAGGGGGCATGGGTGGCCCAGTCGTCTAAGGCGCCGCGATTCGCTGTGCAGAGTTGCGTCCCTTGGCGACGCCAGAAACCTATTATTGTGGGTTCGAATCCCAGTTCTCCCCGATTATGTTTTTAGGTTTGTCAGCACCATACCCGTGCTCGTGGGTTTCACCGAAGTAGTAAACGTCTGGGACCTGCATCACTTCGGGCTTTCCTCCCACATTAAGCTGACACGCCGTGATATAACTGGAATACTGTTAAAAGCGGCGTTAAACCCAACTCACTCACTCACTCACTCACTCATGTGAGCCACATGACAAACTCCATGTCTGTTTTCTCATTTCTTTGTTAATGCATCATATCTGTCATAGTGCTATTTACAGTACATAGGGATAAGACTGACTTGTTTCATGAAATACAATATTGATATAACATCTGTGCAGAATTTTGATTGTTCACATGAATTGTTTACGAAGAGATATTTTGCCTGGTTCCATAGGAATAATTTTTATGAAAAGCAAACATTGAAAAACTTCATATGATTAATGAAGTTACATTTGTGTTCCGACCCATGAAGAACCAGGGTAGAACAGGTCTTCAGCAGACCATGCTTGTGACTAAGGTGACTATGCTTGTCGTAAGAGGCGACTAACAGGATCGGGTGGTCAGGCTCACTGACTTGTTTGATGCATGTCATCGTATACCAATTGCATGGATCGATGCTCATGATGTCAATCACTGGATTGTCTGGTCCAGATTGATTATTTACAGACCGATGTCATATAGCTGGGATATTGCTGAGTGCGACAATAAACAACAAATAAACAACAAATAAACAAACTTTAGTGTTCCCAGAATGCAGGTATCTGAGCCCTACACTTTTTTACATTAACCATTTTTAAGCCATTGAGCTGAAATAACATTAATATTTTTGGTTGCCTCCCTACCTGATATGTTCAGAAGTATTTGATATCATGTTAATGCATTGCAAGACATTTCCATTCTGTGCCTTTGGAGGCTTCCACATTTACAAGACACATTTGACGTTGATGCTCCATGATTTAATTAAAGCATTGCAACATTAAAACACAGCTCACACACTCAAGTGTCAACAGCGAACCCAGACACTGTCACACTACTCAGACACTGTTGAATTTGTGGTTTCAGCCAACAGGCCAACTGGCGATGTGTGTTCCAATGACGGCACTCTGTCTCACTTCGCTGGCTCCTCCCTAGAGTGTGCCCCCAACACCGTGGCACTCATTAGACAGAACAACTACACTTGTGGGTCAGTCACAAGCACTTCACTTCAGCACTTCACTTCAGCATTTCCTGTACAAAGGAGCATGCCTGTATCAAGTGCCAGTTTAACAGGCTGATAGGCCCCTATGGCCAGTTCTTTCCTGGGGAAGGTTTGGCCAAGGCTGAAGCTTCCTCCTCATATGTACTGGATATCTAACATCCATTGGAGGGAAGATCTGGCCAAGAATGAACCATCCCTTTCTTTTGTTCAGTATATCAGAAATCCCGAGTAAGGGAGTGTCTGGCCAAGAATGAACCATCCCTCTCTTTTGTTCAGTATATGTCTGAAATCCAGAATGAGGGAAATCATGACCAAGGATATTGCCTCCCTGGGAAATATATGAACTTGTCTATTTCCCACTGGGGAAGAACTATCTTAGGCCAAAACCTCCCCAGGGAAGAGCTGACAAGAGGGTTTAGCCATAATGGATTATGTCGCGATCTATCACTGTTGATGTCTTTTGAACACTGAGATTCTCGAAACATATTCCTAAAAGTATATTACCACCAGTACTTCTTTTCTAGAGCTATTTATGGATAATAAGAGATTGTTACCTCTGTTTTGGGGGGCAAAGTCGTCTAAGGCGCCACGATTCACTGTGCAAAGTTGTGTCCCTTGGGCACGCCAGAAACTTATGATTGTGGGTTCAAATCCTGGTTCACTCCGATTAAGTTTCTAGGTTTGTCAGCACCATATCCATGCTTGTGGGTTTGATCGAAGTGGTAAACGTCTGAGACCTGCATCACTTCAGGCTTTCCTCCCACATTAAGCTGACACGCTGGGATATAACTGGAATACTGTTAAAGCAGCATTAAACCCAACTCACTCACTCACTACCTCTGTTTTTGCTCTCGATCAGATACCAAGATTCTGACAAATGAAAACTTGCATCTATTTTCCCCATTACTTCAAATACTTTGGCATGGTCATAACGGGTAAGAAGGTCTATGGCCATACCACAAGCAGGTTAGTGACCAAAGTGAAAATCTTAAGAATCAGGTTAAGTAAATAATTTGCATATGTTACAATATCAGAAAAAGCTTGTGAAAATGTGACTTTTGAGACATTTGAAGCATACCTTTGAACCCTATAATGTTTGCCAAAATCTTACCTGTTTAAGAATAATATACTTTCATGTTTTTCTATGAAGAATTCTGATAACTATCACAGCAATCTTGTATAAGATAATACTGCAGTCTGGAAACAGCAATTGCTTTAAAATTAATTCATGTAGCAGCATGTAATATTGTTTTAATTTACAATATGGTAACATTGGTTAATGTAATATATTTGAGGACATCTTAAGTATGTTGAAAATATGAAAATTCCCACTTCCAACCCTAAGTAAATGGGTATGATTCCTAAAACTGGTACAATGTGTGAAGCCTGGTCTTGGTGCACGCCCCATATGGCTGTAGTATTGCTGATAGAGGCATAGAACTGAACTTAATCATTCATGAAAGTACTTTTGTTTTATCCATCTGCAGATCATTGACATGGTTGGTGGAGTGTGTAAAAGAAGTCCTGCACAAATCTGAGATGAAATGTCCCACATGGAAGCTCCACAACAACTTCTACTATAACTCCTACATCCTACAGAGATACAACTCCACGCTCAACTTTAACATGTGTGACAGCTACAGTGGTATGTTTTGGGGGATTCTGGGGCAGTCACTGAAGTTCTGCTCTATGGGAAGTCTTGGGAGTCATGCTTTCAGGTCTTGAGGGATTCTGGGGCACTGACACACATAGTTCTTGTGGGGTTCTGGGGCAGTCATACATTCAGCTCTTGGGGGATACTTGGGCACTCCCACATTCAGGTCTTGAAGGATTCTGGGGCACTGACACACATAGTTCTTGTGGGGTTCTGGGGCAGTCATACATTCAGGTCTTGAGGGATACTTGGGCACTCCCACATTCAGGTCTTGAAGGGTTCTGGGGCACTGACACACATAGTTCTTGTGGGGTTCTGGGGCAGTCATATATTCAGGTCTTGAGGGATACTTGGGCACTCCCACATTCAGGTCTTGAGGGATTCTGGGGCACTGACACATATAGTTCTTGTGGGGTTCTGGGGCAGTCATATATTCAGTTTTGGGGGTTTTGCTAACACACATTAGAAATCAGAGACCCCTAACATCTAATCCCCTATGCCCCAAACTGGTCACTTTATGGCCTTCACACAGATGTAAACTATTCACCTTCACCCACTCACTTTCATTGTGTGGGTTAATGAAGGATTCATGGATGCACTTATTATGTCATCCTGCAGCAACTGCGTGTCATCATGCAGCGATTGTGTGTCACTGTACAAAGATTGTGTGCACCAGTCAAGTGTGTTCAATCAATTGTGTGGCGATGTGCACCAAAAGTGTGTTGTCATGCACCTGTTGAGTGTCCTCATGCACCCGTCGAGTGTCCTTATGCACTGATAACAGCAGTGATATAGCTGGAATAGTTCTGAACACTGAACATCATCCACATTGATCCTCGAAAGGTTGCTGGAGTTTGTGGTGATACAACAAACATGGTTGGTATCCCAGATTTACCGTAATTGTTTCCCCTGTTTGTCAGCACCATATAGCCATGCTAGTCATTGCCTTGCTCGTAGTCGTGCATCTAGTAGCCATGGTCATGGTTGTGCATCGAGTAGCCATGGTCTTAGCCGTGCATTTAGTAGCCATGGTCTTAGCCGTGCATTTAGTAGCCATGGTCTTAGCCGTGCATTTAGTAGCCATAGTCGTAGTCATGCATTTAGTAGCCATGGTCGTAGTCATGCATCTAGTAGCCATGGTCTTAGCCGTGCATCTAGTAGCCATGGTCGTAGTCATGCATCTAGTAGCCATGGTCGTAGTCATGCATCTAGTAGCCATGGTCGTAGCCGTGCATCTAGTAGCCATGGCCGTAGTCGTGCTTCTAGTAGCCATGGTCGTAGTCATGCATCTGGTAGCCATGGTCGTAGTCATGCATCTAGTAGCCATGGTCATAGCCGTGCATCTACTAGCCATGGTCGTAGTCATGCATCTAGTAACCATGGTCTTAGCCGTGCATCCAGTAGCCATGGTCGTAGTCATGCATCTAGTAGCCATGGTCGTAGTCATGCGTCTGGTAGCCATGGTCGTAGTCGTGCATCTGGTAGCCATGGTCGTAGTCATGCATCTGGTAGCCATGGTTGTAGTCGTGCTCTTAGTAGCCATGGTCGTAGTCGTGCATCTAGTACTCTGCATCACTTCCTTACTCCAATGTGATGAAACCCTGATATATATAGTTTATTCTCTTTCTGATTAAATCCTCCTTGGGGCACTTATTGCATTTTCCTTGCTCAAGAAAATCTATATGACATAGTTGTAACCATTTTCCTTAATAAAAAATGTTACCACACAAAAAACTTCGTTTTTGTATGATATACGACCACCCTTACGGGGCCTCACCCCCAACGGCGCCTCACGCCAGGGGGAGCAACTCTCACCCAAATTACTTTCCTTATGTCATCTGTAAGAGACAGACGTGTTGATTTTTCACACAAGACAAAAATAAGAGAAATCTATCGTTCGACAAGAACCATGGCTGACCAAACTGTATGTATGGTACATTTCTTTCATTGCAAAGGCGTAATACCTCGCATTGTGAAGTTATAGAGATGTAATAATACGCCACGTGCACGGTACCTTTGAATTCAAATGGCCGTAATGGCGTCCATATTGTAGTTCCACGGGCTGATACATGTAACACCAAGGCCATTAAGAAACGGCTTGGGGTTTTGTTATATCATACAGCATTGGTCTACAATTTTTTCCTTTACAAAACCCAAGGTGGTGTGTTAATTCATAAACTACACTTACCTTTTTTACGGGTTTTTACACCTTAGCGCGTAACACGCCCCTTTGGTGTTATAATTATACTACGACATTGGCTATTAGTATCGCGTTACAAATCGCATTCTACATTACGCCTTTGCTTCTAGTTTCACAATTTATGCACGTTTCTTTCCGATCTTTATATCGCACTGATACACGTTGATACCCTTCCCGCCCACCTCAGAAATTACGGTCTTGTTTACAAGACCTTCAAACTGTGTACGGGTTGTTCTAAGACAGGCACGAATGCTGCCTAATATGTCTGGCGGAGGACATTGCCTTTACCCCACGGGGCCCCCAAAAAGAGACAAGTTGACTTGTTCCACTTTAAAGAGGTCTATTAAAGGCGGGGGTAGATATCAGATCTACTAAGACATCCCCCCCCCCCCCCCCCTCCCCATCTAAAAAGGGTAAAAAAGCTGCCGAGATTGTCTCCCCCGCTCCCTCTCCGGGGGCCGGGTGAGAAGGCTCGAGGGTCCCCGTAGTAAGCACTGCACCCTCTCCTGCACTGTCTTTGGCAGACTTTTCTGCGTTACTTAAGTCGCAGATGGTGTCGATGATGGAGGAGGTAAAGTCTCAGCTCCGAGAGGAGATGCGGACCGAGCCTTCCCCGTTGTCGGCGCCGGACGCGGCTTCGAGACCTTGTGATATGCCCGGCGTCGGCCGAGGCAGGCAACTTGGTCTCGGGGACGATCTCAGACCGGGCTTCGGCGCCGGCTCGAGGTCGCTCCCCAGCGGAGGGGTGGCGGGCGCCGGCCCGTGCACTACCGACGCACAATTTTTCCCTAGCGGAGCCAGACGCCTCTTCCGAGGCCGAGGCTTTCACTAGTGGATTCGTAGCCCGGAGCCAGGGGGGTTCCCTTGGTCTCGGGGACGATCCGAGACCGAGCTTCGGCTCCGGCTCGAGGTCGCTCCCCAGCGTAGTGGTGGCGGGCACCGGCCCGTGCACTACCGACGCACAATTTTCCCTAGCGGAGCCAGACGCCTCTTCCGAGGCCGAGGCGTCCACTAGTGGATACCTAGCCCGGAGCCAGGTTGGTTCCCTTTGTCTCGGGGACGATCCGAGACCGAGCTTCGGCTCCGGCTCGAGGTCGCTCCCCAGCGTAGTGGTGGCAGGCACCGGCCCGTGCACTTCCGACGCACAATTTTCCCTAGCGGAGCCAGACGCCTCTTCCGAGGCCAAGGCTTTCACTAGTGGATACCTAGCCCAGTGCCAGGTGGGTTCCCTTGAACCTCCGGCACCTCGGCACCGGGACTCGGCCTCGGGCCGGGTGCAGAGACACGTGCGGGACAGGATTGTCCATGTACTGCCTCAGGTGGCTGCACCCATGCCAGAGTCGGAGTCACCCAACTTGACTAAGGTCAAGCAGGGCCGGCGGTTGCCCCCCCTTTCCCGTGTGCGGTGCGGAGTTGAAGGCTGCTTACATATGCTTCGAGGAGCAATATCATAATGCATGCCAACAGCTCCGTGTGTCCGTACACTCCGCGTATCTGTCGGCTGTACAGAGGGAGTTAGCGGGAGAGGGGCCGGCCGACTCTTCGGAGTTGGCCGCGCAACTAACATTATCTTGCGCGGGACGCTATTCGTAGCTGTGCCTCGCAGATGATGTGCGCTGTTATGTGCATGCGCAGGCGGTGGATGTCGGTATCTAAATACTCGACTTACACACGCCAAGACCTACTTGCTTTGCCGTATAAGAGGGTGCCACCCTCTTCCCTGGGGCTGAGCAGGCGGTCCGAGAGGCTGCTCAATTGTATACTTCCATCAAAGACTCATAAGGCCTTGTTGGAGGTACCAAGCGTTAAAACCGCGTAAGCGGGCCTCTCCAATTGTCCCCTCCTACGCTAACGCACGGGTCAGACGTCCACACCTGCTGGGAAGCCGCCGCTTCCTTCAGGTATAAGGGCGCCGGGAGGAGCAAGAGAGGCACGGGCCGGGGCAAGGCAGCTGGTCGAGGCCAACAGCTTTTTCGCAGGGCTGGGAACGATTGGTTCCCATTAGCGCCCGAAGAGCCCCGGGTGAACCCACAGTCGCAAGTTATCGAGAAAACTCATCCGCTCCTCCACTTTTCCGGGATAAAGCACACTCCGGTGCCTGCTACCCGAGAGAAGGCGGAATTCCTCCGTGCCGAGGTCGACGCACTTCTTATGAAAGCTGCGATCGAACCGGGTCCCGAGGGACAGGAAAGCGAGGGCTTCTACTCGACTTGTTTCCTAGTCACCAAACAGTGATCTCAACTGTCGAGACAGGAGAATGGCTAACGTCAATAGACTTAAAATACGCCTATCTCCACATACCAATACACCCCGAGTTCAAGAAATACCTGAGGTTTTCTTTCGACGGGAGGTGTTATCAGTTCAGGGTTCTACCATTCGGGATCTCCACGGCCCCGAGGGTGTTCACCAAGCTGATGTTGATTCCCGCCCAAGTGGCCAGGTCAAAAGGTCGGTTCTGCCATCCGTACCTCGACGACTGGTTACTAAGAGCTCTATTGCAATCCCTGAGTCAGATAGCTACACAACAAGTGATAGATATTCTGATCACTCTAGGGTGGATGGTCAATCTCAAGAAGTCAGATCTGAGCCCCACTCAGAATCTAGTCTTCCTAGTGGCTAATTTCAACACGGTGAGAGGACGTGTATCTCTGTCACAAGATATCAAGTCCCTTAAGCGCAAGTCACACTGCTCGTACATGGCTCCAGTTACTGGACAACATGGCGGCGACAGTGGATTTGGTCTGGCGGGCGCGCTTGAGAATGAGTCCCATTCAACAAGCACTCCGTCGACTTTGGGCGAACTCGGAAGATCTCGAGACTGCGCTCGAGACTCCGTAGTGGCTCATTACACACCTCCAGTGGTGGACCGAGGTCGGGAATCACTCCCGTTCCGTCTCTCACAGTTCAAACAGACGCGTCACTCTCCGGCTGGGGAGGCGTTCTGAATGATCACACTGCCTCGGGACTATGGTCCCAGCAGGAGATCAAACTGCATATCAATGTGCTAGAACTGAGAGCGGTCAGGTTGGTGTTCCAACGCTTCCCGGATCTGCTTCGTGGCCAAGTGGTTCGTCTAGAGATGGACAACCAAACGGCGATGACTTACATCCGGAAGCAGGGGGGAACGGCGTCTCCGTCGCTTCGACGAAAGACGTGGCAGTTCCTACTATAGTGCGGCTCTCACGATATCAGGGTGCTACCTGTTTATCTCCCGGGGGTGGACAACGTCCGTGCGGACGCTCTGTCTTGCCGGATCCTCGCTCCTCACGAGTGGAGGCTCGACCCGGGGATATTCGGGATTTTCTCCCTGTTATACAGGTCGTTACAGGTGGATCGGTTTGCGTCTGGGTTAAATAACCAGACACCAACGTTCTGCTCCCGAGTACACGACCCGAGGTCGGTGGCACCGGACGCCTTTCAGCTAGATTGGACGGACAGTTCTGTGGGCATTCTCCCCAGTACCTCTGATTTCCAAGGTCCTGTCTCAGCTAGGCACTCAGCCTGCGCGACTAATTGTGCTCCTGGCACCTCTTTAGTCGGCGCAGAGTGGGTTTCCAGTAATACTCAGGTTTCTGGCTCAGCCTCCTGTTATATTACCTTTACGACCGGACCTCCTATCCCAGAACGGGGCCCTCCACCCGAATCTCAGGTTTCAGTGGGTGGCTTGGCCACTGTCAGGAATCGCCTCCAGAAGAGCGGTATTCCTGCACGAGTTGCAGACACAATACTGGCTTCGCGGAGGGATTCGACAAACGTTCAGTACGATAGATAGGCCTGCTATGCGCCCTGGTGTGTCGATAGAGGGATTGCAGATCTTTTTTCTGCAGATCTCGTATCCGTGCTTGAGTTTCTCCAGTCGCGACTAGATGACGGCCTGGCCGCATCAACAGTCCGAGGGTACTCTACAGCTATCGCAGCTTTTCACGTCCCTGTCGACGGGGCACTTCTGGGTGCACACCCATTAGTGCAGCGCTTTTTAGCAGGTGTGGACAGGATCCGACCGCCAGTCCGGCGGATCAGTCCCCCTTGGGACTTGTCAATCATTCTAGATTGGCTGTCCGGTCCTTCCTTTCGGGATCTGTCGTCTCTCTCTCTTCAGCTGTTGAGCTGGGAGACGGCGTTCATTGTGGTGGTAACGTCCGGCAGACGGGTAGGCGACATTCGTGTTATGTCAGCCGATCCCAAAATAACTGTCTTCCATGGGGTCGATAAATATCACCGGGACAGTCAGTTTTCGTCTACCGTACTATTACCGTCCTAGGGTCGCACACGATTCCACGTGAACGGCTCCTATTGAGCTACCTGCTCTTTCACAGCCTTCCTCGTCGGGGACCACTGCAAGACATGCTCATGTCTTGGATGTCCGCACGACTCTCAAGGCCTATATCAGCAGAAATATGGGTGTCCGTAAGGATAACCAACTATTTTGCTGTTACTGCGGTAGGAAGGTTGGCTCACCTGCGAGTAAACAATCTATCTCGAGGTGGATAGTTTCAACCATTTGTACAGCGTATACGCTTACAGGCAGGGACCCCCCTACCAGGTTGAAGGCTCATTAGGTTAGAGCAGTGGCTGCGTCAAAAGCGTACGCCGCAGCTCTGCCCATTGAGCAGATCTGCTCCGCGGCTATTTGGAGCCAGCCGAGCACGATTCATCAAACCTTACCAACTCGACAAACACTCAAGCGAGCGTACTCGGTTTGGTAAGTCAGTTCTCCGAACTGGGCAAAGTTCTAATCTCTAGCTGATTGAGCTTTCGAGATTTTAGACAGTCTTCCGGTTGTACTGCTCAGTAATGGTCCGGATTTTATCTTCTGCGGTCGATAAATATCAGTCCTTACTACTCGATAATACTCGTATTTTGCGCACGCACTACTTCGATCCTCGGGGACCCTCTGGCCTAGCTCAGCGCTGGTTATGGTCTCTCGTGATCAACGCCCTTATATCACTTGTTCAAAAAAAGTGTGGGGGGGGTGGGAGGTGTTTCGAGTTCTCAACTTATGACAAGCCGCAAAAACAGGCTTTATCATAATATATGGTCGACCACGCCCTGTCTCTAGCCCCCGCCTTTCGACGGTGGTGCCTCACGATAAGGTTGGTTCCATTTATTGAACTCAATATTTTATTCTGTTGAATAATCAAATACGATGTATTTATTTACGCCTGTTGCTGACGGATGCCACTTCCTAGATTATCTTTGGGAGTCTGTCTTGATGCAATAAGTGCCCCAAGGAGGATTTAATCAGAAAGAGAATTTTACAAACCTGTAGAGGTTATGAATTCTCTGATGAAATCCTCCTTGGGGCACGGCCACCCACCTCCCCACATTCCGTCAGCATTTGACATATGGAAAGTGATTTGGGTGAGAGTTGCTCCCCCTGGCGTGAGGCGCCGTTGGGGGTGAGGCCCCGTTGGGGGTGAGGCCCCGTAAGGGTGGTCGTATATCATACAAAAACGAAGTTTTTTGTGTGGTAACATTTTTTATTAAGGAAAATGGTTACAACTATGTCATATAGATTTTCTTGAGCAAGGAAAATGCAATAAGTGCCCCAAGGAGGATTTCATCAGAGAATTCATAACCTCTACAGGTTTGTAAAAATTTTATGCCACTTTGAATTTCATATAGATAGATATATAGATTTATAGATCTGAAATTCAAAGTGGCATTAAATCAAACTCTCTCACTGACTGACTCTGTAGCTATGATTGCCACTATTTTCTTAACAGTGCCAACCACCTCCCCTGACTACTACAGCCCCTGCAGGGACTACAACTCCATCAGATACAGCGCAGAGGCGTACTGCATGCCTCTTTTGCGGAAACTGAATGACACCAAGGGAAGCAACTCTTGCAGGTGAGACTCACATTTCATGTTGTAAAATGGGCAAGATCAGATTTGCCTTCAATTTCTATTGCCTATGTTCCTCTCTTATTTACTTTTGACCATGAGGTATGTTAGTGGAAGGTGGTTAAAGTGTTTGCTCCTCATGCATTGGAACCAGGTTAGATGTGTGAGGCTGATTGCTTGTGATCATACCCCAATGAAATGGCTTGCTGCTCATACCTTCAATCACTGGTTTGTCTTGTCTAAACACAGTCTGAACAGGCTGCAGAGATACAGTCGGAATGTGGCGTTAAACAACATTCACTCACATCTTTCTTCTTTAGCTATCATGACAACATGTCTTGGTTCATATTTGTCACTCTGTTTCAGTGCATACGGTAACCTGATGCAGTGCCTAATATACGCCTTGCACAGATACAACTGCACTGCCAAGAAGATACACAACATTGCTATCCAAAATTCCAAGATTATTAGGGATGAACTGTCAGAATTCAATCCAAACAGTTGTGGTGAGTTCATGTCCCGTGGAGAACAGTCTTCCTTGGCTTACTGACCCTGTGGTTTGAATATGTCCCCTGTAACCCTGTAAGAGGTAACTAACAGGCTCCACTGGCCAGGCTCAGTGACTGGGTTGTTGGTACTTCATTAGACCGATCATTCGTTTTCTGATCCCGACTCGATTATTTACACGCTGCCAGACCTGTGAAGATCCGGGATAGAATAGGTCTTCAGAAACCCATGCTTGCCCTAAAAGGTGACTATGCTTGTCGTAAGAGGCGACTAACGGGATCGGGTGGTCAGGCTCACTGACTTGGTTGATACATGTCATTGTATCCCAATTGCGTAAATTGATGTTCATGATGTGAATCACTGGATTGTCTGGTCCAGACTTGATTATTTACAGACCGCCATCATATAGCTGGAATATTGCTGAGTGTGGCGTTAAACATCAAACAAACAAACCCTGCCATGATATAGCTGGGATATAGTCTGTGACTAGTGCTAAAAGAATAGTTTTTTGTTCTGCCCATAACTTTCATCAAAGTGGTAGAAGACTTTGGACTTAGATCCATGAGATTGGTTTGGGTGCTCACAAATTTCACCCCTTGTTTCTCAAGATGGGCCAAATCATACCATTCACAACAGAGAATAGATCCCTCCAACATTTCTTAATATTTATTCCATTTGCAGGTGCTCCTACATTTACCACCAAGTCCCCATGTTTGGAGGACAACTATTATGGGTTTGTCATGAGTGTAATGTGTGAAGCTGACAAGCTGAAGCCCACAGAGGACAATTGCAGGTACGTTCTTCAAGCTAGATCACCAGTCTCTAAGGTGCTTGCTTGCAGTTGTGCTAGCAGAAATAGTAGCTGTACATTGGTGGTGTGACTGGCTGTGACTGCCTACATTATGATGCTTGGTCTGTCATTTTGTGTATGGTGCTCCAGGACCTGTGAAGACCTGGGGAAGATTAGGTCTTAAGCAACCTATGCTTGCTGTAAAAGGTGACTATGCTTGTCGTAAGAGGCGACTAACAGGATCTGGTGATCAGGCTGCTGACTTGGTTGATGCATGTCATCGATGCCAATTGCCTGTATCGATGCTCATGATGATAATCACTGGATTGTCTGGTCCAGACTCGATTATTTTCAGTCTGCTCTCATATAGCTGGAATATTGATGAGTGCAGTGTTAAACAACAAACCAACCAACCTATGGTGCTCCAGAGTTGCACCCAAATCAGGCATGTCTGTGACCTGGATTGTCCTGGAAAACATTAGGCTGACATGCTGTGATATAACTGAAGTACTGTTGAAAGCTTCTTCTCTTCTCACACCTCCTGTGTTGCATGGATAGCCCAGTGGTTAAGGCATTCACTCATCATGCAGAAGGCCAGGGCTCAGTTCCCCATATTGGTACAATGTGTATAAAGCTCATTTCTGAAGTCCCCAATAGCTGGAATATTGCGAAAAGCAGCATAATACCTCCCTCCCTCCCTCCCTCACTCACTCACTCACTCACTCACTCACTCACTCACTTTTGTGTTGCAGCATTCCCTACCAGTTGACCATGTGTGCAATGAACGTCTCTTCCATTCTATTCACACAATGTACAATGAGTAACTTCTCTGCCTACCTCCAGAGAAACAAGGACGGCTTCCCACCTGCGTTTAGACCCTGCATTGGTGAGTATAGCAATGGAAATGTTCTTGAACAACAACCTTGCACATCTAAATGCCTTAACCTTAATGCAGTAAATGCTATAAGGAGTAATGCAGGATAAGTACTGCATTTTCTGGAGTACAATGCGCACCCAAGTATAATGCGCACACCCCTCTAGTGGATTCAGTATTTTGGAGAAGAAAAACAAATTGGGAGGAAAAAAACATAAAACTCATTATGACATGTATAATGCGCACCGCCTTCCACACAGCATTTTTTTTTTTTTTTGCACTATACTTAGGGAATATGGTATAGAATGTAAAAAATATTTAGATTTGACTAATTACTGTTGCAGTTTGTCTGAACTTAACTGACAGTTTTATCCACCTGAACTGGACCACAATGAAGGAGGATGCAGGATAAGGGCCCTTTTTTTATCACTGAAAATATCAGATTATAAAGTTGCAGAAGACATTGGCATGAACATGATATGCCTGACCAAATGGCAGACTTCTTGGCTCTTTATTTTCATGCACTTGTTTTGGACTTGATCAAGTACTCAAGTGTGGCTAAAATGTGTGAAAAGCTGATACTTTGATCTTCAAGAGAAACCTAAATATGAGCAACGGTAATTTTTTTGACCCAATGTCTGTACTGGTATCTACATCAACCCAAGAAAATAAGCTTGGATTAAGACCTTGCTCATGTTCAAATATTAGAAGAACAGTTCCTGAAATCCTCTATAGAACCGGTTTCTTCTTTTTGTCCCCCGCCGCGCGAAAGCGCGAAGCGGGGGATATAGTATTCACGACCGTCCATCCGTACGTCCGTCCGTACGTCCCACCTGTTTGTTGCCGCGATATCTCAAGAACTAAACACTGGATTGTCTTCATATTTGGAACTATGGTGTATATACAGACACCACAGACACCAGTCGGTTTTGGTGACCTTGACCCCATTTTCAAGGTCACAGCAGGCAAATCTGCTTTTGGAGTTTGAAAACGGTGTTGCCGCGATATCTCAAGAACTAAACACTGGATTGTCTTCATATTTGGAACTATGGTGTATATACAGACTCCGCAGACACCAGTCGGTTTTGGTGACCTTGATCCCATTTTCAAGGTCACAGCAGGCAAATCTGCTTTTGGAGTTGGAAAACAGTGTTGCCGCGATATCTCAAGAACTAAACACTGGATTGTCTTCATATTTGGAACTATGGTGTATATACAGACACCGCAGACACCAGTCGGTTTTGGTGACCTTGACCCCATTTTCAAGGTCACAGCAGGCAAATCTACTTTTGGAGTTGGAAAACGGTGTTGCAGCGATATCTCAAGAACTAAAAACTGGATTGTTTTCATATTTGGTACTATGGTGTATATACAGGCGGGGGACATTTCGTCACTTTGTGACAAATACTTGTTTGCTTTCAACCATTATCTGGTCATTGAACGTTGAAGTTCCAAGCATGCAAGAGTTGAAATGAGCAAATTCTGATTCTCATTTATCAAGTCTGTGTAAACATAGATAATAACTTACGGCAAATATCTGAAGGTTTTGGGGGGCACGGGTGGCCCAGTCGTCTAAGGCGTTGCGATTCTCTGTGCAGAGTTTTTGTCCCTTGGGCACGCCAGAAAACTATGATTGTGGGTTCGAATCCTGGTTCGCCCTGATTATGTTTCTAGGTTTGTCAGCACCATACTTGTGGGTTTGACCGAAGTGGTAAACGTCTGAGACCTGCATCTCTTCAGGCTTTCCTCCCACATTAAGTTGACACGCCATGATATAACTGGAAAACTGTTAAACCCAACTCACTCACTCACTCTAAATGTTTTGCTCAGTTCTCACTTAATGGAGATCCTTTTGGAGGAAGAAGACCCTTACCACCTTGTCTGATGACAAGAGTTGGATGGGTTTTAGTCTTCATTGCAGCTTTCTGTGTGAGGAAGTTGTTGTAAATCATCCAAGAGGTTTTTAGCGCTGTGTGAGAGAAAGATGCATATTATCCAATAAGCGTTCAACGCTGTGTGCAAGGAAGTTGTATAAGCATTTAGCGCTCTGTGTGATAAACTTATCAGTATAATGTTAAGCCCATATCAGCTGTTTTCACAAGGTAACATTGGTGAAATATGTTTTTAAAATTTAAAAAAAATGTAAATAGTAACTGTTCGTGTCTCATAGGAGGGTCCTGATGGGTGGGTCCCATAAGCAGTAAGCATTTAAATTTAGGGTACTTTTTCATTAAGCAGTAATTTTTCTTCTTTTTCAATAAAATCATCGCGAAAAAATCCTAAATCAGCCATGACAGGACATGGGACTTTTAATTCTGCTTTCGTTTCATCCTGACAATTCATATTTTTAATACCTGGTAAAATCTCAAATCGCTAAACATTCTAGACTGGTCCCCTGTGTCAGTTGCGCAGCCTGCTTTCTGTGGTGAAGCATTTGGGTCTTGAAGACAGACTGTTTTTGACCATTTTAATCATTTTACGATAAGCAGTAAATTATCTTTTTATGTTAAGCAGTTATTTTGGGGTATTTTATGATAAAAAAGATGACTTTTATGTTTACGATAGTGTTTGAAGGGTGTTTTACGTTAAGCATTAAAACCCATCACGACCCTCTCGTAGGCCCTGTGGCTGGATATTACACTGTTTGCTTTATATGTTATTTATTGTTACCGTGCAATATGTGCCACGTAAATAAACTATTTTTCTTTTCTTCTTTTCTTCTTCTGTGTGACATGTCTATTTTGCCATTGCAGATAACATACAGTCCCTGATTGTCGACCGCTGTCTGCTGATGACCAATCCTGGGGCCAATTGTCTCGCATTTTCAACGTATGGGATTGTAGGCACAAGTACTTGCGAGTAGGTATATTTTGCTGACATAAATACTGTATTTAATTTGATAATGCAAACCTCACATATACAAGCGTGTAAATATTTTCAGCAATTGCTATTGGATATCTTCGTCAATATAAAGACATGACTGAGAAGTTATGTTTAGCTATATTCTTTGTCTGAGGTATCCTTTGCTTGGATAATGGCTAAGAGTCTGATCATTTATTGATTAGATATTTTCTGATATTAGATATTAGAAAAATATAGAACCACTTTCTATTAGTATTAGATATATAATTATTTGAATCCACTTCCTTACAGCGAAACTAACATGCTGCTCTATGCAACCAGTTTGAAGTGTATGAAGAGGCAGGTTCAGACCAACTGTACAATCATGGACATCAATAAATCTTTAAAGAACTACTTTGATGTGATCTCCGTGGGGGCTGGCAGCTTCCTGTCGGCACAAGCAATACCTGTGATAACCTGTGCTGGTGAGTACTGGAATTTACCAGGGGCCAACTTTCAGAATTACCCACGAGGAATAATGGATTATATGATTTAATCAAGTTGCAAGTAGGAATAATGGATTATAAGATTTAATCAAGTTGCAAGTAGGAATAAGGGCGTATATGATTTAATCAACTTCCCGAAAAGATTTTTGTTAAAATTCACTGGTATGAATTAGCCAATTACCATTTTGAGATGATAAAATGCTCAAGGAGGATTTCTAAAAAAAGTCCTTACCTCTATGTACTCCATTACCTTAGACGTGACTGTAGGTGAGAATGCATTCAAGGTATATTACCGTATTCGACGTAATAAGCGCCCAGGGCGCTCTCAAAATTAGAAATAGGGGGCTGTTATTAGAATATTATTTGGTGGAAAAAAGACAGTTGAAAGATAAATTTCATGGTTTATGCTGACACCCTGAAATGAATTTAATTGCCCATAATTAAGAATACATATTACACATGAGTGCTTATTATACACGAATAAATAAGTCTTGTGTACATTGATAAATCAGAATGGGTGCTAATTGGGATTGTTCACTAGCCAGTATATTAGCAAATATCGCCATGGGCACTTATTAGAGTGGGGCGCTTATTACGTCGAATACGGTAATCTTTGTACCCATGGGCATTGCAGGTCAGAATAGGGCCCCAGACATGTTCTATATTACTGTAAACCTGGGTCAGAATATGTCCTCAGTATACAAGGCATGTCCTTGAGGGATACTGAGACAGCATGGACTCAAGTGTACCTTGTCATGTCCTTGAGGGATACTGAGACAGCATGGACTCAAGTGTACCTTGTCATGTCCTTGAGGGATACTGAGACAGCATGGACTCAAGTGTACCTCGTCATGTCCTTGAGGGATACTGAGACAGCATGGACTCAAGTGTACCTCGTCATGTCCTTGAGGGATACTGAGACAGCATGGACTCAAGTGTACCTTGTCATGTCCTTGAGGGATACTGAGACAGCATGGACTCTAGTGTACCATGTCATGTCCTTGAGGGATACTGAGACAGCATGGACTCAAGTGTACCTCGTCATGTCCTTGAGGGATACTGAGACAGCATGGACTCAAGTATGTCATGTCCTTGAGGGATACTGAGACAGCATGGGCTCAAGTGTACCTCGTCATGTCCTTGAGGGATACTGAGACAGCATGGACTCAAGTGTACCATGTCATGTCCTTGAGAGATACTGAGACAGCGTGGACTCAAGTGTACCATGTCATGTCCTTGAGGGATACTGAGACAGCGTGGACTCAAGTGTACAATGTCGTGTCCTTGAGGGATACTGAGACAGCATGGACTCAAGTGTACCATGTCATGTCCTTGAGGGATACTGAGACAGCGTGGACTCAAGTGTACCTTGTCATGTCCTTGAGGGATACTGACACAGCATGGACTCAAGTGTACCTTGTCATGTCCTTGAGGGATACTGAGACAGCGTGGACTCAAGTGTACCTTGTCATGTCCTTGAGGGATACTGAGACAGCATGGGCTCAAGTGCACCTTGTCATGTTCTTGAGGGAACCTGAGACAGCGTGGACTCTAGTGTACCATGTCGTGTCCTTGAGGGATACTGAGACAGCATGGACTCAAGTGTACCTCGTCATGTCCTTGATGGATACTGAGACAGCATGGACTCAAGTGTACCTCGTCATGTCCTTGATGGATACTGAGACAGCATGGACTCAAGTGTACCACTTCTTGTCCTTGAGGGATACTGAGACAGCATGGACTCAAGTGTACCACGTCTTGTCCTTGAGGGATACTGAGACAGCATGGACTCTAGTGTACCTCGTCATGTCCTTGAGGGATACTGAGACAGCATGGACTCAAGTGTACCATGTCATGTCCTTGAGGGATACTGAGACAGCATGGACTCAAGTGTACCTCGTCATGTCCTTGAGGGATACTGAGACAGCATGGACTCAAGTGTACCTTGTCATGTCCTTGAGAGATACTGAGACAGCGTGGACTCAAGTGTACCATGTCATGTCCTTGAGGGATACTGAGACAGCGTGGACTCAAGTGTACAATGTCGTGTCCTTGAGGGATACTGAGACAGCATGGACTCAAGTGTACCATGTCATGTCCTTGAGGGATACTGAGACAGCATGGACTCAAGTGTACCTTGTCATGTCCTTGAGGGATACTGACACAGCATGGACTCAAGTGTACCTTGTCATGTCCTTGAGGGATACTGAGACAGCGTGGACTCAAGTGTACCTTGTCATGTCCTTGAGGGATACTGAGACAGCATGGGCTCAAGTGCACCTTGTCATGTTCTTGAGGGAACCTGAGACAGCATGGACTCTAGTGTACCATGTCGTGTCCTTGAGGGATACTGAGACAGCATGGACTCAAGTGTACCTCGTCATGTCCTTGATGGATACTGAGACAGCATGGACTCAAGTGTACCTCGTCATGTCCTTGATGGATACTGAGACAGCATGGACTCAAGTGTACCACTTCTTGTCCTTGAGGGATACTGAGACAGCATGGACTCAAGTGTACCACGTCTTGTCCTTGAGGGATACTGAGACAGCATGGACTCTAGTGTACCTTGTCATGTCCTTGAGGGATACTGAGACAGCATGGACTCTAGTGTACCTTGTCATGTCCTTGAGGGATACTGAGACAGCATGGACTCTAGTGTACCTTGTCTTGTCCTTGAGGGATACTGAGACAGCATGGACTCAAGTGTACCTTGTCATGTCCTTGAGGGATACTGAGACAGCGTGGACTCTAGTGTACCATGTCATGTCATTGAGGGATACTGAGACAGCATGGACTCAAGTGTACCTTGTCATGTCCTTGAGGGATACTGAGACAGCATGGACTCAAGTGTACCTTGTCATGTCCTTGAGGGATACTGAGACAGCATGGACTCAAGTGTACCTTGTCATGTCCTTGAGGGATACTGAGACAGCATGGACTCAAGTGTACCATGTCATGTCCTTGAGGGATACTGAGACAGCATGGACTCTAGTGTACCATGTCATGTCCTTGAGGGATTCAGAAAAATTGTCATCAGTCATTCAGGGTCGATGTCAACCCAAAGTATACAACCTCTCACACAGGACCTGTGGGTTGTCATCATGGCCCAGTAGGCTGATACTCTAACTTTGAACAGATGGTTTGCCTCCTCCAAGTTCTATTTCAGGCCTGGGATGAAGTGGGAAGTGCTGACAAGGCACCATCCCATTTACTCCCCACATTAAGAGTGGCTTAAACCCACCTGACAGACATCCTCGTTTGTCCAGGGTATCATGTCTCCATTATTATTGTAATAAAAACCCTGGACCTGCTTGGCACCGTAGCTTCAGGAAGTGATGCCGAACTTCTCCATCTCTCTGACCATTAATTTCACATTAATTTTCTCTTGCTTATGAGTGTCATTGGATTGGACATCTGTTTCTAGAGCTAAAAAAAATGTAATAGTCTTTGTTCTCAGGTTCCGGCTGCATCATAAAGTCCATTTTGAAAAAATAAAAAAAATAAAAATATTCCGTGTCTTGAACACACAACCCCGGCAGAGAAATGCTACAATACTTATGAACAACTTGATCCCATTGAAATTATTGTAAACAAAATTTGGTTCATACTAGCTTGAACAACTCCCTACCCCCTCCAAAAAAAAACAAACCTGCCCCCGCACTATATTTTCAAAAGCCATTGCATTCTCAATGTGATTGATTCAAAATGAAGCTATAGTGGTGAATGGGTCTAGGGTGTTTATGAATATACTTACCAATAAATGTTTGGGAACATGAAATACTTTTATACATGAAATATTAAATTGTGTGCTCAGTTTTCACTACAAAAAATATCCCCACAAATATTCACGATCCCTAACTGATTTTTGTTCTGCGTGGAATGGAGACATGATACACTGGATCTTTGAGGATAATATAAAGAGGGGGATTCAGCCCTTTTCTGGTGCTGCTGTAAACATTAACATCAACGTATTGTGTTGTCTAAGGCAGTAACACATTTAATTGTTGTTTCAGAATCAATTAAGACAACAGATATAAGCACATTACCGGACTTCTGTAACAACGTCGAAGCCATCATGAGGATCCTTATGACTTTCGGCGGCAGCAATGTTTCGGGAATATTCAGTGCAAATAATGGAGTCATCCCATCCTGCTTGTAAGTGTGACAAATTAGACAATGCTGTTGTCCTTCACAACTGTCAAAATGTGGATAAAACATGCAGTCCAGAGGGTTTACCCCGAGGATGAAGGTTTAAATCTCATAACAACCTAAAGGGAAGTGTTTTATGGGTAGAACATTACCATGACAAGTGCGTCGCCTATGTGACATTGGTTAGAATAGGCCCCAGCAACCAATGCCGGCCGAATGAGGCTATTAATGGATCATGTGGTCCGGCTCGGTGGTTCATAGTACCCATACAGAATGAGATGTTGCCCATATTATGGATTATCGGGTCCAGACTTGATTATTTACAGGATGCCGTCATTTACACTGGAATACTGCTGAGTACTGGTTAAACAATAAATTGTTAATTTGTACCCAAATGCTCTGCTATTTGAACTCCTTAGCATCCCCTCCCAATGGAATGTTACTTGAGTATGAACATACCACATGATCACTTTCCTTTGACCCGTGAAGATCCGAGAGATAAAAGGTCTTCAGCAAGCCATGCTGTAAAAAGTTTCTGTGTTTGTCATAAGAGGCGATTGAGGGGTCAGGCTTGCTGACTTGGTTGATGTATGTCATTGTATCCCAATCGATTCCCATGTCAATCACTGGATTGTCTGGTCTACTTATTTACATACCGCCGTCATATACCTGGAATATTGTTGAGTGCGGTGTTAAACAACAAACAAACCTTCCTTAATTTTGTCAGTATATTTATATGAAAAGTGAAAAATTACTATTGTAATTAAGTGTTACCACAAGTGAAGACTGACAGAAACTAACTGCCAGTGTGACCAATATTGGAGTAAACTGGATGTCAAGGAGAACGTGTGATTCTGTTTCAGTGTCCTGCTGCCGGCCATACAGTCAACATTGCAGACAATGGTTTCTTTTGTGGGCTTGCCGTGTGATACGGACAGGATGGTACAACTGGTGGTCAATAACAGTGATATCATCAGGGAGAAATACCCACATGTAGACTTGTCAAACTGTGGTATGTATAAGGCTCATTCAATATGCTTTGAATTGTATTTTTTCTTTCATATATGTTTTAATATGGTAAGCTACTCAGCACTAACAGTAGCCTGACCTCACAATTTACACTTGTCAGAGGGGTACACAAAGTATGTGATCTAGACTACAAAGTGGTCGGATTTTCATTTTTGTGTAAGCCACAGTGGCTGAGTGGGTTAGATTGCTGACTTTGTGTGCTGGCGATTAAGTTCACTTTGGCAGTGTGGGTTTCTAATCCCAAATGGGACTCAACCCAATAAAGTACAAGAATCTGTACTTTACTGAGAAAGTGTTATCCCAAATATGACATTTGTTACATTTGACCACTTTCTTAATGGCATTGTGTGTTCACTTCCTTATCGAGTCTTTTAGTTGACCAAATGTCATGTTTTACCTTACCTGACACAACAGTGCATTAGCTTCCCTAGCTTATACAAGCAGACAGTACTGGAACAGAGAGACAGTTGAAACAGACAATTGGCCGTGCCCTGATACCAGGAGTGATCCGCCTTGGCCGCACTCCCTCATATTCTTCCCTGTCTGTCTATGATAGTTGTGTTATATTGGAACAATGTTCTCACCTTCGAAGTCTTCGTTACTCGATGTTTTCAAGTTGGTGTTCTGGTATATCCTTTCTCTGGCATATGTGTATATATACACTTCTCTGTGGTATATTTCTGCTTTCACAAGTTTAATTCTGCACTTTTCAGTGTGTGCGTAAGTTTGCAATTTCAAGTCATGGTTGCCATCTTGCACTTTTTGCTGTAGTTTTATTTAGGCTTTGTTGGCGCTCTATACACTCTGGTTGTGTTTACGGTATACGGTGTTTGAATAGGGTTTTCATTTAAGACAGTGGCATGGTATCTCGTTGAGCTAGCACTTTAAAATTGTCTTTAGTCCAGACAAGTACAAGCAGCCACCCACACACACACATCTGCAGGCGCATCTCTATTTAAGTGTGCAAAAATCTTGAATGTGACGTTAAACCCCATTACACCACACCTTCTCAACCCCTACACCAGACAGCCTCATCCAGACCGTGAAGTCTACAATCTGGCTTATCTCCAAAGGTCCTGGAGGGCCAAGGATTTCTTAGCCTGTGCTGCTGAAGCAGTTTCCAAGGCTCATCGCTCTTCCGCCTCTATTATGTCAAGTTATGATATTTTCACGCTTTTTGCTCATCACGACATGACTCCATGGCCTAGTGGTAGAGCGTCCGCCTGGAGAGCGGAAGGTCCAGGGTTCGATCCCCGACCTTGTCATACCAAAAGATGGTACTTGTTGTTACCCTGTTTGACTGCTGCCACACAATGGAGAATATGAGGGAGTATGGGCCAAGGTGGATAACTCCTGGGTATCTGGGACTATAGTCTGTTTCAACTATCACTCTGTTCCAGTACTGTCTGGTTTGTATAAGGTAGGGAAGCTAAAGCACTGTGTAGCATCAGGTGAGTATAAATGCATTGCATTTATCCCAAAATGCTTATTTTTGGTAAGACCAAGTTTAGCTAATATGATTAAAAGCTTTGTTATTTTTTTTCCCCCTGAGATCGGATTTCCCAAAATCTTTTAAATCTCAACATAAAGGTATGTCACCATTATGCAGTTGAAAAAGTGTAATGTCATCAAAATGATTTAAAACAATGAATGAAGAATGCAAAATATTAAAACATCAAAAATATTAAATATAAATATAAATATAAATATAGAAATAAAAATATAAAAAGCCCAGAGGGTAAACTTTATGTGCATAATAAAGACAATGAGTAGTTTCATGACACATACCAAATGTGATGATCAAGAGATATTGCTAAAAGTGGCAGATATCTAAGTTAGTAAACACTATATGACAGTCAGCCATTGCTTCATTAGTATTAATTCATCTTTTTACCTCCTACAGGTTAGCATATTGACCAAACTGCAAACATTGGGAACAATTTGACAAGGGAAATTGTCAAATAAGAATCCTTAGTTGTTATTGGTAGCCTGAAATCAGGAAACCTGCTTATTCAATATCTCTCACTCAATCACTCCCTGACAATGTCTAATGTCATTCCAGGAAAATACTGCCCTTCACTCCTTGGCAGAGGAACAGACCCTGATGCCCCATACCCTGCATACACATCCTCCAGCTCCTACAACGGCACCAACTACACATCCTCCAGCACCATGACCACCAACCAGACATACTATCCATTTCAAGGCCAGACACCGTACATGCCCAGTGTCCTCAGATGTACCACTTTCCTCTACACCATCTTCCAGGCCTCGGCTCCCCAAGAGACGCTATGCAGGTAAGTACATCATCATCCAGACATCGGCTTCCCAAGAGATGCTGTGCAGGTAAGTACACCATCTTCCAGGCCTCGGCTCCCCAAGAGACGCTATGCAGGTAAGTACATCATCATCCAGACATCGGCTCCCCAAGAGGCGCTGTGCAGGTAAATACACCATCATCCAGACATCGGCTCCCCAAGAGATGCTGTGCAGGTAAATACACCATCATCCAGACATCGGCTCCCCAAGAGATGCTGTGCAGGTAAATACACCATCATCCAGACATCGGCTCCCCAAGAGATGCTGTGCAGGTGAGTACACCATCATCCAGACATCGGCTCCCCAAGACACGCTGTGCAGGTGAGTACACCATCATCCAAACATCGGCTCCCCAAGAGATGCTATGCAGGTGAGTACACCATCATCCAGACATCGGCTCCCCGAGAGACGCTGTGCAGGTGAGTACACCATCATCCAGACATCGGCTCCCCGAGAGACGCTGTGCAGGTGAGTACACCATCATCCAGACATCGGCTCCCCGAGAGACGCTGTGCAGGTGAGTACACCATCATCCAGACATCGGCTCCCCGAGAGACGCTGTGCAGGTGAGTACACCATCATCCAGACATCGGCTCCCCGAGAGACGCTGTGCAGGTGAGTACACCATCATCCAGACATCAGCTCCCCGAGAGATGCTGTGCAGGTAAGTACACCATCATCCAGACATTGGCTCCCCGAGAGACGCTGTGCAGGTGAGTACACCATCATCCAGACATCAGCTCCCCAAGAGATGCTGTGCAGGTAAATACACAATCATCCAGACATCGGCTCCCCGAGAGACGCTGTGCAGGTGAGTACACCATCATCCAGACATCGGCTCCCCAAGACACGCTGTGCAGGTGAGTACACCATCATCCAAACATCGGCTCCCCAAGAGATGCTATGCAGGTGAGTACACCATCATCCAGACATCGGCTCCCCGAGAGACGCTGTGCAGGTGAGTACACCATCATCCAGACATCGGCTCCCCGAGAGACGCTGTGCAGGTGAGTACACCATCATCCAGACATCAGCTCCCCGAGAGATGCTGTGCAGGTAAGTACACCGTCATCCAGACATTGGCTCCCCGAGAGACGCTGTGCAGGTGAGTACACCATCATCCAGACATCGGCTCCCGGAGAGATGCTGTGCAGGTAAATACACAATCATCCAGACATCGGCTCCCCGAGAGACGCTGTGCAGGTGAGTACACCATCATCCAGACATCGGCTCCCCGAGAGACGCTGTGCAGGTGAGTACACCATCATCCAGGCATCGGCTCCCGGAGAGATGCTGTGCAGGTAAGTACACCATCATTCAGACATCGGCTCCCCAAGAGATGCTGTGCAGGTAAATACACCATCATCCAGACATCGACTCCCCAAGAGATGCTGTGCAGGTAAGTACACCATCATCCAGACATCAGCTCCCCAAGAGATGCTGTGCAGGTAAGTACACCATCATCCAGACATCGGCTCCCCAAGAGATGCTGTGCAGGTAAGTACACCATCATTCAGACATCGGCTCCCCAAGAGACGCTATGCAGGTAAGTACACCATCATCCAGACATCAGCTCCTCAAGAGACACTGTGCTGGTAAGTACACCATCATTCAGACATCGGCTCCCCAAGAGATGTTGTGCAGGTAAGTACACCATCATCCAGACATCGGCTCCCCAAGAGATGTTGTGCAGGTCTTGTGTAAAGACAAGTGTATTTCAGTTATCCAGTGTATAGAACTTTGTTATATCCCTATGTTCCATTCTCGTTACAGGCTGTACACGGAAGTCCTACGATGTATGGCAGTGAAAGGGAGCATATATGGAGACAAGTGCATGATTGAAGATTTCCATGATGCCCTTGAGAGCTACCTAGAGTTGGCAAATGCCACTTCCATGTTTCAAGTAGATCAGTGCTCAGGTATTGACTTGGGACATGATTTTCATTCTTTCCTGTCTAGAGAATTTAAGTTTCATGTCTGATTTGGGAGCGGTGGGGCAGCCTAATGGTTAAAGCATTCGTTTGTCACGCTGGAGATCTTGATTCAATTCCCCACATTGTTAAGATGTGTGAAGCCTACTTCTAATGTTGCCCATCATGTTGTTGCTGGAATATTGCTGAACACATGCTCACTTAGTCACTCATGTCTGGTTTAACCAGTAGTTAAAGGACGGCAACACTCAAACTTTGCTGATCATTGACTATTATCTGGACTGGTTTGACTTGTGATCAGCGCTAATTGTTATCTGGTGATTATGCGTTTGAATTAAAGTGTTGCAGGCAAGACAACGGAGTTGGTGTACTGTTAAAAAGTAAAAGATAAACCTGAGAAGTTTCAAATTCTGGGTTTATGGAGTGACCCACTGGAGCCCCTAACTACAGAGTGGAAAAAGAAATGATGCTATTTTTAACTTATGTTAATTACACAAATACTCCATTTTTGATCCGGGGTGGTCGGGTAGCGTAGTGGTTAAAGCGTTCGCTTGTCACGCTGAAGACCCGGGTTCGATTCCCAACATGGGTACAATTCCCAACATGGGTACAATATGTGAAACCCATTTCTGGTGTCCCATGCCGTGATATTGCTGGAATATTAGTAAAAGCGGCGTAAAACCATACTCACTCATGTTTGATAGCTCAGAAAACTAAAAAGATGCAAATAATACAAATCTCACTTTGAGAACTGATGGAAAGCACAGCATACTCTCTGGCAGCTGCCAACATTTTATTAAGATGACAAAGTCTCCCCAGAATAATGTCCTGTTACTGTAAAGTGCTGTACACAGATCTAGCATTTTCTGTTTTGCTGCTTTGTTGTAGTGCTTGGTTTGGTTTGGTTTACAGGCAGCATAAAGAAGTACTCATCACAAGCACCATTGTGTGAGAACCCTGAGCTACTGGCCACCATAGCCAATGTGTCCTGTATGCATTACTACAGATACACTGGAGGAGGGTGCAGGTGCGTGTTGTCGACAAACCAGTATTTGTTGCTGATTGTGTTACTCACGGATTTAGTGTTGCAGTAGTTTGGACAATGTGAAAGTGTGTAACTGATTGATTTACTGTTGCAGTAATTTGGACAATGTGAAAGTGTGTAACTGATTGTTTTACTGTAGCAGTAGATTGGACAATGTGAAAGTGTGTAACTGAATATTCTTTTGTTGCAGTATTTTGGACAATGTGGCAGAATGTGTATTGGGTCTTCTGAACTCCTCCAGCATCCACTGTTGCCGTGATGTCATCAAGAATGCTCTCATCTCAAGAGCTGACATCACTGCCCAAGTCTCCACGGATTTCTCCAGCTGTCGGGCCACTCCTCAAGGTGATATTGTAGTGACCATCCTCAACCAAAGAACTAGAAATGTGAAGACAGTCACATTAAACCTATGCATTTTTACCTTTGATTGTACGGCATAAATAATATATGATGTCAAAAATAAGTGAAATATGTTTTCTAGAAGCTCACATTTCTTTGTAGATATAAAATAGTTTTTTTACTTCATTCTCAGATGTTTCTTTAAGGATTGGTTTACTGATGCAATGACCATATAACTGATATAGTGAAGGGAAAAGTAGCCGGAACAGCAATGTTTACCAAAAATACTTCTGAGTTGTATTTAAATAAAATTATGCATAAAAAATGTAAAACTGCAACACTTGACTTGACAAACATGGCACACATGGCAATAAATTCAGAGAAAATTTTGAAGAATAAAAATATCCATAAAAGAAAAAAGAGTTAAAACACCTGACCAAATGACAAGTAAAGTGCTTTCTTTATGTCACTATATTTCTTTTATTTTCACATTGTCCACAGAGATGCCCTCCACACCAGGATGGACCATGAACACAGGCCCACTGTATCCGAACACTAGTCCGCCATTACCCAGTTCACAGTACTCACAAGGCATCTCCACAAGAGGGGTTACAGATTATCCGTTGAAACCCACGGCCTCGTACCCACAGCCCATGCAGCCCTGCCTCATGTCCACCCTGTACACATGGGGCCCCTACTGCCGTCACAGCGGCTTTCTGCTCGCCCGCCACCAGGCGGACAACATGACATGCAGGTATTGCTGAAAACCCGAGAACAATTTCTTTTTGAGAGTTTCAGGATATTCACTGACGGATCTCACCACAACTCACTACTGACAAAGTAGACACAATTTAGGGATCACAACTTCTTTAAGACTGTAAAGGTGACATTTCAGCATAGGTCCTTATGCCATTGTCAAGCAAGACTGGAACGGTATAAGGATCTATCACGAAACATCGCCTTTACAGTATTAAAGAAGTTGCTATCCATAAATTGTGTCTACTTTGACATCTGTCAACTTCTAAGTAATGCCGATCAAACAATTCAACTCACGACTGCTACCGAGTTGTCCCCATACTGCTACTGGGATTTGTCTAGGACTCAACACTAAGGGACATTGTAGAGGCCTTGTTAACCATTACAGTTTTTGCAGCAATCCTTACAATTTTAATCTAAGAATTATGGTATTACGATAATAATATTTACTATTATGTAATGTATTTTGTTAAATGATACCCAGCATACCTGGGGAAGTTTACTTGCCACTTTGCGTGTAACACGTGCATGCATGTGGCTATATAAGTGCAATAATTTCGGATGCGAAGTTAAACCCAATTTCACCTCACCCCAATTCACTTTGCATGTAAAATACAGGACAAGTATACAAATATAAAAATTATCTAGGATTTTACTGGAGGTATTAACATGGCACCCTGTCTGGAAGTATGATGTAGGAACATTGTTATTAATGTCACATTAAAAAATATTTGGTTTCAGATTTCTGTCGAATAACTGTTGAGCTATTATGTTGGTCAGTTGTTTGGTTTGTTGTTTTACGCTGCACTCGGCAATATTCCAGCCATATGACAGCGGTCTGTAAATAACCGAGTCTGACAATCCAGTGATTGATATCATGGGCAACGATCCACGCAATTGGGATCGATGACATGCATCAACCAAGTCAGCAAGCCTGACCACCCGATCTTGTTGGTCGTCTTTTACGACAAGCATAGTCACCTTTTAGGGCAAGTATGGGTTTCTGAAGACCTATTCTACCCCGGATCTTCACGGGTCAAGCGATTATGTGAAAATATGAATTGTGTCACAACTTTACAACTTACGTGTTTATTGTAAGGCAGCAAGGGCATCTGAACGGCCCTCGTAAATGTGTGCAAAATGGCTTGTATCAGCATTCAACCGCACTCACTCATTCTGTTTTATGGAGTGTTGGGGTAGCCCGATGGTTCAAGTATTTGCTCATCATGGGTTTGAAGCCCATTTCTGGAGTCCCTTGTCATGATTGTTTGAATATTGCTAAGAGCAGAATAAAACCTTTCTCACTGACTCACTCTTTTTCCTCAGCATCTACACTGATTTGGTCAACTGCATCACTCTTGTGGCCAACTACAACAACTTCAACTGTAGTGTTGATGACATCATCATGATGTATCAGCAGAATTCCAGCATGTTTGACCTCACCGAGCTGGACCACAAGGCCTGTACAGGTAGACCACTGTCTTTCTTGGGTGTGTGGGGACGGGTACAGGTAGACCACTGTCTTGCTGGGGTGTGTGGGGAGGGGTACAGGTAGACCAATGTCTTGCTGGGGTGTGTGGGGAGGGGTACAGGTAGGCCACTGTCTTTCTGGGGTGTGTGGGGAGGGGTACAAGTAGACCACTGTCTTGTTGGGGTGTGTGGGGAGGGGTACAGGTAGAGCACTGTCTTACTGGGGTGAGTGGGGAGGGGTGTAGCTGGTGTCTTGCTGGGGTGTGTGGGGACGGGTACAGGTAGACCACTGTCTTGCTGGGGTGTGTGGGGAGGGGTACAGGTAGTGCACTGTCTTGCTGGGGTGTGTGGGGAGGGGTGTAGCTGGTGTCTTGCTGGGGTGTGTGGGGACGGGTACAGGTAGACCACTGTCTTGCTGGGGTGTGTGGGGAGGGGTAAAGGTAGAGCACTGTCTTGCTGGGGTGTGTGGGGAGGGATACAGGTAGACCACTGTCTTGCTGGGGTGTGTGGGGAGGGGTACAGGTAGTGCACTGTTTTGCTGGGGTGTGTGGGGAGGGGTGTAGCCACTGTCTTGCTGGGTTGTGTGGGGAGGGGTGTAGCCACTGTCTTATTGGAGTGTGTGGGGAGGGGTGTAGCCACTGTCTTGCTGGGTTGTGTGGGGAGGGGTGTAGCCACTGTCTTGTTGACAGCCTCCATGGTCTAATGGTAGAGCGTCCACCCAGAGAGTGGCCGTATCACACCTGAAGACGTTAAGAGATAGTACTTGTTGTGCTACGTAAGTGCAATAACCTTCTTGTATTTAGGTAGAAAGTACTGATATTTCTTATAATAGTTAAAACAAGATATGTGGACAGAAAGAATTGATATAATGTCCGAACCAAATCAAACAAATCTGATATAAGATTACTGACTGGTGTCAGAAATCCAATCACTCACTCACTCATTGTGGTGAGTGAGTGACTTGTTTTACGCCACTTTTAGCAATATTCCAGCAATATCATGGCGGGGGACACCAGAAATGCGCTTCACACATTGTACCAATGTCGGGAATCGAACCGGGCGTGACAACCAAATGCTTTAACCACAAGGCTACCCGACCGCCCCCTTATGCACTGTGTTGCTTTCAGTGGCACCCCTGGAGCTGCGCCACCCAGAGATGCAGTCAGTGTGTGCTGATGAAGTGGTTAGAGACTATGTCCTCAAGTATGGCTGCAGGAACTTCAGCAAGGAAAACATCCAATATGTCACACCAACCAACTTCTGCAGGTGGGAAGCAGCTAGCTCTCTCCACCTACTCTCTACTGTATCATTGACAACAAGTTATTGAAAATATTCATTTCATGGATTCTGATTTTTCACTTTTTACATAACAAGCTATTTGTCAAGACAGAGTTGGGTTGCCAGATGCTATTTTAATTCATATTGGGATAATGTCATTTTTCAAAGTTACTTTTCTTTCAAAATGCTGTACATCTTGCAAACAACATAACTATGGCAAATCAAAATTACAAATTAACACTTGAATTTCTTTAAATATTGAAACAATAATACCATTTCTTTCTGTGGTCAAAGCAATAGATTTGAGTTTACAGTTGTGGGCTCTGAACAAACCATGACACGATAAGCAACAACAACACACTTAGCTTTGTCTTTGAGTATTAACTGTGATGTGATTATCTCAAGTATAACTGTACCAGATTCAGATGATAAAGGCATCAAGGAACTTATACCCTGTGTTATGTCCATGATAGGTGACCGCCTCTGTGGTCTAGTGGAAGAGCGTCCGCCTGGAGAGCGGCAGGTTCGGGGATCGATCCCCGACCGCCTCATACCAAAAGACGTTAAAAAATGGTACTTGTTGTTACCCTGTCTGGCGCTCGGCATTAAGGGGATCAAACAAGGACTGGTCGGCTTGGCGTCAGTATACTGTGTCTGAGTGGGGTATTCATGTTAAACTGCAGCATGGTATCTCAGTGAGCTAGCACTATAAATCGGCATCAGTCCGGACTAGTACAAGCAGACACACACACACATACACGTGCATACACGTTGCTATATAAGTGCAATAATCTTGGACGTGACGTTAAACCCCATTTCACCTCACCTCAGTGGTAAGTTGTGAAAAGATCAATTGAATTATGGATTTACGTTGATATTATATTGGGGTTTCAGCATTGGTTATATTTGTTTGAAGGATGAAATTTAAGAAATTAATACCTATTCAATCGCTGCAGTTGCTCAGTTGTAGTGATTCTTACATTGATTTGTTTTCCTTCGCTGAGTCTTGATATGCTCTGTAGCTATGTTGGAAATGTTGACATGTTCTATGTTTCCATGTGTTAAGGAAAGTGGCGTCCACCACAGAATGCATCCAGACCATGATGGCCTCGTTTGGGGCAACCTGTTCCAGAGAGGAGTCTGGACGTTTTCTCAAAGGGATCCCTCGTCTGGAGTACCTCGGATGCCTGGACGAGTGCCACAAAAGTAGGAGAACTCATTAGACCTGTGGAGATCCGGGTTAGAATAGGTCTTCAGACACCCATGCATGTCGTAAGAGGCAACTAACAAAATTGGGTGGTCAGGCTCGCTGATTTGCTTTGATGCATGTCATCGATCCCAACTGCGTGGATCGATGCTCAGGGTGTCAAACACTGGATTGTCTGGTCCAGACTCGATTATTTACAGACCGCCGTCATATAGCTTGAATATTGCTGAGTGTGGCATTAAACAACAAACAAACATCAAAACAATGTTAAATCATTACTTACTCCCCATCAACTTACTCAGCATGAACGTGTGATGAAGAGGTCCTCAGGGTCTTGGCTGGCTGAGCAAAGTTGTCCCCCTGTTCCTGATTAGCTAGTAATGGGTTCGAACCTGAGATTCACTGGATTATCATCCGTGGCCATTTGTCTGCCAAACCAGAAGGGAGGATAGCTGACTTAGCATTGACAAGGAACCTCTGAATCTCCACCAATGATATGACATCCTTCAGCATTAAACCCTTAACTGTCCAAGGATTCGTTTGTCATGTGTTTGAGAGCGCTCCAATTATCTTTGGCTTCACTTCAACATAAGACTAACATGCTGGGATATAACTGAATGTTAATTGAGATACTAACCTGTGAAGATCTGGGTTAGAATAGGTCTTCAGCAACCCATGCTTGCCATAAAAGGCGACTATGCTTGTCGTAAGAGGCAACTAACGGGATCAGGTGGTCACGCTCGCCGACTTGGTAGATGTTAATGATGTCAATCACTGGATTGTCTGGTCCAGACTCAATTATTTACAGACTGCCATCATATAGCTGGAATATTGCTGAGTGTGACATAAAAAATTGGGGGAAAAAATTGAGATACTGTTGTTAAGTGATGATTGAGCCAAGTCCCCCACTCACGCTAATCTGTGCTTGCAGAGTTTGAGCCTGACTACAGGAGCTCCTGCTCCATCTACTCGCCCCTCACCCAGGAGCTGTCCTTGTGCTCGGACAAGGTCAGCATGATCCGTGGAGCCGGACTACAGGACCAGTGCAGGTGAGTGGTCTGGTACAGCTAGTCGCGGTGAAACGATACATCATGAGTTTTCATGCCACGATACAAAACATGATCTAATTTTTTTCTGTATAGATACAAGATAAAACACTTGCTGAGATAAATCACTTGCTTCAAGTTTTATGACCCCCAGCATTTTTGTAAGTCAAATATTGCAAAAAGTGTTGTAATTTGTGTTTCAAATTCACTTATGATATTAGCTGCTATTAATGTGTCTACAGGTAGCTTTTCCTTTTGAACCTGCTTTGAAACATTTATAGTCAAGAAGTTTCCACGCGACTTGACGTTAATATGCAGATAGTGACCTATGCATCATGATTGCAGCGTATCGTGGACTTGCTATGTCATTTCATCATAAAAGCAAGAGTAGGAAAAAGGAGGAGGAATATTAAGGGGTGTCCTCGGTTCTTTGATTTGTTGCTGTAGTGTTTGAATCAAGTGACCCCTTAGTTGTTGGGTTTTCAACATCAGGGTGAGACAAGGACAACCATGATGTCATACTTAATTTGGAAGCATTGAGTAGAATATTATGTTACACAATTAGAGCTTCTGTATATCCTCAAAAGCAAAACCTATTAGTAAGAAAACATGCTCATAAATGTTTCATACAATCTACGTGAAAGGGTTAACAAATGAAGAAATTATTTCCTTATATTAAAAAAAACTGAGTAAATTTTCCTCCATACATATGTAATAATTCATATAATAGTATTCAATGTTCATTTATTCTAATAATGTTCATATAAACACAAAAATGGTACAGACATGTATCGGTAGTTTTTCCTTTTGTTGACACTTGATTTCCAGTATACATGCGGGGTGTTTTGTATACCCATGGGGGAACATACCAGAAATCTTAGGGTGGCGTGTGTAATGCACACGTACCTCTGTGCGGTTTCATTTTCTGAAAAAAAAAGTGTGCACTATACTCAAGAAAATATGGTAGCTGCCCTCTTTACTCAATTTCTAGGAGACAAATTACCATACATAGATTACATGCTGTGTTGAGAGACAGTGTGTCTGGCCAACCAGATATTGTCATGTGTGTCATGTGTGTATGTCATCAGCACCTACTGGCCGATGCTGGTGAGCTGTATACAGAAGAGGCTGTACGAGGGTGGGGCTGTGTGCGATGGCAACAACATTGTAGGAAGACTCCGCAACAGCTCTCAACTCTTGAAGGAAAAGGGACTTGAGAGTCTGTACAATTGTAATGGTAAGCTTCTCACTTACATACCAAGCGAGTCATTGTCATTCTGTTGCCTTTTCTAACTCTGTAAAAATTATGTCACTTCAGGCTTAATTTCCTCCCACATTAAGCTGACAACATCATACAGTTCTGGAACAGTTCAAATTGGACGACTCACTTCACTAACTTATAAAATCTTTTGCAGCGTTGAGTTTCTCGACAGTGTGTGAAGAAAAGAATATAACCACCATGGCAGTTGATGATTGCAACGTTGACCTGAAGAAGTGTGGGTAGGTGCCAATATCATGCACTGTTGACCTGAAGAAGTGTGGGTAGGTGCCAATATCATGCACTGTTGACCTGAAGAAGTGTGGGTAGGTGCCAATATCACGCAATGTTGACCTGAAGAAGTGTGGGTAGGTGCCAATATCACGCAATGTTGACCTGAAGAAGTGTGGGTAGGTGCCAATATCACGCAATGTTGACCTGAAGAAGTGTGGGTAGGTGCCAATATCACGCAATGTTGACCTGAAGAAGTGTGGGTAGGTGCCAATATCACGCAATGTTGACCTGAAGAAGTGTGGGTAGGTGCCAATATCATGCAATGTTGACTCCATGCAGAATCTCGTAACAGATTGAGCAACTCTCACATCACATCGTTTATGAATGAATCCCTTATTACTTGAGCCTGTCAGTGATTACAGAGAAAGTCTCTCGCCATCACAAGATTGATAAAAGAATCTCTTAATTCTTACTTAGGCCTGTGTTTGTGATCAAAGAGAAGTTCTTTAGCCTTGACATAATTAATAAAGCCACTAATTCTTACTTTTGTCACTCGAATTATATACACTGACTCAGTGGATCATATGCCTGCAAAATATTTAATATCTTGTGGAACCACTAACTCAGTGTAGCAAGTGGGTACGTTTGTGGGACAAGAAAGACTGGGCTTTCAGGTATTGTTATTTCAATCTGGTCCAGACAGTATGTTTCCTTATTTTATGGACAAGCCTACTCAAGTTTTCCAAATTTTGAAAAATGTATCTTCTTGTGATAGAAGAGACTTCAGTATTATTTTGTCTCCTGCCTTTTAATTTTGATCAAAAGTATACAAAACAAAATTAGATTTATTAATCAGGTCTTATGATCCAAATAACCAACTGTGTGGTATGCAAGTGATAGGATGGAACATGCCTCCATCGTTAGAGATTTACATACAATGTGTGACTGTTTCAGACAAGGGGCGGTCGGGTAGCCTAGTGGTTAAAGCGTTCGCTCGTCACGCCGAAGACCCGGGTTCGATTCCTGACATGGGTACAATGTGTGAAGCCCATTTCGGGTGTCCCAGGCCATGATATTGCTGTAATATTGATAAAAGTGGCGTAAAATCAAACTTACTCACTATTTCAGACAAGAAGAGTCGGTGACCCGGTGTGTACAGTCTCAGCTGCAGAACAAGACCTACTCTGTCTACTGTTCTCTGCCACAGCTTCGCGGCAATGTGCTGTTGGTGCTGGGCGAGCGGGGACACAGACCGTGCTCAGGTCTGTCTTCTTTGTCATGTTGCTACAACACAGACGTTGTTGGAGTAGTGGGTGCCGTTGTACAAAGCGATCTTAGCGCTAAGGTGATCGTAACTCCCATACCTTAACATAGACTTTCGACAGTCGTAGCGCTAAGGTTGTTTTGAACAACGGCACCATTGTTTGCACGTTAATGTGCTGCTTGGTGGCAAAGCAATTGAATGAAAAACATTTTGGATAATGTTCATGATACATATGAATTCAGTAAACTACCTTTATAACGAACATGCTTATAACGAACTACCAATGTAACAAACTTATTTTTTAGTCATGACCATTTTTTGTATAAATGCTGCATATATGCTCATAACGAACTGCGGTTTTTAAGAACTACGTAGTTTACTGTATGTTGTTGTGTGCAGTGATATTTGTTTGTCCTGTCATTTGATCTATTATTGTTCACTTGAGCAGGGGTTGTGGTGGCCCAGTCATTTTAATGGGCTGCAAATAGCTGGGCTGAGTTGCATCCCTGAGTTGCATGGCAGGAACTTATGATCCTGGGTTATATTCCCTGTTCATTATGATTGTTTTTGGGTGTGTCAGTACCAAACCTCTGGGTTTTACCAAGATGGTAGATGTCTAAGACGTACATCACTTGAGGCTTGCTTTCCACGCCAAGTGAACACGTCAGTGTGCTTTAGGTGGAATAAGGAAAAGGTGCATTCACATTTGATCTTTTTTCCCACCACTTGTAAATTCTATTTCCTCCAACCAATGCATGATGCTAAATAAGATGCCCTGTGCATATCTGGGGCAGAATGCATGTAAACAACAATATCAGAAATGGGTGTCATGAACAACACTAGTTTATTTGTATGAAGTCAATGTTTGACCATCATAGAAGGCAGACTGCCTCCATGGTCTTGTGGTAGATTGTCTGCCTGGAGAGCAGAACATCGGGGCTTCAATCCTGGGCCTCGCCATACCAAAAGACGTCAAAGATGGTACTTGTTGTTAGCCTTCCTGGCACTTGGCATAAAACATTCAAAACAAGGACTGGTCAGTGACCAGTGGTCACCCTGCTGTCGTAAAATCGGCATTAATCTGGACTAGTACAAGCAGGCACACACTCACACACACTCACACACACGCATATGCATGCATGTTGCTATGTTAATAGAGCAATAATCTTGAATGCAACATTAAACCCTGTTTCACCTCACCTTTCACATTATAGAGGGGGGCGGTCGGGTAGCCTAGTGTTTAAAGCATTCGCTCGTCACACCGAAGACGCGGGTTCGAATCCCGACATGGGAACAATGTGTGAAGCCCATTTCTGGTCTCCCCCACCGTGATATTGCTGGAATATTGCTAAAAGCGGCGTAAAACCAAACTCACTCACTCACTCATTGTAGAGGGCGACCTGAGGCTGAATGGCAGTCGAATCGAAGTAAGGAAGGATGGTAGATGGGAAGGCTTCTGCTATGGAGAGGATTGGACTGACCATGCTGCAGGTCTTGCCTGTAACCAACTGGGCTACAAGTATGGTATCGCTGGAAAAAGCTACAGGAGTAGCAGTGTACCAATCAGTACATATGTCAACTGTTCGGGGGATGAAGAACAGTTTGGCAAGTGTGATGTTCACAAGATCAAGGAGTACTGTCAAGAGGAAGCCCACGTCACCTGCCTAGATGACAGTAAGCACAGTTCAAAGACCGCTAACATGTGGATACTTTGTAGAATACAACAGTCGCCCTGAATTGCGAACAATTGCTTCATATTTTTTTATCATCAATGATCCTAGGAATTACTTTTTTAAATTACCACCAAAATACCTCTTTGAAATATCATATGATGATATCAAGGGTGTTTCATCATGTTTGTCATTTGTAATAATAATTACATGTATTCATCTGAATATGTAGTGTCTCTGTGATGTCAGGGTGTGAACATGTGATAGCTGGCTGCTTTGTAAACCAGGGCAGTTGAGAGTTTTTGAAAACTTCTGATTTTCTCACCTATTCTTCATGTCTTTTCGTACCTAATCCATGACAGGAACGATCCTCATCTCCCTTGTTATAAGAGCGTATGACTTTAAACCCCCATTATACCTTGCCTCGCCTTCTGCATCATGCTGAAATGCCTTGATATGACTGCAATACAGTTCAAAGAGGCCTTGATTTGTCTCACCTCTGCCCCGACCCGCACCACCCCACATCCCCCTACACTGCCCCGCCCACACTGCCCCGCCCACCTCACCCCACACTGCCCCATCCTGACCCATCCCCACCTCACCCCACACTGCCCCGCCCACCTCACCCCACACTGCCCCGCCCACCTCACCCCACACTGCCCCGCCAACCTTGTCTCACCTCTGCCCGTACCCCCACCTCACCCCACACTGCCCCGCCCTGACCCATCCCCACCTCACCCCACACTGCTGCCCTGCCCACCTTGTCTCACCTCTGCCCCGCCCCGCACCACCCCACCTCACCCCACACTGCCCCGTCCTGACCCATCCCCACCTCACCCCACACTGCCCCGCCCACCTCACCCCACACTGCCCCGCCAACCTTGTCTCACCTCTGCCCGTACCCCCACCTCACCCCACACTGCCCCGCCCTGACCCATCCCCACCTCACTCCACACTGCTGCCCTGCCCACCTTGTCATACCTCTGCCCCGCTCCGTACCACCCCACCTCACCCAACACTGCCCCGCCCATCTTTCCTTGCCCTGCCCCGCCTCGCCTACTTCACCTCACCTCACCCCCACCTTGTGTACTCCTCTTCCAGGAACCCACTTAGAGCTAACAGGCAACAGGTCAGGCTGGGTTGTCGCTGTGCGGGGCAGAAAAGTTGGCTTGATCTGTGACCAGGGTGGCTGGTATGAATCCAAAGCCTCCGTAGTATGCAGGAGCCTGGGCTTCGCCAGCGGGGAGACTTTCAAGGATCGGGCAACCTGGCCTCTCCCACATGTATCTGCCTTTCACACATCCTTTAACTGCAAGGGAGAGGAAAAAACACTGGACTCCTGCCAACAGGAGGGAACCTGGGAAGGGGACTTGTTGGACATCTCCGAGCTCAACCAGAACTCTTATGGTCAATGCTCTATGAACTTTATGGCCACGGTGTATTGTCATGATGAGGGTGAGTGTTGGTGTTCTTGCGGTGAAGCTGGTGATGTGAGGTCCAATCAAACATTCTGTCCATACCAGGAACAAATATTTGGTAATTTATATCATCGCAGGTCTTGTTTTCATTGCATGGTCAAAGACGTTTTGGTTGATGACATAATCATATAGAACTAATTTATACATTTGGTATACATGTCGCTTGCCATGGGGCTCAACATGTGTCTTCCGGAAAACAGAACATGCCTGTTCAGCCCCACTACTTGACCTTGATATTCTGAAGTTTGACCTTTATTTCGAACAATAAGGAAGATAATTTATGGATGTAAATTTCTTTATTATGAGGAACACAGTATCTCAGAGTATACACCTGATGAAGGAGTAAGTATATACTCCAAAACATTGTGTTCCTCCTGAGAAAGAAGTTGACATCCGTAAATCCTCTTCCTTATGGGTATCTTCGATTCTCGACATGGGTACAATGTGTGAAGCCCATTTCTGGTGTCCCCCGCCGTGATATTGCAGGAATATTGCTAAAAGCGGAGTAAAACCATACTCACTCACTCACTCCTTATGGGTATCACTGTATGCCTTTGAAACACTGGACAATGTTCTTAAAGTCTCGCAAAATACATCTGAGGAAGCTATAACTTTAGCATCCTTGTTTCTCATGATGTCATCATCTTTTGGTCAAATTATTAGGCTTTTTACTGTGTTTTCATGTGAAACAATTGGGACAATTGTATGACATCAGCATTGCTATTTTCTTTTGTAGGTATTGAAGGTTCATAGCTGAAACTTGCAGTAAAATAGATGTAACTGTTAAGTATCACAACAATGGTCTGAAATAGTACATTCTTTCTTGATGATTTGGAAACATTGTAACTCAGTTACTTGTTTCATGCTTGTTGATATGTTTGTCTTCAGCATTCATGCAGGACATATGTTTAGCAACTCAGGCAGCAACTTTTGTGAAGTGTGTGTCTTTGTTGACATTTTAGACCGCTGAGTACATATCCAGGTGAGCTACAGAACCATGGCACAAGTCATCTCTTACAAGCACGGTATTTTCATAATCAGTATTGAACCTGTAATGTTCATTGTTTCAGTGAGACTTCACACGAGATATAGCAATTCTACTGGAATTGTGATCTTCAAAAATGCAACATTATCCGCCCCTGTCTCCGGTGAAGGGTTTGACGACAAAGCTGCCAGTGTTGTATGCAGACAGCTCGGGTTCCAGAAAGGTGGCATCTCCCTAAGCTTCAACCCTTTCAACTACTACTTCTACAAGGTTTACAGTTTCTCCAACATGACCTGCAATGGTGATGAGGCCAATCTGATGGACTGCGAGCACAATGGGACATACTTGAGATACTCATCAAAGCCTGCTGTAGTCAAATGTACAACGGGCAAGGAGGAAGGTGAGAGGTCAAGGTCATGCACTCTGATAAAGAGTCATTTGTATTTCCGAATCTGTGTGTGACAGAAGGTGATATATCTTGAGCATTCCACTAAGTCCAGTGATTGACACAGTGTAAATGTATCATAACATATCCTATAGGAGCAGAAAGTAGCTAACAATTGGGATTACTGGCTATTTGATTTCCAGTATCAGAAATTTTCATCAGTCCTATAGCCCACACAACAAATATTCTCATGGGACAAGTACAAATTACTTATATGTGGGGTATGACCAGAACCAGAGGATGTATCATCTTCAAAACTCTTTCCTCCCAGCCAAAATTGCTTCCCCCCAAAGTTTGATAATGGCATATGATGGTGCAGCAAAGGTTTACAAATATTCTTTGGTGATTGACCCTCTGGGTAAAAGACTGACTGCTCTCTGCTCAGTTTTTTCCTTATCAATGCTAAGGAGAAGGGTCTCTCAGATTAGGTCAGTGATGAGAAGGGTCCCTCAGATTCAGTCAATGCTAAGGAGAAGGGTCTCTCAGATTAGGTCAGTGATGAGAAGGGTCCCTCAGATTCGGTCAGTGCTAAGGAGAAGGGTCCCTCAGATTCAGCCAGTGCTAAGGCTAAGGGTCTCTCAGATTTGGTCAGTGCTAAGGAGAAGGGTCTCTCAGACTCGGTCAGTGCTAAGGAGAAGGGTCTCCCAGATTTGGTCAGTGCTAAGGAGAAGGGTCTCTCAGACTCGGTCAGTGCTAAGGAGAAGGTCCCTCAGATTCAGTCAGTGCTAAGGCTAAGGGTCTCTCAGATTCGGTCAGTGCTAAGGAGAAGGGTCTCTCAGATTCGGTCAATGCTAAGGAGAAGGGTCTCTCAGATTTGGTCAGTGCTAAGGAGAAGGGTCTCTCAGATTCGGTCAATGCTAAGGAGAAGGGTCTCTCAGATTCGGTCAGTGCTAAGGAGAAGGGTCTCTCAGATTCGGTCAGTGCTAAGGAGAAGGGTCTCTCAGATTCGGTCAATGCTAAGGAGAAGGGTCTCTCAGATTCGGTCAGTGCTTAGGAGAAGGGTCCCATAGATTCGGTCAGTGCTAAGGAGAAGGGTCTCTCAGATTCGGTCAATGCTAAGGAGAAGGGTCTCTCAGATTTGGTCAATGCTAAGGAGAAGGGTCTCTCAGATTTGGTCAATGCTAAGGAGAAGGGTCTCTCAGATTCGGTCAGTGCTAAGGAGAAGGGTCTCTCAGATTAGGTCAGTGATGAGAAGGGTCTCTCAGATTCGGTCAGTGCTTAGGAGAAGGGTCCCATAGATTCAGTCAGTGCAAAGGAGAAGGGTCTCTCAGATTAGGTCAGTGATGAGAAGGGTCCCTCATATTCAGTCAATGCTAAGGAGAAGGGTCTCTCAGATTTGGTCAGTGCTAAGGAGAAGGGTCTCTCAGATTCAGTCAGTTCTAAGGAGAAGGGTCTCTCAGATTCAGTCAATGCTAAGGAGAAGGGTCTCTCAGATTCAGTCAATGCTAAGGAGAAGGGTCTCTCAGATTCAGTCAGTGCTAAGGAGAAGGGTCTCTCAGATTCAATCAGTGCTAAGGAGAAGGGTCTCTCAGATTCAGTCAGTTCTAAGGAGAAGGGTCCCTCAGATTCAGACAGTTCTAAGGAGAAGGGTCTCTCAGATTCAGTCAGTTCTAAGGAGAAGGGTCTCTCAGATTCAGTCAGTGCTAAGGAGAAGGGTCCCTTAGATTTGGTCAGTGCTAAGGACAAGGTCTCATAACAACAGTGTTAACTGAACTGAACTTTATTAAACTCATGCTGCTATCAGCAGCATTAGAGGTACAACATTGATACATAAACATATACAGCACTATATACAAATAAACAAAATATATCAACAGATTTACCAAGCAGTGACGAGACATATTGATAGGGTTAATTAGCAGCATTATAATTTTACGAAATGTGGATAATTTTCTAAGTGTTCCTAATCTTTTACTATTAAAAACCAATACTTTCTTGCCTCAAAACTTTCTGACATCCCCTCGTATACATTAATTCACTTAGAAAGTAATAATTTCAAATTTCCTACCCAGACCATCTTTGACAAATTGATGAAGACTGAAGTTTTGTGTTGATGATAGCATATCTCAAGGAAGTCCAGTATCGTAATGACATCTCTGATAGCCATGAAAAGAAGAAAGTCTTTTAGTATCCCATGTTTCTATGTCCTACAGTGCCTGACATGGAGGTCAAGGTCAATGCTGATGGTCGTGTCATGATTTCTCGTTACGGGATATTTGGAACAATCTGCAACAAGGGTTGGACCAACAGGGAAGCTGAAACAATCTGCTCGAGCATGGGCAGTGATGCAGCCTATGCAAGGAACCTGTATGATCAAGGGTCCAATGTTCCCAAATGGCTGTACAATGTGAAGTGTGCTGATGGAGATAAGTCCCTCCTTGACTGTGACTTCTCCATGACACCAGGTGTCGACAGCTGCTCACAAGATGCTGGTGTCTTCTGCTTTAACAAGTCTGATGGTGAGATATGACTATGAATTAACAATCATTAAGTGTTCATACTGCTTGGTGTTCCTAAACTTCAACAAGGTAAGTCTGTTGTGATAGGGAAGATTAGTGCTTAAAGCCCAGGTTCCACTATGAATTAACAATCATTTAGTGATCCTACTGCTTGGTGTTCGTAAACGTTAACAAGGTAAGTCTGTTGTGATAGGGAAGATTAGTGCTTGAAGCCCAGGTTCTACTATGAATTAACAATCATTAAGTGATCATGCTGCTTGGTGTTCCTAAAATTCAACAAGGTAAGTCTGTTGTTATAGGGAAGATTAGTGCTTGAAGCCCAGGTTCCACTATGAAATAACAATCATTTAGTGATCCTACTGCTTGGTGTTCGTAAAATTCAACAAGGTAAGTCTGTTGTTATAGGGAAGATTAGTGCTTGAAGCCCAGGTTCTACTATGAATTAACAATCATTAAGGGATCATACTGCTTGGTTTTCGTAAAATTCAACATGGTAAGTCTGTTGTCATGGGGAAGATTAGTGCTTGAAGCCCAGGTTCTACTATGAATTAACAATCATTAAGTGATCATGCTGCTTGGTGTTTGTAAACTTCAACAAGGTAAGTCTGTTTTGATAGGGAAGATTAGTGCTTGAAGCCCAGGTTCTACTATTAATTAACAATCATTAAGTGATCATACTGCTTGGTGTTCGTAAAATTCAACATGGTAAGTCTGTTGTCATGGGGAAGATTAGTGCTTGAAGCCCAGGTTCCACTATGAAATAACAATCATTTAGTGATCCTACTGCTTGGTGTTTGTAAACTTCAACAAGGTAAGTCTGTTGTGATAGGGAAGATTAGTGCTTGAAGCCCAGGCTCTACTATGAATTAACAATCATTAAGTGATCATGCTGCTTGGTGTTTGTAAACTTCAACAAGGTAAGTCTGTTGTGATAGGGAAGATTAGTGCTTGAAGCCCAGGTTCTACTATGAATTAACAATCATTAAGTGATCATGCTGCTTGGTGTTCGTAAAATTCAACAAGGTAAGTCTGTTGTTATAGGGAAGATTAGTGCTTGAAGCCCAGGTTCCACTATGAAATAACAATCATTTAGTGATCCTACTGCTTGGTGTTCGTAAAATTCAACAAGGTAAGTCTGTTGTTATAGGGAAGATTAGTGCTTGAAGCCCAGGTTCTACTATGAATTAACAATCATTAAGGGATCATACTGCTTGGTTTTCGTAAAATTCAACATTGTAAGTCTGTTGTGATAGGGAAGATTAGTGCTTGAAGCCCAGGCTCTACTATGAATTAACAATCATTAAGTGATCATGCTGCTTGGTGTTCCTAAACTTCAACAAGGTAAGTCTGTTTTGATAGGGAAGATTAGTGCTTGAAGCCCAGGTTCTACTATGAATTAACAATCATTAAGTGATCATACTGCTTGGTGTTCGTAAAATTCAACATGGTTAGTCTGTTGTCATGGGGAAGATTAGTGCTTGAAGCCCAGGTTCCACTATGAAATAACAATCATTTAGTGATCCTACTGCTTGGTGTTTGTAAACTTCAACAAGGTAAGTCTGTTGTTATAGGGAAGATTAGTGCTTGAAGCCCAGGCTCTACTATGAATTAACAATCATTAAGTGATCATGCTGCTTGGTGTTTGTAAACTTCAACAAGGTAAGTCTGTTGTGATAGGGAAGATTAGTGCTTGAAGCCCAGGTTCTACTATGAATTAACAATCATTAAGTGATCATGCTGCTTGGTGTTTGTAAACTTCAACACGATAAGTCTGTTGTGATAGGGAAGATTAGTGCCGAGGTGAGCGTGGAAGCTTGGGGCGCGAGCCTGAGTGGAGCCGCCTCGGGTGCAGATCTTGGTGGTAGTAGCTTGAAGCCCAGGTTCTACTATGAATTAACAATAATTAAGTGATCATGCTGCTTGGTGTTCGTAAAATTCAACAAGGTAAGTCTGTTGTTATAGGGAAGATTAGTGCTTAAAGCCCAGGCTCATCACATGGAAGAACAACATTTGGTTCCACAAATGGATACAATATGTGAATCCCGTTGTTCCCATCTCAGCAGCCTGTCAACTGCTACAGTGTGGATGAGTGCATACACTATCCATATTGTTTGCCTGATGGGACACCATTAACCTACCATTAACTGGTACCACTGAAATGCCCCATTAAAAGACAGCTACAAGACAATTAAAATACCCTCAAAATACCTTAAGATCCACTTTAATTGAAGCAATTTTAATGGCATTGTACCCTAAAGCAAAACCATTAAAATCATTTTTTTACATAATTAAGACCAAATACAAGGAATTAAAAAAATTAAATTGTGTAATTAATGGTGGTAGTCCCAAATTAAGCTGACAAGCATTTAGATGATGCAACTTCTGTTCAAAGCTGTGTCTAACTCAACCCACTCATCAAAGAGACTGACAATTATTGTTTGCTTCAGTTCCAAGCTACTCGCTGACCAATGGCCACTATGGCCATGTGATGGCCACTCTGAAGAAAGAGAAGGGAGTGGTCTGCCACAGCTACTACTGGAGCAACTCCAACGCCCGTGTCGTGTGTCGCAGCCTCGGCTTCAACTCGGGAGAAATCTACACTGGCCCCCATGCTGCTCCCGAGACCTCCTCTGCTTGGTTTTCCGACTCCATGTACTGTAGCGGAGACGAGGCTTCACTGGACATCTGTAATGATGGGAACTGGACAAAGCTGGATATCAGTGGAAAACAAAACTCGTCGAACGTGTATTATGCTTCATCTTGTCTGAGCAATATTTTCAGTGTATTCTGTTATGGAGAGGGTAAGTAACTCTAAATTGGATAATTGTTTCTTTTTTCGACATTTTGCAATAAATATGTACTGCTTCCTGGTCAAGAGCCTAGGCCTAGTTCTAGGTGTTTGTATGTCATATGTATAATGTTCTCCATATGATCATCTTCCCAAGGCAAGGGAGTTAACTGACTTTAAAAGTCCAGTTTCCACCCTTGCCGAACTTGGCTGGAATTACTGGGCTCGATCGTTGCACCACCAGTGGCTATTAGCAATTATGTCCCTTCTAAGCCTCTCCTATGGACCAATCAGATTCCACCTCTCGTATCACTTGCGTTTGCTTCACACAAAATAGTGGCGCCCAGTCAGGACGATCTGATCGATAATCAAGATCTATATTGTGATAAAATGGGTCTTACATCGCAATGCATCAAATCACGTGAGCACCTTCATTAAAAACATGAAAGGATTTGGAAAATATCTGCTGACAACGAATTGGCGATGCACATGCTTTGCAAATCCTGCAATCGATTGAAATCTGCACGACAGTTTACGAACCGGATTTGGATTTCGGTGCGCGATTTTGATTGGACTATGCATAGACTCGTTACTCCAGACAAAATGTAACTCCATAATACCAGCCTAGTTCGGCAAGGGTGGAAACTGGAATTTTATTGTCAGTTAACTCCTTTGCCTCGGGAAGATGACATATGATAGGAAAAATAGCTTGCCACAAATGAAGATACATACATCCCTGAATTACGCATACATTTTAGCATCAACTTACAACTTGTCTTTGTCATGAATATAAATGGTCTAGATGAAAACAAGCACAATAGATTTGATGTAAAAACGAACATAATACATTGTGAACCTCAGCATGCAGTTATGTGCATGGCGGACAAGCCAATTAAACTCGCAATGTTTTACAAATTGCAGTGCTATATAGCATTCTTTATTGTCAACATCTTTTCGTGCTCACCAACGTTCTTTCATACACATTGTTCTTTCTTGTGATGTGACGTTTTTTGTAACATTTGACTATTAATATTGTGTACTTTTGACCTTTATTTCAACTTCATATTTTTTGCTGCCGTCTGTTTGTTTTGTATTTTGACCTCTATTAGAAACATGCATACTTTTGTCCTTCATTTCAACTTCGTATTTTTTTATCAAATGTCCACCCTCAGTAAACAGTACCATGTGTCATAGCCTCATAGTAGCAGTCAAGTAAAGAGGGTGCTTGGACGACTTAAATTACGTTTAAGCTATTTGCCAGTGTGTGAGCCATGCCCTCCTCTGAGAGTAAGTCTGTTTATGGCATTCAAGGAGGTGACATTGATAATTCAACCAATGCTTGCAAATTGTTTCAGTGAGGCTTCACACAAGCTTCTTCAACAAGACAGGAGTCCTGCAGGTTGCGAACAATGAAAGTAAAGATTCCTACGGAACATTCTGTGCCGACAACTTCACAGATACAGCAGCTGCGGTCGCTTGTCGGGAACTGGGTCTCGCCAACAGCGGCATTGCTCTTCCTGCTACGACATACGGAAGCGTGTATTCAAGCGTAGGGAGGGGAAATGTGACCTGCGATGGATCCGAATCCTCCATCCTTAACTGCAGCAAGCCGTCTTCCCTCTATTCTTGTTCCTATTGGAACCATGCATCAATCCTGTGTGATGACAAGCCAGAAGCAGATGGTATGATCAGAGATACCAACCATTGCAATATTTTGAAAGAATTAGGGCTGGGACGAGTTCAAACTTACAACCTGGGTACCCACCCCCCTATCACCCGACCCTACCCGGGTACCCACCCCCCTATTACCCGACCCTACCCGGGTACCCACCCCCCTATTACCCGACCCTACCCTGGTACCCACCCCCCTATTACCCGACCCTACCTGGGTACCCACCCCCCTATTACCCGACCCTACCCGGGTACCCACCCCCCTATTACCCAACCCTACCCAGGTACCGACCCCCCTGTTACCCAACCCTACCCGCATACCTGCTGAAGGTCCCAATAGATCAGTTCAAAATGTCTGATTGAGAAAAGTTTGACAGTAGCCCTGGATCCGGAAAAATGTATTCAGATGTATACACATATAAAATGATCTGGTCATGCATACACCAAAGTTGACTGAAGTTTTATCTTCAAACATATAAAATTCAGAAGGAATGGGTGCATAGTCAGAAAGAAGTGTGGAAATCAGTGACTTGTAGTGTAACCATAAAGTTCTAGATACTTTTTGTCATTAAACAATATATCACATAACTAACCACGGGTCCGGGTAGTCCTGTGGGTACACGAGTTACTCCTTCCAGCCCCAAATATTACTTTTGTTACGAATTTTGTAAAAATATGCTTGTAGCTTAGTAGATCAATGCTCATGAAGTCATCATCCATATTTTATAACGGGCGTCATATAGCTAGAATATTGCCGATTGCACTTTGAACAACAAAGAAGCAAACAGAATTCACAGTATGGACTTGCATCACTTGGGCACACTTGGGTTCAAATGACGGTTTGCCCTGGTTGTTTCTAGGTTTGTTAGCACCATACCCAATCTTGTTCACCCAAGACTTGGCTCTCTTAAGCTTTCCTCACACATTAAGCTGACACACAAAATATAACTGGAATACTGTTAAAAGTGGCATTTGGTGGATCCGTGAAGATCCGGGGCAGAATAGGTCTTCAGCAACCCATATTTGCTGTAAAAGGCGACTACGCTCGTCAGGTGGTCATCGATCCCAATTGCATCGATCATTGCTCATGATGTTGATCACCGGATTGTCTGGTCGAGACGCAATTATTTACAGACTGACGTCAGATAGCTTGAATATTGCTGAGTGCGGCGTTAGACAACAGACAAACAAACTATGTGGTGTATCATTAGTGTGTAGCTTTTTTGTAGTCAAGTGATACGATACCACAAGGCTACACGCATGTTGCATAAAAATATTGCCGGTGTAATCCCAGCGCTTGTTGCCATGAGCATTCCCTGGCTTCCCCAGTATTGGAGCCAGGCCTTGACAAAGATGGGTACTTCAAATAGTACCTACACTGCAAAGCAGGTTAGATATTCACAGGCGATAGAGGAATGCATGTACACACACAGCTACAGATAAGCTGCATAATTGCGTAAAATACCCCCCTAAACTATTCAAAACCCAATTACTCTCAATTTACTTGCATACAGAAATGCATGCATTAAATGAAAAACTCAATTGTTTCAAAACAGCACGCGTAAATACCCAATGAAACTTTTTCAGCATGCATACAAGCGAGCTAATTTCTGAAACACAATTATGATCTAATTTACTTTCCAAGTCAAGCCTATATTTAGGACCGTTATATACATCTAAAACATTATTTCATTTATTTATTTTTAAATCTCAAAATGCTTACTCATTTTGGGAAAAATCCAATAGAGTGATTAATAGATTGAATATCTATGAATATATATAGATGAATTGCTCAAAGAGTTATCTGGAGCTCTGTATACAAAACTGACAATGGTGCACACAGTGATTTGTCTGCTTTTGTTTCTGCATGCAGTGGAAAACACCAAGTTAAACTTTCGTTTGATTGCCACTGATTGTGTTTCAGCTCCCATCACAGAAACCAAGGTTGCGGAAGATGGCCGAGTCCTTGTGAAGAAGCATGGCTACTGGGGAACAGTGTGTGGCAGCGGATGGAACAAAACAGATGCCAGCGTTGTATGCCGGGCTCTTGGTTATGATGCAGGCTTTAACAAGACAATGTACAGGAGCAGTGTCGTTCCTCAGTGGCTCGGCCAAGTCAATTGTACTGGGTTGGAGAAGTCCCTGATGGACTGTAAGGCTGTTGAGCAGGACTGCAGGACTAATAGCATGGTTGCTGGTGTCAAGTGTTATAACAGCAGTGATTGTAAGTGGTGCATAATCATTGTCAATGCTTTTTGTAAAGGTCACAGGTCCATGAATGAACCATATGCCAGTATCTACCCTCTGACTTGAGATGTTCACTGTCCTAACGAACATCGTTCAGGACTTGGTATTAGACCCTATAGTTGTTTCAGGTAGTTGTAAGCAAGTTGTCCCCAGAATGTCTGCATGGATTTGGTTCTAGCAGGTTATCCCCAGAAATTCTGCATGGATTTGGTTCTAGCAAGTTATCCCCAGAACTTCTGCATGGATTTGGTTCTAGTAGGTTATCCCCAGAAGTTCTGCATGGATTTGGTTCTAGCAGGTTATCCCCAGAACTTCTGCATGGATTTGGTTCTAGTAGGTTATCCCCAGAAGTTCTGCATGGATTTGGTTCTAGCAGGTTATCCCCAGAAATTCTGCATGGATTTGGTTCTAGCAGGTTATCCCCAGAACTTCTGCATGGATTTGGTCCTAGCAGGTTATCCCCAGAAATTCTGCATGGATTTGGTTCAACTGATGACAAGGTGTTTTAGGGATGTTGCAGGCCCCATGCTGTTATTTTGAAGGTCATTGGAAGGTTTAGACTAGTTTGCTGTTTGTTTCCTGTTTATCTCCTTACACAAAACGCTACAGATTTATTTAAATAAAACAAGTCCACACACAGTGGACGAACATAATGAACTTGACCTATTATTTCTAGGTCACTGAAAGCATTTCCCTTTCTGCTGTTCGATAGTGAAACATCCCAAGATATACCAACATTTAGTAGCTAGTGCTAAATGTAATTATTGCATGATACTACAGCGAGAGCCCACCTACCTGAGGAAGGTTGGCTATGTTGAGAGAATGACAAAGACGCAACAGTGGATTTAATGGCCGAGGGCTTGGAGGTTCTAAAGGGCTACCCCAATTTAGAAATGGAATAAATACTATTAAAGGCTAAATGATATAACCATACAACGCCATATAGAGCTATGTGGAGAATTGCATTGCCAAACATATTTGGTAATAGATAATTAATGCTAATTGCTAATGCACAAATAGTGGAAATGTCCCTACCCGACCAAAACTGAGGGTCTAAATTGAAGCAATCTCTGCCAGGCCCAATTTAATTGTTAATATATAATTAATGCTAAAGCCCAAATGGCGGAAACGTCGCTACTCGACCAAAGCTGTGGAAGCGAACGCTGCCAGGCCCAGCTATGTGACAAATTGCGTTGCCAAATATAATTGTTACAAGATTCCTGAGTGACTCCACATTAAGCTGACACGCCGTGATATAACTGGAATTGTTAAACCCAACTCACTCACTCATTGAACAAGATTTTGTGTACTGAATGTTGCCAAGGTAAATTTGCATATTTGGAAGACTTTTTCACTTTATAGTTTACTTTTAACTTTTTTTCAAAGAATTGTTTTGTCAAAGGAACCCCAACTTAACCTTTACACCATAAGTTAGGGGTAACCAAACTTTTCTGCTGACATCCTCCATTTTGACATAGCATATTGCCCAAGAGAGACTCTTATAAAAGGTTAGATTTGTGTCTTATCTTTTTGTTTTCAATATTCATTTCAGTGGCTAAGTATACGTTCCGCCCCCGAGCTGGCTCCTCTAACATTGGTCATGTGATGGTGGACTACAAGGGGTTGTCATACCCCCTGTGTGACTGGCAGTACCTGTCATATGAGGATGCGGGAGTCTTGTGTCGATATTTCGGGTTCCCCACTGGAAAGAAACTGGAAGGCCAGCGAAACCAGTCCAGTTTTGACTATGCCTGGGCTGCAGACTTTGCCTGCAGTAATACAGATACAGACCCCAACGCATGCGCACGGAACTTGACTGTAGAAACTACAGGCTTGTACAGACGGTGTTACAACAACCTCGTCGAATTGTCTTGTGCCAAGGGAGGTGAGATTTGAATACCGGAGATGACAGCCATTGAGATTTTGGTGGAAGGATTACTTTGAACCAAATTCCACAATTACGAGTTGTGATATATCTAAAAATTTGTCCCAAACACCTTCGCAGTAATTTATACTGGATATTAACCTGGCTTAGTATCAAAGTAGTAGTTACTATCCTGTCTACAGTCATTGTCACATCTACGACCATTCGATAATCAAGTCGTACGTAATGAGTTGTCTTAATGTGATGGGAAGATTTGCATATTTGGCTGATAAAATATGATGCAACAGATTATGTTCATTAAAACCATTTAGTAGGTTATGCAAACATTGATTGCTAATTATTGTTGTACATTGCTTATTTAAAATTCTGACTATGACAGATATTTCGAATTGAATCAGTTTGAGATTTGCATCTCTAGAACGGGACATGACTGTTTACACACTGACCTGAACAAAGAATGCATAAAATTTATCTTTGGAGTTTTAAAAATAAAAATCTAATGCATCCTAGGGGGCCATGGGTGGCTCAGTCGTCTAAGGCACTGTGATTCGCCGTGCAGAGTTGCGTCCCTTGGGCACGCCAGAAACCTATGATTGTGGGTTCGAATCCCAGTTCACCCCGATTATGTTTCTAGGTTTGTCAGGACCATACCCATGCTCGTGGGTTTCACCGAAGTGGAAAACGTGTAAGACCTGCATCACTTCGGGTTTTCTCCCACATTAAGCTGACACGCCGTGATATAACTGGACTACTGTTAAAAGCGGCGTTAAATCCAACTCACTCGCTCATTATATGTTAGTTTTGTTTGTGTTATTGTTTTACACAAAAAATTGAGGACACTCACAAGAGATTCCTTATTTGACATTGTAGACTGAATAGGTTTTAAATATAAAGACACTTAAGGATTGACTGTGTATTTTTTTCGGTTCATTGAGGTATGAATCGAAAAACTGATGTGCAAACTGTATGAATCCGCGTAGCGGATTCTTACAAAAGTTTGCACATCGGTTTTCGATTCATACCTCAATGAACCGAAAAAAATACACAGTCAATGCTTATAATTAAATTCGACAATGTAAAACATGTTTTATCTACAATAGTTTAACCCAAAACAGTTGCATATATCAAAACAGACAAAAATGACGACATTGATAAACATTCCAGGTGTAGGAATACATACAGTTGCGTCACATGAAGCAGGTGATCGTTTAATTTATGCACATAACTTGACACGCCTACACAGTCAGTAGCCAATCAACGGAGAGTGGGATTAAAACAATGTTCATTGGACCTGTCAATTAAGGCAAGAGGCGAAAAGAACTGCAACAGTCAGACTGTAACGAACCGGAAGAAATATGTCCGAGAGAAGGCGGCTGTTTCAAATAACATGGTCATTTACTGCGTGATTCAAACATTACTTCCCTGATTACGGTAAAACACAGTTGGAGAAATGCTAGTTAAAAATGAAACCCGAAGACATGAAAGTTGAACCGATGCGAGCGGGAAAAAAGCAGGCGAGTGAGCCTGCACGTTTGTTGTTTCATTCATTCTCGGCCTTCGGTTTCAAAGGGTAGTTTGGACAATGAATATGCATGAAAGTCGCTAAATGTCCTGTGCATGACGATACACGGGATCAGAAAGGGAATTCCCTTGACTGTAATATTGGGATTCCCCGACATATAGCAGTAATAAAAGTAGTGCGCCTCGGTAGGCGTGGCTTAATTTTTTACATTCATTGGGAAATGAATGCAATAACACGTGACCAATTCAGCTAATCAGAATACAGGAATTTCCATGAACACAACGGAAATTTAATTATATGTCATTGAATGTTCTACTCACCTTTTTTCTTCATCTAGCACTTTCTACACTTTCACTCACTCACTCACTCACTCACTCACTCACTCACTCACTCACTCACTCACTCACTCACTCACTCACTCACTCACTCACTCACTCACTCACTCACTCACTCACTCACTCACTCACTCACTCACTCACTCACTCACTCACTCACTCACTCACTCACTCACTCACTCACTCACTCACTCACTCACTCACTCACTCACTCACTCACTCACTCACTCACTCACTCACTCACTCACTCACTCACTCACTCACTCACTCACTCACTCACTCACTCACTCACTCACTCACTCACTCACTCACTCACTCACTCACTCACTCACTCACTCACTCACTCACTCACTCACTCACTCACTCACTCACTCACTCACTCACTCACTCACTCACTCACTCACTCACTGATGCCGGAATTCTGTGATCGTTGCTTTGAATCCCTCGTATGTTTACGCTTATTATCATTCTTGGTTTGTGATCACCCAGAGGTAAATGATTGTCGGGTTCAGGCAATAACACTGCACCCTCCATCAAAATTATGATTGTAAACACTCACAGTATGGACAGTATGTCACACATTTTCAGTTGTGTAATACCACGTACCTAAATATTATTTAGGTACGCGGTAATTCGTGACCCATGGTCATCAAAGTAATATCCAGGGATTAATAAAATATTGCTGACCTGTAAATATCTGAGCCCTGTTTCACAAAGCGATCCTTCTGTTACGACTGTCATAACTCATAGTTTAATATAGACTTACGACAGGCGTAACAGTATGTTTGCTTTGCGAAAGGGGCTTTTAGATCAAGGAGGAAGAGGTAGTTTCAAGCCAGCCACTGAGAGATGTCATTATGATCCTCTTGTGACAAATCACATAGTTGAATCACACTTCGTGTTTCAAGCCAGAATATTCTGCTGTCAGTCTCACTGCTCCTTCGTGTTTGTGAATGTACTTAATGCATGTACATCCATCCAAAGATGCTAGGGCTGGGACGATTCCAAATTTACTACCTGGGTACCCACCCCCATATTATCCGACCCTCCCCGGGTACCCGCTGTAGGTCTCAAGAGATAGGTACAAACGTTTGACCGTACTCCTGTCAAAATGTATTTAGATACAGGTATAAAATGATCTGGTCATGCATACACTGAACTTGACTGAAGTTTTATCTTTATGCAAACATATAAAGTCAGAAGGAATGTGTGCATCGTCGGAAAGCAATGCGAACATTTGTCACTTATAGTGTAACCATAGATTTCTAGATAATGTTTGCCATTAAACAATATAATCACATGACTAACCACGGGTCCGGGTAGTCCTGTGGGTACCCGGGTCCTACTCAGTACCCAACCGATCCGAGTACCCGAGTTACCCGTCCCAGCCCTAATAGATGCTCACATTTTAGTTTGTCCCTCTCCCGGACTCTTGTTTGTGAAAGATTATGTACCTCACTCTTACAATTTGGAAGCCCACTTACTCCTATTTCTTTCCTCAGTATCCCTTGATCCGGACTCCAGCAGTAGTGGACCACTGGTTGTATTTTTTGGGAAGAGCAGCTACAAGGTGTGTGCCGACAACTTCACCAACACAGCTGCTGATGTTGCATGCCGCGAAATGGGCTTCAAGGGTGGTTACATGATATCGTCCGTGGTGTACAATCATCCAAGCTACTCCTTCGGTATGACGGGGGTGGACTGTAAAGGCAGCGAGAGATCTATCAAGGAGTGCTCAAGTCTTAAGAAACCCGAATACATCTACTGCAGCAGTGACAAGAACTTTGTGGCTTTAAAGTGTACCCATGGCAATGGACCAGGTATTATGCTTGACCAATTCCTTTGAATAGATGACCTCTGTTACATCACAGCAATTATTTCTGTGCAATTTATGTCCTCACAGAATAAAATCTTTCGATTTTCAACAGACGCTCATCTTCACTGCCAGGAGCAGCCAAACCTTTGCTGCTTAGTGTGTTATACTTGACTATTTGATTGTTACTCGTCCAGGTTCGAGGTCAGAATCAGACCCCAGCACTTTTAAAGATTATTGTCAGTAACTATCTGGGCAGAATGATCTGCTATTTTGCCTTATCAATATAGAACAAATGCTTAGGTAATTGTAATTTTATTTCAGTACACTTTGACAGTTGTATTTAGCTTCTATCAATAAGAAGTGTCCGTTGATGTTATTTGATGCTAGCACTATAAATCGGCATCAGTCCAGACAAGCACACACACGCACACGCACACGCACACGCACACGCACACGCACACGTGCATGCACGTCACTATATAAGTGCAATAAACTTGGACGCGACGTTAAACCCCATTTCACCTCACCTCACCTGAATATTCACATCACACCACATGCTTCTCTAAAGCTACTAAAATGAGGGTTGACTGGTCACAATGTGAGAACAAGCTGATGATGTGTCCTACCCTGACAATGTTGATCGTTGCTCATACAGTCAACCACCCAGATTATGTAAAGACCACGCTCATAATGCTGGAATATTGCTGACTGTGTCATACAACAACATTCACTCACTCACTCCAAATAACATACCTGTGAAAATCCAGGGTAGAGTAGGTCTTCAGCAACCAATGTTTGCCCTAAGGGGCGACTAACGGGATCGTGTGGTCAGGCTCGCTGACTTGGTTGATGCATGTCATTGTATCCCAATTGCGATGATCGATGCTCATGATGTCAATAACTGGATTGCCTGGTCCAGACTTGATTATTTACACACAGCCGTCATATGGCTGGAATATTGCTGAGTGTGGTGTTCAACAAACGAAACAAACTCCCCAAAACAAACCAGACAATGCTAATCCTTGCAGATGGAAGCGGCAACACAACAGGACAAGAGGACATGCCTGTGAAGCTGAGGGGCATCAACAACGTCGTGGTCATCCAGAGAGACAACGTCTGGTTCAGCATCTGTGGTGACAACTGGAGCGACAACGAGGCTTCGGTCGTGTGTAGAAACATGGGCTACAAGGAGGGTTTGGCCAGCCAGTCCTATGCCAATGCCGACATGCCCATATGGAACTACAGATTCAACTGCACGGGATCAGAGTCGAGTCTTGGCAGCTGCGTATACTGGACCAATCCTCATGAACAAAAGATCTGTTCCCAAACCGCTGTAGCGACCTGTCTCAATAAACGTAAGGAATGACTCTTTGTGAGTTAGCATTATTAAGATTTTAGAAAGTAAGATTTATTTCGAGTCACACACAAACCACCTTAATTCCATGAATACCCAACCTCTATTTCATCATTTCTATGGACCTGTGAAATGTTCTGGGTAGAATAGGTCTTCAGCAACCCATGCTTGCCGTAAAAATTGCTGAGTGCGGCATTTAACAACAAACAATACAAAAATCATTGTCATAACCCGGTATTTTGGCTGTCATCACTCTATAATATAAATTTTTAAGATACATTCTCTTCACTGTCAGCTATCTATAATCAATTGTACAGGTAAGTCTTCTACTCCAATGATTCTGCGCTTGCACAGTGAGGGGTACCCCACTTCTTTCATGTTTGTGGTAGAGTCATCATTTTTTTTGTAGTTCTGATTATGACATCACTTCATATATAATTAATTTTCTTGTCTAGGAATTGGATTTTCAATCCAAGGAGGCATCAATGGAAAATCTGGCTGGGTGTTGGCCGTTGATGGGGATAGATCCGGCATCATCTGTGACTACGATGGATGGAGCAATGACGATGCAGGACAAGTGTGTCGGTCTCAAGGATATGAATGGGGAGAGAAACTACCAGCACCACCAATGAAGAAACCTACAGACAGCATTCTGATGGCCACCTTCCGTTGCAGTGGCTCTGAGACTGATATCAATGCCTGCATCAGAAAGCAACCAAATGAGACGTATTTCTTCTTCACATCTGAAAATAACACTGCCTGCAATTCTTGGACTGCCGCAACAGCCAGCTGTTATGGAAAAGGTAGAGTGATCCAGAAGTTTGTGTTGGTGAATGTATTTGCAGGAAATGCAATGAATAGATTCAGAACCATTATACTGAACCTGCCGTCCTCAACAGGTTCCAGATGGGGTGGTCATTATGGAGACAGCAGGGCTGTGTAGTGGCAAGAGAAGTTGTATTGTAATATGTTGTGATACAGGTATCTGTTTTGTGATACGTACTGCAGTATATTTGGAGCTGAAGTGATAGACACTTGCCAGCATGGTCAGCCATTTTGTTGACCGATACAGGGGAGATAACAATGTGAGAGAAAAATCACTTCCATGTTTCCCGTTTCGATGCTTGTCGTAACAGGCTACTAACGAGATCAGGTGGCAGGCTCGCTGACTTGGTTGATACATGAAGTATCCCAGTTGTGTAGATCTAGGCTCATGATCACTGGATTGTCTGGTCCAGACTTGGTTATTTACAGACCGCCGTCATAGAGCGGGAATATTGTTGAGTGCGGCGTTACACAACAAACAAAGAAACAAGAACACAGAAAAACATCATTTGAAAAGTGTGTTGTGGTATTCCTACAATATCATGGAGTCCTCGTAGAAAGTAATTTTTCAGGCCTTTAGTTAGTGGGCAGGTCAAAGTATCAAATAACACAATATTGTTTGTCAGAAACTTAAGTACACTTTGACATAAGTATACAGAAGAAATTTGCCTTTTCTTGTGTATAACACTTTTGTCTATACAAGTGACTTACCAAATTCAACGTAATAAGCGCCTAGGGCGCTCTCAAAGTTAGAAATAAGGGTTGCTCATTAGAATATCATTTTGAGTTGAAAAATCTTAAATTTCGTGGTTTATGCTAACAGCATGAAATGTTTGCATACGACAGATATATTTTTCAAGAATTTAATTGCCCATTATTAAGGGTGATATAACACATGAGTGCGTATTATACACAAATAAATAAGTCTTGTTACATTGATCAGTCGGAAGATGTGCTGATTGGGATTGTTCACTTGCCAATATAATAGCAAATATCGCCGTGGGCACTTATTAGAGGGGGGCGATTATTACGTCGAATATGGTACCTGAAATTACATTTTCAAAGAAGTTTTGATTTTCTCATGTGTGAAAATATGTGTCCCGGCCCATCATGAGTTGCTGCCAGCCTGATAAAAGTAGAACTATGTATCATTCTTTTTTGTCTTCAGTTCGGCTGCAACCATTCTACAACTCCTCACTTGGTGTCGTGCTCATCGGGAACAACAAGCAGAGCTACAGCATATGTGCTGAAGGCTTTGATGATAAAGCTGCCAATGTCGTGTGTAGGGAAGTTGGGTTCCCAAACGGTGGTCGTGCTCTTGGCTACAACCCCTTTGTCCACCGTGTCCACACCATGGGCTTTGGCAATGTCACCTGTACAGGAAGCGAGAAGGCTCTGGGATCTTGTGTCATGTTGGACAAGTACATGTACAATTGTCCATCGGGTGTACCTGCTGTTGTGAAGTGCAACACTGGCGAAGATGAAAGTGAGGAACTTCTTCCATAATTCAGAGTACATTCTCAGATGTGCCATTGCACCATTCTTGCTCAATTTTCCGATGGTGTTCAATAAAACACTGGCGGGTCATATGTGCCGGTAGTAACTTATTTCATGGCTAAATAAAATAATAGTCTTCGATCTCAGGCACCGCCCGCATCATCATAAAGCCCGCCACACTTTTTGTTTTCATATCCATTTTAAAAAAATTTGAAATTCGTAAAATTACTTTAAAACAATGTGCTTTTTTACATACTGGTATGAACAATAAAAAAAAAAAACCAACGCCCACCTGCACTATATTTTCAAAAGTCATTGCCTGAGAACTAATTCTTGTATTTATTAAGCCCATGATAATAGCTAATTGTTACATGCAACTAAATGTGATGTAATGACATGAGTAATTCTCATTCTTCATAAATGCTTATGAGCAAAACTTGGAAAGGTAATCTCATCCAATATGTTTGAGACGTGATAAGGTCACTTGCTCCTTGTCTCTACAAGCAGCCACTGACAATACACCTTATTGCACACAGTGAAGCATGCCAACTTGTCCTACTTTACTAATGTGGTGGGGGCGGTCGGGTAGCCTAGTGGTTAAAGCGTTTGCCCGTCACGCCGAAGACCTGGGTTCGATTCCCGACATGGGTACAAATTGTGAAGCCCATTTCTGGTGTCCCCAGCCATGATATTGCTGGAATATTGCTAAAAGCGGCGTAAAACCAAACTCACTCACTCACTACTAATGTGGAAAACTGCGTGGATCATTGAGACTTGATTGTATTGTTTTCTTAAGAAGTGTGAAACCCGATGTTATTTCTACCTTCTAGTAACAGACTGGAAAATACGCACTGACCAAGGCAAGGTACTCGTGTCGAGGTTTGGTGTGTTCGGTGAGGTCTGCTCTGCTGGTTTTGATGATGTTGCCGCGACGATAGTATGCAAATCTCTCGGCTTTGAAACTGGTGCCTCAAGAAACATGTTCAGCAGTGCTGAAGATGTACCGATGTGGATCTTTGATATGTCTTGCTCCGAAGCCAACACAGAATTGAAGTCCTGCAAACATAACACTGGGCCACATCCAAAGGATTACTGTAACAACGCTGCTGGGGTCTTCTGTCAAAACAAGGAGGACAGTAAGTCTCCTCTAGTACCTCAAGGACGTTGGGTATCCAATTGATTAAAGTGTTCACTCGTCACCCTGAAGTCTTGTTTTGAAGCCCAGCTCTGGTGTCCTCCCAAGGACAATGCTGGAATATTGATAAGAGCAGAATTTGTTGTCAGTATTAGACAAAATCTCACATGTCGATATCACAAGCCAATTTAGAAGAATATGCAATGAATGGTTTAAACTGAAGATGAATAATTGTTTAAGTGTTAAGAATACCAGAAATGTTAGGCTAAAATAAGAGGCACTGTCCTCGTCAACAAAAATATCCACTTTATAAAGATTCCAGCTTTCAAAACATTCAGGTACCTCACTTTTTAACATGGCAGTTTCTGCTAACACACACTAAGCTCGCAAATCAAATGTTTTTGTTATTCATACACATCTGATACCACATTGTTCATTATGTCTTTCTTTTATAATTCGGGGGGCACAGGTGGCCCAGTCGTCTAAGGCATCGCGATTCGCTGTGCAGAGTTGCCAGAAACCTATGATTGTGGGTTCGCCCCAATTATGTTTCTAGGTTTGTCAGCACCATACCCGTACTCCTGAGTTTCACCGAAGTGGTAAACGTCTGAGACCTGCATCACTTCGGGCTTTCCTCCCACATTAAGCTGACACGCCGCGATATAACTGTAATACTGTTAAAAGCGGCAATAAACCCAACTCACTCACTCACTCTTTTATAATTCAACAGCATTTATTGATTTCGTTGTTCCTTTAAGAGAACCAAATAAGTAATTAGCATGTATGTTTATTTTCAGTGACAATCTACTCCATTGAAGGCGGAACCACAAAGAATTATGGGTACCTTGTCGCAGAATACAAAGGTACGAAGGCCACTGTGTGTTCCCCTGTGTGGTCATCTTCCAGCGCCAACACTGTGTGTAAACAGCTGGGGTACGCTGGTGGACAGGCCTACTTTGGCCCAATGGACAAACCAGCCCTCCAGGATGTCATGGCTGCCAACATTGACTGTAACAGCCATGCAACGCTTCTGGACATGTGTCGGACCGGTGACTGGGAGAGGTTCAAGGTCGGTAACGAGGCATCAGCAAACTACACATGCACACAAGGGCCTGTCAAAGTCTTCTGTTACGCTGAATGTGAGTATATCTTGACGACTAACTTTTGATAGAGATTGTAAGATATTGAAGCCTTATCAAGATATCAAATTTTTATACTTATACCTATCTCACACAATGCATTTCTCCATTGTAACGCCATAGAACAGAGTTTCCAGATTAAAAAAACAACACTTCACCTGAACACATCCCAACATAACCATGGTCACTACCTAAACAAAGGGTCAGTCAATCATTGTCCAATAAATCAACTGGTCATTGAACTGTGACCATCACCGACAGAATAGCTGGCCTGATCAAACTAACCATCACCGACAGAATAGCTGCCCTGACCAGACTAACCATCACCGACAGAATAGCTGGCCTGACCAGACTAACCATCACCGACAGAATAGCTGGCCTGACCAGACTAACCATCACCGACAGAATAGCTGCCCTGACCAGACTAAACCATCACCGACAGAATAGCTGGCCTGACCAGACTAACCATCACCGACAGAATAGCTGGCCTGATCAGACTAACCATCACCGACAGAATAGCTGGCCTGATCAGACTAACCATCACCGACAGAATAGCTGGCCTGATCAGAATAACCATCACCGACAGAATAGCTGGCCTGACCAGACTAACCATCACCGACAGAATAGCTGCCCTGACCAGACTAAACCATCACCGACAGAATAGCTGGCCTGACCAGACTAACCATCACCGACAGAATAGCTGGCCTGATCAGCCTAAGCATCACCGACAGAATAGCTGGCCTGATCAGACTAACCATCACCGACAGAATAGCTGGCCTGACCAGACTAAACCATCACCGACAGAATAGCTGGCCTGACCAGACTAAACCATCACCGACAGAATAGCTGGCCTGATCAGACTAACCATCACCGACAGAATAGCTGGCCTGACCAGACTAACCATCACCGACAGAATAGCTGGCCTGATCAGACTAACCATCACCGACAGAATAGCTGCCCTGACCAGACTAAACCATCACCGACAGAATAGCTGGCCTGACCAGACTAACCATCACCGACAGAATAGCTGGCCCTGACCAGACTAAACCATCACCGACAGAATAGCTGGCCTGATCAGACTAACCATCACCGACATGATAGCTGGCTGACCAGACTAACCATCACCGACAGAATAGCTGGCCTGAACAGACTAAACCATCACCGACAGACAGAATAGCTGGCCTGACCAGACTAACCATCACCGACAGAATAGCTGGCCTGACCAGACTAACCATCACCGACAGAATAGCTGGCCTGACCAGACTAACCATCACCGACAGAATAGCTGGCCTGATCAGACTAACCATCACCGACAGAATAGCTGCCCTGACCAGACTAACCATCACCGACAGCCAGAATAGCTGGCCTGACCAGACTAAACCATCACCGACAGAATAGCTGGCCTGACCAGACTAACCATCACCGACAGAATAGCTGGCCTGACCAGACTAAACCATCACCGACAGAATAGCTGGCCTGATCAGACTAACCATCACCGACCGAATAGCTGGCCTGATCAGACTAACCATCACCGACAGAATAGCTGGCCTGACCAGACTAACCATCACCGACAGAATAGCTGCCCTGATCAGATCCAACAAGTTGCCGAGAATTTGCAGCACATATCTCTCGAAAATCAACTTTGTCATTGCCACTACAACCTTCTTAAAGATTTCCACGGTTGCAGTATTCCAGGATCTCATTCTTTCCTACAAGTTGGCTGCTCGAGTTAGCGCGATCCATGTTCATGAAGTCACTCATGTCCGATTTGACACCATGGGAAACTATACCTTCGTTGGGAGTTCATTGTGAAGAAGCAACTTCTGGGCCAACCAGATGGGCTGTTCACCATCCCTTCCTTGGCATCCATTTTGAACCCAGATGACCAGGAAGATTTCTCCTTACGCCTGGTTAGAGCTTTGTGTATTTACCTCAAGGCATCTACTATGATACGACCCTCCCAGAAGAGACTTTTCATCCCTTTATCCACATCTGCCACCACGGAAGTCTCCCGCACCACGATTTCCTTTTGGCTATGCTCAACGATTCTTTGGGCCTACACCTTGGCTGCATTGCCTCCCCCCTGCGACATTGCATCCACGATGGCGCTGCACAACAAAGTGCTGCTGTAAGAAAGACAATGATATATCAAGCCAATTCATGTGTCAACTCGCATAGGGTCACTATGGTTGGTTGGTTGGTTGGTTTGTTGTTTAACGCCGCACTCAGCAGTATTCCAGCTTTATGACGGCAGTCTGTAAATAATCGAGTCTGGACCAGACAATCCAATGATTAATATCATGAGTATGGATCCACGCCATTGGGATCGATGACATGCATCAACCAAATCAGCGAGCCTGACCACCCGACCCCTTTAGTCGCCTCTTACGACAAGCATAGTCGCCTTTTAGAGCAAGCATGGGTTGCTGAAGACCTATTCTACCCCGGATCTTCACGGGCCACTATGCATAGGATTACGATGCATGACCCTATGTTTAGGTAAAGACAACGGTGATGTTGGGATGTGTTTCGGGTGTATGTATATTTTAAGCTGGAAACTTCCACACCAAGACGAGAAGGAGAAATGCACAATGTGAGATAGGATAAGTTTATAAATATACCATTTAATGTAATCTTTATCATATAGTATATAATGGCAACAGAAATGTCCATAAAATGTTGAGTACTGAATGGGTTAATGATTGAAAACTGCAGACTAATCGACATGTTGGATGTTCTTAAATATAGTTCAATAATGAGCAGTTGGTCCCTCTCACTCCATACGTCTGTGTGTTACCGGCAGTGAGGACACTTGGAACAATTCTCAGTTATAACACACCAGCTTTGTGATAATGCCACATGGTACATTGCCCTGAATAGCTATATTTATAATCTGAGCAAAATCCAAGTCTTATTTCTGCTGCTGCAATTGATGATGCTTAACAACTTTTTGTTTCTAATTAGGATCAGATGGTTTTGATTCAGTTCTTCTTGTTTCAGTACGTTTGCATACAGGCTTATTCAACAAGACTGGTATTGTACAACTTCAAGTTAATAATGATTGGTTGGCTGTTTGTTCTGATGGGTTTGATGACAAGGCTGCCACAGTTGTGTGTAGGCAGCTGGGACTGTCGGCCACTGGAGTGGCCGAACCCGTGGCTTTCCCGGGCTACTATTCCAGCAGGTACTCCCGGGGAAATGCCTCCTGCACAGGGACAGAGACATCCTTCCTCAGCTGCAGTCAAGAAATAGACCAATATGCCTGCCCCTCCAGACGACCAGCAACTGTGGTGTGCAGGGACTCCAGTGCTGGTAAGTCCCAGTGATCACTACAGAGATTGTAAGCTGTGGCGGTAGTAAGCCAAGTCAGGCTATGTGACAGTGATGGTAAGTCCCAGTGATCACTACAGAGATTGTAAGCTGTGGCGGTAGTAAGCCAAGTCAGGCTATGTGACAGTGATGGTAAGTCACAGTGATAACTACAGAGATTGTAAGCTGTGGCGGTAGTAAGCCAAGTCAGGCTATGTGACAGTGATGGTAAGTGACAGTGATAACTACAGAGATTGTAAGCGGTGGCGGTAGTAAGCCAAGTCAGGCTATGGTTATGATGGCGGTCTGTAAATACAGTCCAGTGATTGATATCATGAGCATCAATCCACACAATTGGGAAATGACAACATGAAATAAACCAAGTCGCGGCCACCTCGGTGGTCTCGTGGATTGAATGTCTGCCCAGAGAGCGGATGGTCAGTGATTCGATCCCATGGCCATGTCATACCAAAAAAACATTAAGAGGTGGTACTTGTTGTTACCCTGCCTGATGCTTGTTCTAACGGGGATAAAACAAGGATGGGTGTCTCAGGTGTCAATTAAATGCGTCAGAGTAGGGTCTCCACGTTTAACTGCAGCATGTTGTATCGGTGGGCTAATACCACAGAACTGTCCCTACTCTGAATTACAAGCAGGGCGGTCGGGTAGCCTAGTGGTTAAAGCATTCGCTTGTCAAGCCGAAGACCCGGGTTCAATTCCTGACATGGGTACAATGTGTGAAGCCCATTTCTGGTGTCCCCCACTGTGATATTGCTGGAATATTTCTAAAAGCAGTGTAAAGCCATACTCACTCACTCACTCAATGAATTACAAGCAGCCATGTACACACATGCATGACATCACGATGTGAGTACAATAATCTTTGATGACATGACATGAAACCCCATTTCACGGTTTTACCTCTGCTCAACCATGTAGCAATAGAAATTGGCACTGGTCCTATAGTCCTTGTCAAACTGCCCAAATCTAAACGTATCATGAGGACTATTTGAAATTTGACATTTTTAAGGGTTTGACTACATGTTATCATTATAAAGACATGTGTACAATTACCATTGTTTCAGCATTGATGAAGGTCATTGGTCATGGTAACAGAGGTCGTGTAATAGTGAACAAGTATGGCATCAATGGGACGGTGTGTTCCTCCGGCTGGGACGACCTGGATGCCAGAGTGTACTGCATGGAGCAGGGGTTCCAGGATGGATTCAGCAGCAGCCAGTACGCCTACAGGGATGTGCCGCAGTGGATCAGCGATGTCGGCTGTGTTGGCGCCGAGAAGACCCTGCTGGACTGTCCGTTCTCCACAACAGTTGACACAGACACCTGCAGTAGGGATGCCAGTGTTTTCTGCTTCAAGAAAGAAGACCGTAAGTTTTACCATTTTCAGATCATAGTGTTTGCGCAGCAAACTGCCCTCATCACTCGTCCGAATGAGCTTTAGATAATCACTTATCAGTGTGTTTGTTGTGTCCGTTAATTATGACATGAAGGGTTCAGTTTCTCTCTCACTCTCTCTCTCTCTCTCTCTCTCTCACTCTCACTCTCTCTCTCTCAACTCTGCATCGCAACTATTATGTGTTTATATGTGTCTTTTGACAAATTGTTTGAATTCTTTGGATCTCTACTAGTCTACAAGCTTGGGTATTGTTGAGTATTTTGGCATTAACTATCTTGTTTATTCAGCCTGATTATGTATTGGAGTTGTTAGAGTAGAATGGTCACAAATGACATGACAAAAGTGATTTCAGAAAATAAATCATAATTCCCTCGTTTCAATATTTTCTCAACATTACTCCATACAGCAGGTGGTAGACTTTGGTCAAATTCGCAATGAAACAGTGTTTGGAAACTCAGGTCTTTCAATCTTTTTCTTTTCAGTTGCCACATTCATCTTGACTAAGCAGCCAGCAGGTGAAGACCGTGTGGGTCAGGTGGTGGTGTCTAAGAATGGAACGACCCAACCTATGTGTCTCAGCCATTATTTCAGTAATGATGACGCCTCCGCTGTGTGCAAGAGTCTCGGTCAAGAGTTCGTGGGTGGCCAGCCCTACTATGGGAACCTGACAATCACTGGCAGTAGCGACTACTACTGGTCAGTCTCCATGGCTTGTAGTGGCACGGAGAAACAAGCCGACATCTGTATCACTCACTGGAGTCTCATGTCAGACTCAAACAGGAATTCCACTTCTTGTCGACCGGTGCATGTTGAATGTTTCCGCGAGGGTAAGTACTAGTCTGTCCTGCAGTCACAATGTTCTAATCTTTGCCCTCCCTCCATTGTAATCGTAGAATATTTGTTCATTTAACTTTGGTTAAATTTGATAATAATTGCCAACACCTGAAGGGATGATTTAAATCCTGCTGGGGTCTGGCACATGATGCAGGAAGCGATGGTACTGTAAGTCCCCATGGACCCTAGCATTGGGTTCCACCTTCAGCTGCTGGCGATCTATAGCCCTTTTTTATTATGTATTGTTACATATAGTGATATCTTTTTATGGTTGTATGCTAGTTTTAAAGTTTAATCTGTGATATTCAAGTTGTTTTACTGTCCATCAGGTTTTTATTTATTAAATCTAAATATATGTATTTTCAACGTATAACTTCTCGTCACGATATGGTTGAAATATTGCCGATGTGACGTTAAATATTAACTCACTCAGTCCCTCCTAAGTGTTTTCCAACAAGTTTGAGATGGGTGTGGTCAGTTTTTCAACAGGTATTAGGTGTGTTACCAAATACTTATAAACATGTTCATGTTGTTGCTTACTCCCAAACTCAAGCTGACAGTGTATCAGGGTAAAATGTTGCTGAGCATGGCATTAAACCCAATTGCCTTAAATATTGAGGACCTTGGTGTCAAGTTTGTAACTGTTGGGGAGATAACTATTTGATGATAAACAATTCTGTTTCCAGTGCGTCTGTACCCCAATAGCCTGGCTTCTGTGGGCAGCCTGGTGATCAATAACGACAATGCCTGGACCGCTGTCTGCATGGATGGGTTCACGGACACCTCGGCTATGGTTGCATGTATTGAGATGGGGTATGCTGGAGGGAGAGTAATGACATCAAGCTACCCTGCTTCAGGATTCTCCAACAAATTTAGAAATGTCATGTGCACAGGTGCAGAGAAGTCCTTGAAAGACTGCCCAGGAGAGATGACCAAGTCCTACGCCACATGCAAAAATGACAGAGAAGCAACAGTGTCTTGTTACAAGAAAGGCAATCAACCAGGTCAGGGGAAAAGAATATGATTGATTATTGATGATGATTGATGATAATAATGATGAGGATAATGTAATGATTGATAATTATGATTGTGATGATTATGGTGATGATGATGATGATGATGTCCATTGGGCTGTGTGTAGAGGGAGCAAGGGCCCTGACCTGATGATGAGCCTAACCAGCCTGACTGTGCCAGGATCACCCAAACCCTCTTTGCTGCATTTTTTATTTTAATCTGTGCATCCTGATTATAATAATAATAATTACTTTAGGGTATTACTTGATTTCCCCTTTTTCTGTCGCCTGTGTCTTTTTGACATGTCTGTTTTGTCGACCCACCCTAGTGTGGACAGAATGTTGCAGATCCATTTTCTCATGAATCTGTTCTATGCCAACAGCCATGTCATGACCAACCTTTTGTTTAATGCCTGATTTTGTACAAGGCTGGAATGTGAATGTCCATTTTGGAATTTGTTGTCCTACGTATCAAGCACAGCTCAAACATGTAAGACATGCAAACCCTTGGAAATCATGATCTTTCATCTGAACAAAATCCAAAACATCTTATGACTTGGTGAGAACTGTTGCTCTAATGTGTACTTTGTTGTGCTTACCCATTATCTCTTGCAACACCAAGAATGTCCCTGACTCATTGTACCCATCTGGGCCTTGCAGAGTTGCGTCCCTTGGGCACGCCAGAAACGTATGATTGTGGGTTCGAATCCTGGTTCACCCCGATTATGTTTCTAGGTTTGTCAGCACCATACTCATGCTCGTGGGTTTCACCGAAGTGGTAAACGTCTGAGACCTGCATCACTTCGGGCTTTCCTCCCACATTAAGCTGACATGCTGTGATATAACTGGAATACTGTTAAGAGCAGCGTTAAACCCAACTCACTCACTCACTCACTCACTCACTCACTCACTCACTCACTCACTCACTCACTCACTCACTCACTCACTCACTCACTCACCCACCCACCCACCCACCCACTCACTCACTCACTCACTCACTCACTCACTCACTCAAACCAGGCCCTTTGGCCCAAATGACCACGACATTAACCACGAGGCTCCAGTTCCTTGTTCTGGAAGTGTGCATGTGAAGTCAAGATAACTGACTCAGTTGTTCCAGAAGATTGAGTCATCCATTGTTTTGCCTGTTATCAGAGACGACCAGCGTGGCCCCAGCAAACGACTGCTCCAACTTCCAGTATGTTAGGAACATAGCGTCTGCATGTGGTTCTCAAATAAGCGTAATACAGAATAAAACCAAGCCATCATGCGAGTAAGTGTTCTGTCATAGGTCAGTTAGATACGACTCATTGCTTGATAAGGATACTAATAATTTTGTTCTTTATAAATCAGCCATTTTCACACACTTTACACTTAACTATGAATATTGTATTGTCATTAGTACCAAACATGCAATTATTGAAATGACCAAAGTCTAGCTCTCATTTAAATATATGAGAATATATTTGAATTAGTCTGAAAACTTTCAAAACAATTTATTAAAGGTTTGCTTAATTCTTAAATAGTGCATATTCAGTGAGCCAAAAAGCATCCCTAACATACCTTGTTCTCTAGTGGCCTACAATTTGTATGAGCTGTGGTGTTGGTGTCATTAGGCTTGTGCATGGTAATGTCTTGTTGAACAGCTACCTCCTGGACGTAGCTGAGTGCGCGGCCACCAATCTGTGTTACCAGACTGGCTACTACAAGTGTTCTGTTGAAGACATCATGATGACCTTCAGATATAACTCGAACGCCACCAGAGACTGGCTTGGCCTGCATAATGCAAAGGATGCCTGTGATGGTATGTTGTTGAAGCTCACCTTCACATCAGTGTGAAGTCATTATGGTTCTTGTCAAACTGTAAACCTTGGAGAGGGCTTCAGTGTAAGGATATTAATTTATCATCCAAAACTGGCTCCCACAGGAGATATCGCTTTGGTGAGATCAAGCAATATCTACACTGTAGATATCACTGCAATGAAATTGCATCACAATGCTTTGCAGACTGTCATTGGTTACCATGACATCACAATCAAATGACATCACCAATGGCTCTGCTACTGAACCTGTTAACACTTGCTTTTTACACTTAAGACACTGCTTATTACCGGTAACTGTCTACAAAATGAAAAAGTTGGAAGAATGATATTGGATGATAAATCAGCAAGCCTTTGAGTTTTTCCATTTTTATCAACTCGTGTTGATATATTTGATAACAAAAGACACTCGGGTGAGATTCACTATATTCATGAAAATTGAATAGGCCAATATGGCTACCATGAGTAATTTGGAGACATTCATATTTTTGACACATTGGGTCTGTCAGATGAGGAGTAGGAAGAAAATAGCTTGACTGTAACACATATAATTCATTGTGCTCATCAGGTATGGCGATGCCCCACAGCATGTGTGAAGACAAGACTGCCCTCACCTGCCTTGTGGGGATATGTGCTGTTGGGTCTAGGGCGGACTTTGTCAAGCTAGACCTGCCCACACAGTGCAGGTAGGTGGCATGACACTGGACTTCCTTGTGTTAATCAACTGTTCACTATATGTTTCTCTTATCTGTACAATATACCGTATATCGCTGTGTATAAGGCAAGTTTTTTTGTATCTAGAATTAGGGGGCTTAGAGAGGGGAGGGGGAGGGTTTGATGTCCCTGTGACATTACTGTGAGCACCTAACACCAGAAATACCATGTCAACAAATCCGTACTGAAGTACACAAACTAATCATATAATTACAGTGTCTGGTTATAAAGAGTGTAATATACATAATCCTGAAAGAAAATGACGTTGGTCAAAACTGTATGTTTGGAACTGCCTGTACAAATAGTAAATAACATTTTTTAAGCAGACATTTTCAGATGACAGGTTAGATAGACTATGGCTCTTCATTATGAATGCAACCTATTGATGGGGCTGGTTGTTGGTTGTCAGACAGGTGACTGATCCTCACAACTAGAATTGACACTGACATAAAGGGCCTTTGGGTAGACTAGTGGTCTAGTGGTTAAAGCGTTCGCTCTTCACGCCAAAGACCTGGGTTCTATTCCCCACGTCTGAAGCCCATTTCTGGTGTCCTTAGCTGTGATATTGCTGGAATATTGCTAAAAGCGATGTTTGTTTGTTTGTTGTTTAACGCAGCACAATATCAACTATATAATGGTGGTCTGTAAATAATCGCGTCTGGACCAGAAAATCAAGTGATTGACATCATGATCCATGCACTTGGGATGTGATGACATGCATCAACAAAGTCCAGCGAGCTTGACCACCCGATCCTGTTAGTCGCCTTTTACCACAAGCATAGTCGCCTCTAACCACAAGCATCATCCCCTTTTTCGGCAAGAATGGGATGCTGAAGACCTATTCTACCCCGGATCTTCACGGGTCTAAAAGCAGTGTAAGACAATACTTATTCACTCACTCACTCACTCACTCACTGACTTCATTATTTTTTCAGTGTCCTGGCCAACATGTCATCTTGTGTTGTGACCAGACTGAGGAGCCAGGGACAGGGCTGCAGCTTGGACGATATACGACTGGTCATGACCAAGGTGGTGCTGGATACCATGGACTTTGATGATAAACAGTGCTCAGGAAGTGAGTTTTCCAAAAGGAATCATAATAACAAAATACAGTTAATCTTAATCACCACAATGATTTCATTTGCCAAAAATGCTATAACTTTCTTTAGTACATCTGACTCCCACCGATGCGAGGAATGTTGTCATTATCCAATACTTATGTATACATCCATGCTCGTCACGATATGGCTGAAATACTGCCGATGTGACATTAAATATTAACTCACTCACTGCATACATGCATGCAAGACCATTTGTTATGGGCCTCAAAAATAGGCCTGTGTCTATGGCAATACTTTTTTTTACTAAAAACGAACTTGGAGGGGGAGTAATAAAAATAATGTATGGAATATTGGGACATTGCCCTTGCACAATCAGACACCTGGAATAATGGGACTTTGCATTTGCACCATCAGACACCTGGAATATTGGGACATTGCCCCCTGCACAATCAGACACCTGGAATATTGGGACATTGTCCTTGCACCATCATACACCTGGAATATTGGGACATTGCCCCCTGCACAATCAGACACCTGGAATATTTGGACATTGCCCTTGCACCATCATACACCTGGAATATTGGGACATTGCCCCCTGCACAATCAGACACCTGGAATATTGGGACAATGCCCCTTGCACCAGAGCAACCTCCTCTTTGAAATGGTGTCAATCCATATTTCAAGTTCATTATCATCCAGGGGTCCATACCAGGAAGCTATCGTAGAGCAAAAGTTATTATAACTCCCATACTTTAACATATACTTTACTTTTCCAGGGTAGGCATGGTTATGGGTCATTGACTTGGTCACCCAGTGGTGCAAGTTCTGATAGTGTGCTTTTTTATGTAGTTGACAGAATTCATATACCACTTTACAAATCTGTCCTTTGGATTGTTTTAAGAATCAACCTCTTCTCCTGCACCAACCAGTGATGGTAACTACTGCTCTGATGTTAGGATGTATAGGAACTTTGAACAGAAGTGCAGTGATGAAGTCGCAGCAATGCAGAAATCACCAGACTGTGTGTGAGTATACCTGTCTCTGGAACCCCTAAAGGCCTGTATGTCGTTATCATGGAAAAAACAGTTTCTTCAGTCTATGAACCTTCCACATAGAAACCTATGATCGTGGGTTCTAATGCAGGTGCGCCCCGATCATGTTTCTAGGTTTGTCGGCACCATACCCATGCTCGTTGGTTTCACCGAAGTGGCAGGTGTATGCAACTTACCCATTATCTCTTGCAACACCAAGAATGTCCCTGACTTATTGTGCCCATCTAGGCCTCCAAACCAGGCCGGGGGTACTAGTGGCTGAGTCGTCTAAGGTGGCGCGATTCGCTGTGCCGAGTTGCGTCCCTTGGGCACGCCAGAGACCCATGATTGTAGGTTCGAATCCCAGTTTGCCCCGATTATGTTTCTAGGTTTGTCAGCACCACACCAGTGCTCATTGGTTTCACCGAAGTGGTAAACGTCTGAGATGTGCATCACTTCGGGCTTTCCTCCCGTATTAAGCTGACACACTGTGATACAACTGGAATACTGTTAAAAGCAGCGTTAAACCCAATTTTCTTACTCAGATTAGTTCACATAGACTTCTTTAAGAGAGACGGGGACCATTGTTCAACTTAATTCAACTTTATTTCAATAAAGCTTTCATTCACATGGTGTGATAGTTATCAAAACAATGTTACATTGGTCTGACCTGTAAAAGTTTTCATTTCACAACTCATATGGGTTACAACATGGCATAGTTTGACTGCATGCATGTTAAGTTTAGTCTCTCCACTCAGCTGCCTTTGTGTGACTGAAGGTGTTTTTATGGCAGGTAAAACAAGCAGGGCAATGACACTTCCATTCCATTTATGAATGATATATATTCCATATAAGTGTGCAACAGCTTGTTTATAGCAATACACTCAAAATATTTTATTTTTTGCAGTGGACTGTCAGAAGTTGCCAAATGTCTGTCCGGCGCCGTGTGTGAAAACGGAACACATTTGTGTGGCAAGGATGAAATGATGCTGGCGTTCCGCTATAACGGAAACTTCACACGTGACTGGCTTGGACTGGATGGTGCAAAAGACAAATGTGATGGTAGGTTGGATTGTGAAGTGTCCCAGGATCGACTCCAGGGCCCTGACGGGGCAGTCGGGTAGCCTAGTGGTTAAAGCGTTCGCTCGTCACGCAGAAGACCCTGGTTCGATTCCCGACATGGGTACAATGTGTGAAGCCCATTTCTGGTGTCCCCCGCCGTGATATTGCTAGAACATTGCTAAAAGCGGCGTTAAACCATACTCACTCACTGCAGGGCCCTGACACACACATGACAGAACACTGCAGAAACATTGTCACAAATATAGTTGTCATTTGCAGTGAGCCAGGTTATTGTGGCGGGACTGTTACCAGTGAAATTGTTCAAATCAGTGTTATGTTATGTGCTATTGCCTTTAGAATATATGTCAAGACGTTCCAGACAGTTGCTGGTGTCTGGATTAATTAGGATCTGACTGTCAGGGTTTCACAAGTTAATGTCATCTTAATTCTCTATGCGGAGTTGAATCTCTTGGGCGTGCGGAAACCATGATCATGGGTTTGAATCCCAGTTTGTCCTGATAATGTTTCTTGTTTTGGTTTTCTGTGTTCACCAAAGTGTTGAATTCTTAAAGCCAGCATCACTTTACTGATGTGGAAGAAACACATTAAAATGTAAATGTATTGGTTATTTTTTTTTAGTACATATCCACATTACTAGGTATACCCACCCACCTATGAAAAAAAAACCTGTCTGATCATTATTATCGGGGTGTCATGAAAAACTTACAAATTAAAGCAAAAGGGTTGTATGGGGCAAATATATCACGTCTACTTTTTTCATAGAAATGTCTTAATAAATTTGAACATTAATTAGGAAATGGTAATTTATTTCAGGGGTTCAGGAAAATATGTCTGATCCTTGTTTGCAGTGTCTGGCCCTTGTTTGCAGTGTCTGATCCTTGTTCGCAATGTCTGGTCCTTGTATGCAATGTCTGGTCCTTGTATGCAATGTCTGGCCCTTGTATGCAATGTCTGGCCCTTGTTTGCAATGTCTGGTCCTTGTTTGCAATGTTTGATCCTTGTTTGCAGTGTCTGGTCCTTCTTGCAATACCTGGCCCTTGTATGCAATGTCTGATCCTTGTTTGCAGTGTCTGACCCTTGTATGCAATGTCTGGTCCTTGTATGCAATGTCTGGTCCTTGTTTGCAATGTCTGGTCCTTGTTTGCAATGTCTGGCCCTTGTATGCAGTGTCTGACCCTTGTATGCAATGTCTGGCCCTTGTATGCAATGTCTGGTCCTTGTATGCAATGTCTGGTCCTTGTATGCAATGTCTGGTCCTTGTTTGCAATGTCTGGTCCTTGTATGCAATGTCTGGTCCTTGTATGCAATGTCTGGTCCTTGTATGCAATGTCTGGTCCTTGTATGCAATGTCTGGTCCTTGTTTGCAATGTCTGGCCCTTGTTTGCAGTGTCTGGTCCTTGTATGCAATTTCTGGTCCTTGTTTGCAATGTCTGGTCCTTGTATGCAATGTCTGGTCCTTGTATGCAATGTCTGGTCCTTGTTTGCAATGTCTGGCCCTTGTATGCAGTGTCTGGTCCTTGTATGCAATGTCTGGTCCTTGTTTGCAATGTCTGGTCCTTGTATGCAATGTCTGGTCCTTGTATGCAATGTCTGGTCCTTGTTTGCAATGTCTGGCCCTTGTATGCAGTGTCTGGTCCTTGTATGCAATGTCTGGTCCTTGTTTGCAATGTCTGGTCCTTGTATGCAATGTCTGGCCCTTGTATGCAGTGCCTGACCCTTGTTTGCAATGTCTGACCCTTGTTTGCAATGTCTGGTCCTTGTATGCCATGTCTGGTCCTTGTTTGCAATGTCTGGCCCTTGTTTGCAATGTCTGGTCCTTGTATGCAATGTCTGGCCCTTGTTTGCAATGTTTGATCCTTGTATGCAATGTCTGGTCCTTGTATGCAATGTCTGGCCCTTGTTTGCAATGTCTGGTCCTTGTATGCAATGTCTGGCCCTTGTTTGCAATGTCTGGTCCTTGTTTGCAATGTCTGGCCCTTGTATGCAATGTCTGGTCCTTGTTTGCAATGTCTGGCCCTTGTTTGCAATGTTTGATCCTTGTTTGCAGTGTCTGACCCTTGTATGCAATGTCTGGTCCTTGTTTGCAATGTCTGGCCCTTGTATGCAATGTCTGGCCCTTGTTTGCAATATCTGGTCCTTGTATGCAATGTCTGGTCCTTGTTTGCAATGTCTGGCCCTTGTTTGCAATGTCTGGCCCTTGTTTGCAATGTCTGGTCCTTGTTTGCAATGTCTGGTCCTTGTTTTCAATGTCTGGCCCTTGTATGCAATGTCTGTTCAGATGTCAAGTGTATACTTCTGTTTCCCTAGGCATGGTTCACAGTGGTGTCTGTGAAGATGTGGACATTCTCACCTGCCAACTCCAAGCCTGCAGTCCCGGAACACCTGAGGAATTCGCCATTCTGCCATTAGATCAAAAGTGCAGGTAATAGTCCACAGACATACCATTCATATTCCATGGCTCCTTCCTTCTCTGCTCACTTTACAGATTTTTACCCTAAGCCATGGATGCCGGATTTGCTGCTTGTTGGTGCCAAGCGTAGCCTTATCTTGAACCTTTACCCAAGCATCTGACCAATGCAGGGTATTTCTCCCAAGCAGTAAATAGACATTCATAACATCATCTGGATGTTACTATGAACTTATGTTAGAAACTGCAAGGTTTCTTGATTTGATAAAACATGGCCCAAATGACGAGATTGGGGGGCAGTCCCAAAATGGATGATTTCAAAATTGAAGTAAAAATCTAAAAAGTCAAAGCATATATCTGGTTATTACAGTGTCAAAGATGTCCTAGCACATGTAATGAAATGCTTCCAATAGTGGTACCTAACTGTTTTTGGTTTTTTTTAATTTGGCTTTTGCTGATTCACTGGCCCTAAACATCAGCAATGTGAATTTTGTTTGGATTGTTGCTCACAATATTAATCATTGGATTGTCAGGTCCACATGCGATTATTTACAAGCCATATTCATACAGCTGGGATAGTGCTGAGTGTGGCGTTTAACAAACCCCAAAATTAACTGAGTCTCTAACCAAGACTTTGAGAAGTAATCTCCATAAAACAAAGGACTTGACAGTTCCACAGTGTCACTAGCCTTAGTTAATCATCTCTTTTCACTGAGGGTCTGTTTTCACAAAAGTGCAACTTTTCCATGCCACCAATTTTGGTAACTACTTTTTATGAACGCCACAGAAATTGTATATTGATTCCTACCAATGATGGGTTCCAGTGTGTGGAGTTCGATGACCGGCTGCACCCTGTCTGCGCTGTCTGCTAAGGGGAAGAAATGCAGTGAAGATGGAATCAGGAAAGTGACCAGTGAGATTGCTGAAACTGCGTTCAAATTGGACTTGTCAACTTGTTTAAAATGATAAAGTAAGACTTTTTGACATTTCTCTGAGAAACATAGCTTTAGATTCACAATAAATTATTAAGAAACTACATTATTAATAAACTTATGTACATAAGGACACTTGATGACAAGCAGTGGTCAAAATCTGTAGAGATACTTCATGAATAGCAATGGTAAACATGTATAAGTATACTAGATGAGAAGCAAGGCTAAGGGTAATACAGGGAAAGACAAGTAGGAACAACAGGTAGGCATCTTTCCCTGATATCTTACATCAACATGGCGTCTGTGGGAAAGAGGGCATTAAAGTACATAACATTTCGTGGATATATAGAGGATATTTCATGTATCCAGTGAAATATCATGTATCTCTCATCAAGTGATGGGAGAAAGGAGATATTTTCATGTGTATTTTTCCCCCCATCACGAGATGAGAGAAACATGATATTTCATGAGACGTATGGAATATCCTATTTATAATATAATATACACTATTTCATTACAAATGTAAAACCTTGAAACTCCCTCCCTAACACACAGGGACAGTGAACCGTCCCATGTATTTGCAACTTAAAAAGTAGTTTCTTGTTTGCAGAAATCTTGAACAATATAAACAAAAGTATAAAAAAATATTTATGGTTATGAAAATTCTTTATCATACGTGTAGATATGATTATGTACAAAATCAACTTTAACAAAAAATATTCTTTAAAACTTCAAGACTGCTGTTGGTAGCAAAAGATCACATGCTCGTCAAGTAACAAAAATGACGCTTTGCAAAACGAACAGTCTCAACTGACAAGTTAAATGAGAAATTTACGGTATAACAAAGCATTTTTTAGAGAATAACAAACTGAAAGAAGAGATATTAACTCCAATTGATTATTTTGCCTTGTCAATGTGGAACTATCGTAAGGCCATTCATGGAACCTTTGCATATAGCATGTAGCAAGGTCACATGTTTTTTTCCATGCCTCCACTCTCAGATTGGTGCTAGTTATAAGGGGGCCTACCAATCGAAAGCCTGTGGTGTTTCTGGGTTAGAATTGTCCCAGGACAACCAATGATGGTCCTAAGAGGTGAAAGGGGCGGTCGGGTAGCCTAGTGGTTAAAGCGTTCGCTCGTCACACCGAAGACCCGGGTTCGATTCCCGACATGGGTACAATTGGTGAAGCCCATTTCTGGTGTCCCCACGTGATATTGCTGGAACATTGCTAAAAGCGGCGTAAAACCATACTCACTCACCCACCTAAGAGGTGACCAAGGTGATTGAGTTGTCAGGCTTGGTGACTTGGTTGATGATGTGTCACCACACCCAGATGACGTTGATCATTGCTCACATTATCAATCACTGGATTATTTGGTCCAGACTAGATCATTTACAGGCCACTATCATATACCTTATTCACAGTATCATGTGCCCTGTGTACTTAGGCAAAATGACAAAGGGCGTGGGATAAAGCCTTGTGGATAAAGCGTTCGCTCTTCATGCCGAAGGGGGCACAGGTGGCCCAGTTGTCTAAGGCGCCGCGATTTGCTGTGCAGAGTTGCGTCCCTTGGGCACGCCAGAAACCTATGATTGTGGATTCGAATCCCGGTTTCGCCCCGATTATGTTTCTAGGTTTGTCAGCACCATACCCGTGCTGGTGTGTTTCACCGAAGTGGTAAACGTCTGAGACCTGCATCACTTCGGGCTTTCCTCCCACATTAAGCTGACACGCCGCGATATAACTGTAATACTGTTAAAAGCGGCATTAAACCCAACTCACTCATCATGCCAAATACAGGGGTTTGATTCCCCACATGCGTACAATGTGTGAAGCCCCTTTCTGGTGTCCCCCGCCGTGATATTGCTGGAATATTGCTAAAAGCAAGGGAAAACCATACTCACTCACTAGAAAAATGACAAAAGGGGTGAGAGAGTGCTTACTAAAACTATACACAACTTAATTTTGTTTAGGTGATCAAACCGTTGATGAAACTTAAAGAAAATCAATAATAGTACTGGACAATTAAAGACACCTTCTGAGCTGTTTTTGATGTTATTGTAAAAACAAATATGTAATATACAAAAGAAAATATGGACTGTCATGAACATTTTCGGTCTTATTAGGAGGGCACTAATAAGGATGTATTACAGTTTGGTCAAGAAGTTGGTCAGGGGCTGTTTCTTGGAACAAATACGGCAAATACAGCAGCTGGAATATTGCTGAATGCAGAATTAACCATAACAAACAGACAAACATGCATCAAACAAACTAACAAACACAAATGATGGTTAGAACCAATGGATAAAGCATTTGAAAATTTGGGAAGAAAGTTCTCACACAATATCATTGGCAGAAGATATACCGTAACTACCTTTTAATATCATATTTCTATTCCAGGACAGTCCTGCTTCAAGAAGAATTTGCACAAAGACTAAAAACGGTTGCAAGGGATCTTTAAATAACTGTATAGACTATCATTATAGTTGTATATTCAGAAAACACAGTAGGGGCTCCTGTGTGTGCCAATCGGTCATTCCAATCCTGTTAGCCCACATGCTCTTGTAGAGTGCAGTTGCATTCCGTCAGTAGGTTATTGAGCCTAATGAATGGTGTTGCAAATTATTGCCAGGAACAAGATAATAGCAACAATGAATTTGTTACCATGGTGATAGTGATTTGTGTTGCCATGGTGATGCAGTGATTTGTGTGTTACCATTGTGACGCAGTGATTATTGTGTGTTACCATAGTGACAGTGATTTCTGTGTTACCATAGTGACAAAGATTGAAAGGGGGTGGGGATCATGGGATTGGACTCCGGTGTGACTGTGCAAGGTACCCATGCGTTAGTATGTCTGTGTCAATTTTAGGTTTAGAGATTTCTTGAAAATTTTGTGTGTTTCATGTTTTAGGTCGTAACTGAAGAAGCTCTTTGAAAATATGTTTGCTCAACTTTTACACATTATGAAATCCATTAATTTCACCTTAGTATTGTTTGTGTCATGTTAGTGCTGTTGAATTGAGAATGTTGACAATCTAGAAGTTTTACACCAAGGACTTGGTGAGGTGTAAAGACATGTATAACTTTTACCTTTGAAGGCTCAGCTCCACGTGTGTCACCTGTCCTATCAATGTGCATGGTTTCAATCTGAATTAATTCCATTGCCGCCAGGTCTAGCTGTAACATAAGATGTTTAAACTACCTATACTGTGCCTGTTGGTATTGTTTGGCCGGATTTTATTGTTCTACCATGTTGCTGGTCAACTTATGGGTTTTACTGAGAGGCTCTTTGCAGTTTAGTAACACACACCAATATGTGTTAGGGAATTGAAACTTTATTTTTGAAATATCTGTGTCCAAAAGTCCTTTTATGTATTCAAGATTGTAATATTGTTACAAAACCGTGATATACGTATTGTATGTATATATTGAAACAGATTTTAGTTTTTATTTGGATGACTTATTGCCCGGGTATCAAAAAAAGAAATCTTTTATTTGAAGAAGCATCATTGTACAATGAAGATCAAACTTTTATATATATTTTTATACAATAAACAGTGGTTTTATACACAATTCTCTGTTTGTTTTTATATGATTCCATGTTTGCCTGATCATCTTAGTGGTATCAAGATGAAGAACACGTGACTTATGTTCATCAGAGCATCACTTTCCTAAAGTGAGTGAGTGAGTTAAAATTTAACATCGCATCGGCATTATCCCAGCCATATAGCCACTATGATGATGATGTGCTGGACATAATGTCTGACATGATACCATGAAACCTCACATATTCCAGGAATGGCGATATGCTTGTCGAACGCTGACTTGGTTGATGCATGTCATTGTGTCCCAATGGCGTGCATCGATGCTCATGATGTCAATCACTGGATTGTCTGGTCCAGACTCGATTATTTACAGACCACAGTCATATAGCTGGAATATTACCGAGTTCGGTGTTAAACAACAAACACTGGAACTGACTTGAGAGAATGGTAGTTTGTGACACTGGAGTAAGTATTACAGATGTTAGTGGCAGTCTACCTGGACCATGAAGTTACATGGTCAGGTGCCAGTCTAAGGTGACACATTTAATAGGTAGAGTTGCGTCCCTTGGGCGTCTCAGGAACCTATAATTATTGGTTTGAATACCAGATTCACTCTGATTATGATTCTTGTTTTGTCAGCACCATACTTGCTTGTAGGGAGCACCAATGTGGTAAACCTTGAAGACCTGCCTCATTTTCGTCTCTCCTTACACTGCAATTCCGTTCAAAACATTAAACTAAATTCACCCGCTCATAAAATTACATTGTGTATATCCAGGGTTGTCAAGTTGAGCAAAATGTTCAGCACAAGAATTGTAGGTTCACCGACAAAGCTCAATGTTGGCGTGAAAACTTTACGTTGACTTTCGACCATTGCGAACACCCCTACCGTGATTGTTATAGTTCACAAATTGTTGCATTGCCCCGCCATGACCCCGTTCCAAAAAGCGATCTCAGGGCTGGCATTGTCGTAAGCCTATGCTAAAGTATTGGAGTCACGGTCGACTAAGCGCCAAGATCGCTTTGTGGTACGCGGCTAATATAACAGTGAACGTTAGGGTGAATATCTGCCATTTTAGTATTTTCTGACCATATTGAATTGTTTTAAGGCTGTTCCAGTATCAACTGCACCTTAAGGTGACACGTTATTGAACTACTATTCATATCTACCGTCCTAAGATTTTCTGCAGAACCCTTAGCATAGTGCAAACCCGGATCCTGTGACTCTTCAGTAAATGTGTCGAGTATACAACATGTCAAGAGCACTCTAGATACCGGAATGAATGTGTTCTAGTTCTCTTTGGTTTTTTTTTTTTCAATTTTAAGGTTGTTGTTTAGGCATTGTTTTTTTTCAATTTTAAGGTTGTTGTTTAGGCATTTTATTTTTCAATTACAGACCCTTTGACGCAAAAATATGGAAAGTGAAAAACTTATTTTATCACAAATTGATACCATACCTATATATGAAAAGGATTACATGCTAAGCGACGATATTGTTTGTAGCTTCACCGGTACTTCTGTGTGGTTTTACTCCCTTGTAAACGCTACTAGAAAATTGTTACCATTCCTGACCTTTTGACCATTTGACAAACAAAATCATATATGTGTACCTTTCACATCAAAGTGACCCTATATTCTCACAAGGATCAAAGTAAATTAATATAAGCAACATATATTTATTTGAACAGTATTAACCAAGATTTTGAGAAACACATCCGTGAACCAACTAAATGAAAAACGGGACTTAGCTTGTATTGACTTTTGACAAATATTTCACCAGCAGCACTTGAATACTGCTGCTGCGGCGGTATCAAGGACCATTAACAAAACATGTATGTCTGTGCCAGGCTTTATATACACCGAGCTACGGGATATATGCCTCATAAACTTCACGCAAGGGACCGCCAGGTGTGTACAATAATAACTGGAGTTTTGTGAAAACAGGTTAGGAATCCTAAAGCCGTGTTGTTTTCCAGACGTACAAGATTACCGCGATGATATCGTCTTGTAAATCTTTCTTCTTGTGAAAAGGGTTTAAAGGTGACCTTGACGATAAACAGCTTATTGTGAAGAACTATAAGGAAGTGTGCAATTGTGGAAAGATCCGATCTCGTTTAAACGTGTTTCCATGGGGACTTACCGCTATCAGACATCAAACAACTGTGATCATTGGTTGCCCGTATTCAAAGGTGTCAATCGTTGATTCATGTCTCAAATATTGATGGTGCCATGTTAAGTCTCGACCCATGAATATGCGGGGTAGAATAGGTCTTCAGCAATCCATGCTTGTCTCTTCCCCCCCTAGCCTCCTGCCCTTGCCGTAAAAGGTGACTATGCTTGTGGTAAGAGGCGACCAACTGGATCGGGTGGTCAGGCTCGCTGACTTGGTTGATGCATGTCATCGTATCCCAATTGCGTGGATCGATGCTCATGATGTCAATCACTGGATTGTCTGTTCCAGACTCGATTATATACAGACCGCCGTCATATAGCTTGAATATTGCCGAGTACGGCGTTAACCAACAAACAAACAAACAAATGTTAAGTCTCATATCATTTGATGGGATCGGTTTTCGATTCCCAAGTTAGCATTTGGGCCTGGCGGTCGGGTAGCCTAGTGGTTTAAGCGTTTGCTCGTCACGCAAACTCACTCACTCACTCACTCACTCACTCACTCACTCACTAGCATTTGGGCAAAGAGTAGTTGACTGGGTGGACAGGTTTGGTGACTGTGCCATAGTGTCCTCAAACAGCTGATTGATGTTGATTCTTTCGGTCCAAATTTGAATAATTATAAGCTGGAAGTGACGGCGTAAAATAACACTCACTCAGTACAACGTGTGAATCCAATACTTTAGTCCCACCCTATGATATTGCAGCAAACGTCGCGATGCTATTGGGTTACTTGTTTGGCCCAGGTTATAAACCCTTCACCTAGAATGGCTGAGAAGTTGTTGATGCGGTGATAGCACAGGTGGGACTAACGGGATCGGTTGGTCAGGCTCGCTGACCTGGTTGATGCATGACATCGTATCCCAATTGCGTGGATCGATGCTCATGATGTAAATCACTGTATTGTCTGGCCCAGACTCTATTATTTACAGACCGCCGTCATATAGCCTGAATATTGCAGGGTGCGGCGTAGAACAACAAACAAACAGGAACTTGTTTGACCCAGGTTATAAACGCTTCACCTGGAATGTCTGAGAAGTTGTTGTGGTGACAGCACGGTAGTGCATGAGCAGGAGACAGACATGTATGTTGTAGATGTTTACAGTATTTGTCCACGAGTTGTAAATCACTGGTATGACGCTGTTTACGGCCTTATGAAGACAGAAACATAGCGTCTCAAAAGGTCAAGATATTAAACCATAAAAACCTGAACAAAGGCTCGGAGTACACTTGTTTGCTGTCGCGTCATGTCGGCTGCAATAATTCATGCTTTCACATTTACAGGTTTAAGAACGTGATAGGCTGTTTCGTAACCGTACGTCTACCCGCATCCACACCCATACATCACGATCATTTGAGATATCTTTCGACCCGTGAAGATCCGGGGCAGAATAGGTCAACCTATGCTTGTCGTGAAAGGCAACTATGCTTGTCGTAAGTGAGTGAGTGAGTTGGGTTTAACGCCGCTTTTAACAGTATTCCAGTTATATGGCGGTGTGTCAGCTTAATGTTGGAGCAAAGCTCGAAGTGATGCAGGTCTTAGACGTTTACCAGTTCGGTGAAACCCACGAGCACGGGTATGGTGCTGACAAACCTAGAAACATAATCGGGGCGAACCGGGATTCGAACCCACAATCATAGGTTTCTGGCGTGCCCAAGGGAAACAAATCTGCACAGCGAATCACAGTGTCTTAGACGACTGGGCCACCCGTGCCCCCCTTGTTCAATGAAATGGGAACATTATTCCTTTCTCATAAGGCCATCAACAGACCAATAACTATTTATGTAGTAATAAGTGTAACAAGTATTAGCCTTAGACGACGACCCCCCCCCCCCCCCCAGACCGCCGTCATATAGCTGGAATATTGATGAGTGCGGCGTTAAACAACAAACAAGCAAACAAACAAGATATCTTTCACTGACGGAGTCGGTACATTTTGTATGGTTTCCCTGGCTTTGTTATCTGTGTTTCGTTACATGACAAATATGAGACTTAGTCCGATGTGACCTACTAACAAACTGACGACGACTACGAAGTGGGCTCTCCTGATTCTTGCGCGTTTGCAGCCACGGTCCATGTTCGCGAAGCCAGGTTAGCATAATTGATAAAGGAGTTGCGAACCTTAGCGCTAAGGTTGAATTATGCAAGTGGGCCAAGTCCTCGAAACCAACGTATACGGGTAAAGAGCTGACAGACCAAGGTTCGTAATCGCGGCGTATATGAGAGGCGAAACCTAAATCAGCAGATCCTGGAACGATTCAGGGACACACCTCTACAAAGATAAGAATGGTACCTCTGATAAGGTCATCTGTGCCCCTTGTGAACCGTTGCATGACACTTGTCTTCACCAGTCTGCTAAATGTTAAGACACCTATCGTAATACCTACTGTAGATGTGGTTGTCGCATGTTCTGGGGGGCGCGTCGACACTCCGCCTCCTCAAGCACGCTGTGATATATGTTTCTAATGTTGAGTACGTTGAAACCTGTTTTGAATGTCAAAACAGGTGGAGAGAGCAAGGAATGCATGTTTTATTTGCTCACTTAAACTATCACAAATGTGGATTTTGTTTTGTATGATCTTCGCCATAGCTGGGAACACATTCTGCTGAATAGGTCCCTATGACCTTTGCTTGTCGCAAGAGGCAATAAATGGATCGGGTGGTCACTCTCGGTGGCTTAAACCGGGGTCAGACCACATCGCCTGACTTTATAGTAAAATATACTGAACGTAGATGTGTGTTCATGATGTTGGATCATGTTGAAATACGTGCGCGGAAAGTTAGGTGATGTGGGAATGTATGCATGGTGATGTGGAGTGAGTGAGTGAGTGAGTATGGTTTTACGCCGCTTTTAG